TTTGTACGGTAAGCCACAGTCTCGGTCTGGATTTGCCTGTATGGTATCTAACAGTAATTGTTATGGATTCTGGTCCACAAGACTAGAATATAAAAGGACAATGATCAGTAATAAGGTTATCATTCCAGTAATTAATTGATTAAAAATAAGTGTTAGTAATAATCTTTTAACAGAGAATATTAATAATAGATTAAGGCTTTATTTAAACATTTACGTCTGTGGGCTCCAAAGTAGATAACAGTTATTTTTATAACAGTTAAAGAAAACTTACATTAGTAATTATTAATTTTTTTCCATTTCTAAATTATTTATATTGTTTTGTGTATTCTTAATTTGTAGGAGCAATACACAGTTTCCCTAACGGCTTCTTTTGGTGTAATTTAAAAAACAGTATTAACGTATGATAAGCGTTAGTTTAAACTTTTAAACGGCGTGCCCTAGTTAAACTATAAGATTAAATTGGTATGCAATTAAGCAGAGGGTAGACACGTCTTAATAAATTGCTGCGCACTACACTTGTAACGAACCGGTGAAATAATGTTACTTCCATAAAAATAATTTGGGAAAGGAAAGCTATTAATATAAAAACATAAAATTCTTTAAATAAAAAACATGAACGGAATAACCAAAGATTAGCAATGAAAACGAGGAATAATAACCGAAAAGTTTACATATCATGTCACGTGAAAATTGTCTTTCGCATCTTAAAGGCTTGCTTCTTCTTTTAATATACGCATGAACACTATTGGAACCTGCAACAATTTACACAAGTTTAGCATGACTGCTTCCGTACTCTTATAAATCTAAAACTTAATGTTTTTTTGGACAACTGTGCAAGTTCAAAAGGGCTTACAAGAGCTCTTTTAATTGAGGCTATTAGAGTAAGTTAATAATAATGATATGGATGTCTATAATTTTTAGCATCACTGCATTTCCACACCAAGTAAAAACAGAGATTTTTTGCTAGATAAAAAAGGGAGTTTAAAGTAAAAATTAACCCTCTTTCTTCTGGTGTTCCAAGCTACATAAGTATAACTAAGCTAAAATAGATTGTAGCTTTTATTTATTCACCAACGATATATTTTATTTTTATTAAGCAATTACGCTTTTAATTGACTTTAATAAATATTTTGTAAAAACTATAGGTATAGTATAAGTGCATGTTATTTTCTATCCGCCCAAAAAATTGCTTTTAATATGTTAAATTCAATGAAGTGATGTTCCACAGTACACGATTAAAGAATAAGCGCTTTTTTAGAAAACACGCTAAAAGTAGTGCTGCTATAATTTTTAGCGTACAGATGGAGTTAATTACAACTACTATTTTGTATAAATTATGGGAACATAAAGTATATTCGAATTTATTCTAAATTTTACCATAGATGTATATGTATATATATATATTTAGAAAAACAAGGAGTATTTTCTTAATACCCACATATATATGTAGCTATTTTAATTAAGAAAACAAGGAGGTTCATCGCTATTTGCTTATTTGCACGTTTGTTATTTTTATTCGATATTTGGGCCCCAGTCTTTAGGTCTTGATTGATTTGTATTGAAGCTAACAGTAAAAGTCTGTTCTACAAAGCTGAGATGTGAAATAACAAAATTTTTCGGTAGTGATCATTCTAGTAATTAACTGTTTAGTAACAATCTAGTTAATAGAGAATATCTTTAATTAGTTAAGACTTTATTATAACAAGTATATCTTGGATTGTATATACTAAATATTTTTTAAGCTACTAATAACAGAAGGAAAAATAGTAGAAATAGTACTATGTTCTTTTCATAATTTTTTTTTAACATTTACTAATGAAAATTTTCGGCTTTAATGATGACAGAATGCTAACATTTTTTTTTACACTCTCATTATATTTATATTAGGCAAAATCTTGTGTTATTAGTATTTATTTAAAAAAGTAATATGTAAAAACACAAAGCTCACCTCTTTCTCATCTAAGCTGATGCTAAATAGAGACTGTGCAAGGAAAGTACATGTTTTGTTGTTGTTAAACACACAATAATACTGTCTAGGTAAACAGGTTAGTCATACTATGATTATATGAAAATGACTAAAGTACATACTGAAGTAAAAGTAAACTATTTTGGCTATTTTAAGTATATAAATATAGAAGAATCTTAACATTTCTTAAGTTCATAGTTCTTGCCTTATATAGGTGCTCGGTAAAGTTATTCTCATGACCAAAGTATCCTTACTTAAGTTCTTTTTTTCGCATTTTCGAAAAACAACCTTTTATACCAAATTCTAGTTTATATATAACTTTCAAATAGTTATATGTATTACATAAATAAAAGATAACCAAATTGCAGAAAACAAAAGAGGGTAGGCCGTCCAATAATAAGCTGGAGGGAGTTATTAAGGTTTAACTTTTCGGGTTTCTTGAAAGTAGCTTTCCCCCCCCCCCGTCTGTTCCCTAATAGTTCATTAAAAAAACCCCAAAACCTAAAGCTGGCCTTTCTCCTCTAAACTGCCGAGTTCCCAATAAATCCAGCAAAGATTTAACTTAAATAGCTTTTTCCTCAGTAAACTGATATATTATGTTGTAACTCTAAAATACGCAAGATGTGATAGCACCGTATTCACCGGCCGTTGTCAGAATTATTTTGTCTTCGCGCCGCCGAAGTTTTGCAAAAGTTGTAAAAAGAAAGGCCGCTTTAGTTTTTTACAAAGAGGACGGGCGAGTGCTTCTCTTTATGTGCTTGCGGAGATAATACTGCAACAAATAGTTGTTCTGCAATAAAAAAGAGGTAGTAGCAGACTACGGTGTCACTAGAGCTCTTGAGTCTGCCTAAGTGCAATAACTTTATATTCTAATATTATTTGTTTTTGTTACAATTAGTATCTTCTGGAGATAAGACAGACCAGAAATTGTGTAAGGTATAATGTTTTCAAGAAAAAAGGTAATAACTTTAGTTATATTGGGAGCAAATGAACTGAATAAGATTGGAACAGTTCTCTAGTCTTTCTGTCTTAATGTAAACCGTTCTTAAATTAAAACAGCACTGGTATTAAATGGTAGCATGCGCTTTACTAAATTCAATCAAATTTATTTTAAAAAATGTATATAAATGCCCTTCTTGAGGGAGAGGACAACTTTTTTTGGTTTTGGCTCTCGAGGTGAGCGAACTGGTAACCAGTTTTAAGTGCACAAAACGCATGCAAGTTATCACGACGCATTTTTGCATTAAATGGTCATAACTGGCAATGAAACTACACTTAATCTATACAATATTAAAATTTATGCAGAAACGGGTCAAAAACTTTGTCTTAAAGCTGTTTGTTTCTTCTAAAGGGCTTGATAACCGTTTAAAACTAAGTAAAATCAAATCGATAAAAGAAACGTAGGGACATTTGGAAATAGTATTTCTCAAAACACACAATAATTAGTTTTGTTAACGCTATATATATTGTCATCACTACTGTTAGTGCTATAATTAATATTTTAAAAAAATTTACTATTAAGCTTAAAAGTATAAAAAGGACAAACTGTAATTCATCTATCCGGTCGCCACTACTAACACATATTTTCCGGTCTTTGAACCCCCTTTCATCTAACTGTTTTAGTTTAAAACAGATTTATTAAAAAGTCGTAGTCGAAAAGCAAGGGAAAAAAAAGAAAGAATTTACCAGTATGGTCTAGCATTCTTAAGAAATTTCTTCTAAATATTTTTATGATTCCATTATCTTATAACAATAAAATAACAAGTAATTACGTATTCTATACCTCCCAAAATATTTAGTAAATGAAAAGTTAAAATTGTAATTAGTAAGTAAATTTGCTTTTATGCCAGTGGCTGTAGGATGGTTCTTTTCATTGGTGACCTCCATGGATTTTGTTGACCTCAAAAACTACTATGAAAATGTCTGCATTATGTTGGGCACTCAACCCGCTTAAAATATTATGTGTTGAGATTAATATATTAATAGTGGGGGGAAAAATGGAACATAAAAATATTAACGACGGAGATTTGCGGCCTTTGTCCTCTTATTCTAATTATCTGTTAGTTAAAGAGTTGTATCTTTCACGTAGCGAATTACTTTCTATTACCTCCTGTTTAAACGTAGATAAAACTCAAAATCAACATAATAAACAATTAATGAAGGAAAATATAAACTTTTGGATTGATGAGGGCATTGATAGAAATAAGTGGGGAGTTGATGTTAAAGGATTTATAGTTAAAGTAAGCGCTTGCTTTGAAGTTTGTTCTGCATTTTACTTGGTGGGTGTTATTTCTGGTATCAACTGCTCAGCTTATACCATTTCAGTTGAGTTTTTAACGTTGAAAGATTGCTTATTTGAATTGGTAGTTCCTTTGGAAAGTATTAGTAATCACCAATTCTTTAAAGAAGATTTGAAGTGGGCGACACCTTTACTCTCTGCAACTAATGTAGATATTAGCCAGATGTTGCGTCGTCGAAGACATTTAACAAAGTTTCTCGGAACTTTTGATAATACTTTTAAAAGTGGCACTTCTTTAACTAGTTGTAACGAATTTAATGAGGATATATTTGATGAGGTTATCAGCGAGTGTACAGTTGTATCTCTTTTATGTCCAATAACTTTAGGAAGAATAAGCATTCCTGTGAAAGGAATACGGTGCAAACACGCACAATGCTTTGACAAAAAAAATTTTTTACAGCTAAACGGAAGCAAATCTTTACTGAGCAACTGCCCTATTTGCGGAACTTTAATTAAAAACCCTGAAAAAGGAGGACTCGTAGTTGACCGCTTGCTTTTCGATGTTATTAAGTACGCAGCAGAAAGAAAAATAAATAGTACCAAAGTGTGGATGTATCCGGACAACTCGTGGAAAATAATTGAGCAAGAAAATTTTTATGATGAAACAGCGAAGTATTTTGTTAATGAGTCCACGCAAGATGTTATAATTATAGAAGACTAACGCTATAATTAGTGGATAAATTATTTTGAATACTGTAAAGTTGCTTAAAGATTGCTAATTTTCGCAATCTGTTCTTTATTTTAATTTTTCTCCGGCGGCGTAGAATTTAGTTTAATATAAAACGTTAAAATCAAGACCGCAGGCCGCCTTTTTTACTAAAGAAACTCCGTCCATTATTTTTATTGGTTTGTCCACGTCAAAAGTGATTTTCTATAAATTTAAAAACGATTATTAATAAATATAAATTTTTTTTTAAAATTGTTACGTCGAAGCAGTGACCCCACGCAAAAACATGACCACGTTCTGTTACACCAACCACGTGGTTAGTTCCGCAGTCCACATCCACAAACGGGTCACGCGACTCCTCGTGACCAGTGGAAAGCCGATACACGTGCCTCTCGTTAGCAAAGCCATCAGCACTATTTATGTGGATTTCTAAAGGAAGAGGAAGTCTGATAAGGGAGGGGAGAAACACTTGAAACTTGAAAACCTTGATCGTCCGACTCGGGCACTGCTGCTGCGGGACATACACGTGGGTTCTGGCCAAAACCAAACAACTTTCCGTTCTCTAATAGAAAGAGATTTAGTACCAAAATTGAAAAAAAAAAGTTACCGCAGGTGCTTACCAAGTAGAGCAACAGTGAACGAAGCGCCTGCGCTAATTTTTTTAATGGGACCTGAAAGAAAAAAAAATTATAGTATAGTATAAAAAAGGGTGTAGAAAAAAATATGTTTAAGAAAACTGAAGTTAGAATAAATAAACGGAAATGGGAAAGAGAATACTTTGGTCGGGAAGAAAAACTTCGTCAGGAATAATTCTTTTTACAGTGCGGATGGAGTGAGTTCCTCGCGCAAAGTCTACAAAATTTGGTAAAAAAAAATTACTTGTTATTTTTATTAATAACCTGTTTCCTTTAAAAAATTAAGCAAAAAAAGGTTTAAAAATATTAATTATTTCTATTAAATAAAATAATCTATAAATAATGATTCCTATAAAATAAAAGGTAAGAATAATAACAAATAAAAAATTAATAGTAACAATAAAAAGTACAATTTAGTTTATTAAAATAAGAAAATACTTTATAATAATGATTATAGAAATAAAAAATTTTTTATAAAAGATTTATAATTATTATTATTACTTATAAAAAATTATTTATCATAATTGTGATACTTTCAGAGTAAAAGGGGCAATAGGGGCGCATATAGCCTTCATACTGTTCGTTCCCAAATACAAATAACTATAGTATACTTACAAAATTTCAAAGCGGGAGCATAACTGAATCACAAAATAACTTTTTGACGTCCGTGGCATAAAACCACCACGCTGGTATGCCAAATACCGCACGCAACGCTCGTGACTTCCGTCCCTTTTTCCACAAAAGGAAGAAAAAGTATAGCGCAACCGAATAAATAATAGTAACCCTCAAAGAACTGCAAGGAAACTGGCGTAACGATTTTGTGGTACGGAACGTTGTCAGTGGCATCGCCGGTATTTTGCTTGTATTCCTTTGAAGTGCCACCTAAACTAAGCCATCCCCAAATGTACAACGCGTCCCTTGTGCACGCCACACTGTGGTACCCGCCAGCACTGACCAACCGGACGTCCTATTTATAAAAAATACCATTGAAACATGTGGGAGGTCTGAAAGAAAAAACCTTTTCTAGTAAAGTGCGGACGGGGAGAAGCGTGCTGTCGTAGATGTCCGTCCCGTTTCCCAGTAAACCTCCTCCCCATGAAAATACCTCAAAGCGAATTGTTAAGTTCAATTTTATATAAATTACAAATAATATCTAACACCTTTTAATAATCAGGAAAAATGAGATAATTTATGACAGTAGTAAGTGACAAAGTGTATTATATATAATTTTTTATATGAATATTATATTTACACCTATAAAAAACAGTATATATATAATATACTTTTTAAGTTTATAGTGGTTGTCATAATTTACAGAAGCAGTATAAATAGAAAAAAAGTTTATAAAAGTTTAAATTTTTTTTTTAAAAAATTTGTACTTACCTTTATTATAAACACTAAATAATGAAAGAGAGAAAAAAATTATATTATTGATAATTAAAATTTTCAAAGCTTAACAGGTAGATCCGCTTATAAAAAAATTTTAATTAAAAAAACCATTGGAAATTTTTTATCGAAATCGCTTTTATAATAAAGAAAAAAGCAAATTTACTTACAACTTTTTGGTTTGGTTTTTGAGTAAAAAAACCTAAATTTAAAGCATTAGCTACTGAAATAGTAAAAGGCCTTAAAAAAAGAAACCCAAAGCAACATTGTGATAGAAACCAGAAGACGTGTGCAGGAAGCGCGCTTCTCTTAAAGGTTTGAGACGGAGTGGCACACACTGGTCCTAATTAATCGTAACAGAAAAAATTATATAATTTATTTTAAAATAGTTTTAATAGAAAAGTTAATAAAAGAAACATCTGGCTCAGTTTTACAGTAAGTATGCCTTCCAATTTGGTTAAAGCAGTCGTCGCCCCTTTGATTATAAATTTAAAGGTATAGTTAGAAGTAGCAAAGTTAACTTTTTTTAGTATGCTTTAAAATTTGTGCCTAAAAGTGGTAAAGTCAACTTTTTTAAAGAACGACAAGTAAAAAGAAATATCTTTTTACCATCCGTATAGATGTCCGTACTCTGAACTAAAATTAGTATTAACGTAGTCGTCTGCGCCGTCACCGCATCCTCTGACGATGGCGGTGGTGTGTGCGGCGCCACAACTAACCTTTCCGGTAAAATTAATGTTAAGTAGATAAATATAAGCTTTCAAAAATTTTAAACCTCTATAACTTTACGATTATTAAAATATTTCAGTAGAACAGGTTCAGAGTAAGTCATGTAATTGCCCGTGCCGTTCTGGCCATCTGTACCATTTCCCCTTAAAATTTAAGAAAATTTATCTTACTGTATTTTTTGATTGTTGATATTAAATTATTTAAACGAGAAATTGATGTAGATAGCTGACCAAACGAGAAGAGCAGAATTTAGTTTTTTTAAAACGTTGGGCAAAGGAGTGGCATATGTTTCAAAGTCTTCAAAAGTTAATTTAGGTTCAGAGATAGTTGCTTTATTATTATTTTCTTTTAAATAAAGTTTTTGAAAGTTAATTACTAGATTATGCCAGAAGGACAAAGATCGTATTCTATTATTTAAAAAAGGTTTTATCTCAGGCCTCATATTGCCTAAATCACCATTGTTAAAAACTTGCAAACCAAAACTCCGCAAAGAAAATAAGTAATATATGACTTCCTGCTTTGTTCCTGAAAGCTTTAAGCCTAGTCACTTAGTATATTTATAAGAAAATAGCAGATTGTGGTGGTTTGAAAAGTTATTTCCCTCCTCCAATTCATAAGTTTTTACAGAAGAGTAACGTTCAAAGTAAGTGTTTTAAACAACCAAACCACGAACTAGTTAAAGAGAACCCCTATCTGTTCCTTATAAGAAAAATTAAATCTCGTGTATTTTTTAAATGACTTAATATTTAGTTTCTATATACCATAAAAACCTATAATGAAAAATAATTATCAGAGGATTAGGAGAAACTTCAAACAACTTAGTCCGCAACGTCTAAATTCTACGTAAGCTTAAACTGAATTTTTCCTCTTTACTTGTATAATGGTGTTATTTTTAGTTTATATGTCTAGCAACTCGCTGTGAACGAACTTAACAACCGCTGTTTTGTTGAAAACTCCTATGGAGACAAACTTCTCAATAAAAAATATTTAATTATTTCTTGCAAAAATATAAAAAATAAATAAAAGATGCTTTATTTTACCGTTTACTTTTGGTGTTAACATAGTTAAGCTTATGCTAGGCAAACTAGGCGTTATGCTAAAACTATATTTTTAATCACAATTTAGAAAAGTTTGTACAAAAAATAATAAAAGGTTTACAAAATAATTAGCTCGACATAAACAACTTGTAATTATAAATTTTTTTAAGTTTTTCTTTATATGAGTTCACTTATTATTAAATATTATATAAAATAATAATAGGTTATTAACTAATAAAAAATGAAATAAAAATTTCTATACAAAAACTATAGAGGCAGTGAAGTGGCGTTACAATAAAAATATTGCGTGACCCCTTAGTATCCGGCTTATAACGAGAAGACTCCACTCCCCTTTGCTATTTCTATTACTTGCAGTTTTTCATGTAAATGCTTTTTCACTGGACTCAGTTAAGACGCAGACTTATAAAATATATATACTATTGACTGCAAAATGCAGAACTTCAAGCTTGAAGTAGAGTTTGAAGAAAATAATCTAGAAAAGAATTGCCCTCCCGTTAAAGTATTCTGCTGAAGTTGCTGTTTTGTTTTTTAATAGTTATTAAACTTATACTTGAAGGTCAACGAGAAACAATTACAAACAGAATTTCTTGCTCTTGGAAAGTTATTTACTGATAATACTGCAGATTGGTTAAAAAGGAAGGATGGTGGAGATACCATTTCCCTTTTTTTTTAATTTAATATATATAGTTTTACTACTACATATGCCCTTTTTACTTATAAAAAAATATTTTTAAATATAGCGCTTCTCAGGTTCCGTAGTTTAGTTTCTGGCTCTGCTCAACTTGATTGTTTAATAACTTCCCTCAGCCGTGTTATGTCTGAGCTTACTATAATTGTAAATTTTTCCTTTTATTTTAACTAAATTTTTTGAAATTATTATAATTTATAGTTAAAAGATAGGCGCTCTCAGCTATTTAAAGAAGCTTGTCTTGCAGTAGCTCACCTCTCTATTGTATTGGGGCGTAAATTTGATCCTTTCATCTCGGATGTTTGCAACGCTTTAATATCTGTTATAAATCGCGAAAAAGTTAATTTTACAGCTTATACATATAAGAATTATTAGTTACGTTTTTTTTACACACGCATATATAAAGTTTATATTAACCAATATATTTAATATATATATAATATTTTGGTTATAAATATTGTATTATGATAATAGAAAATACATTTCTTTTAAAAAAAAATACATTTTTTTAATTGGATCTATAATTTGGCTGTACATTGTTTTTTTTCGTTTTTTTAAATAAAATTTAAAATTTTTTACTAAGCGAAAATATTATATTAATAAATTTGTACGTTTTAAATTTTAATAGAAAATTTCTTTATACTTTTATTACAAGATTTAGTTATATAGATATTTAATTACATTTGAAAATTTACGATACTTGTATTTAGTAAAACAATGAAATTAAATTGAATTATTTTATATAATCTAATATTTCCCTTAAATTTATAAGGACTTATTGTTATGCATTTTAAAAGGTTTTTATTTATATTTAATGTGAGTCCTGCAATTAAAATCTACTTGTTTGGTGTTTGCGTAACTAAAGCGATTTAATTTTTTGTACTCTTAATTTTTACGTACAATTAAAACAATTATTCTCTCTAGCGGATTTTTGTTTCCTCTAGCTATTGCGCCATATTGCAGGTTATTATTATATTAATCTTTAAGTATTATAAATCAATCCTTTAAAATTTAAAAATAGATTATATCAAATTGCCCGAGCGCGAAATTTATTTCAGTGTTGGAACAAAACATGAGGAGCAAAAGTATTATTGTTGCGCATCACTGCCTTCTTTGTCTAGTATGTTCTATATGAGTACTAGAAGGAAATACAAAAGAATAGTGTATTATATGTATATATATAAGACTGAAGTCATTAAAATATGGAACGAAAATTTGTTGGGCAAAAGTTTTGGCTCCATTACTACCTGTTTGCAGCAGGGGCTAGGCCACAGTCAGCGGGAGTGCAGAGTTGTCTCACGTGTCGCCTTTTGGGAGATGTACAAAAAGTTTCCGCACGAAGCAATAAAGTTTATAGTCTTTTTTTTACACTGCAAAGTTGCGATCAGCCCGTCTAAACGAAGTTTTGTTAGTTTTTATAAGAAGCTGATTGGCCGGGCAAAGGAAGAGCTCGTTAAAGCCAAACCGCCTTCAGTGGCATTTGAGGCGCCCAGCGAGAAGCCCTTGTTCTTGGAACCCCCTTCTTTGCGATCTCTAAAACGGTCGCTTTCACGAGTCTCTAATGGAAATCAACAAACGCCCACTTTAAGGAAAAGTACGTCAAGATTGGTTAGTAATAAGGAGAATAGAGCAAAAGAGCAGGTGAGCGGGCCTACCGGGTCGAGATTAGTTTTTATTTTAATTTTTTTTTAATTTGTTCGCTGAGGTCTCGTTGAAAATGGGCAAGTCATCATTTTTAAAAGAAAATGGGAAAGTATTTTTCTTTAAATTTACTCTATAACTTTTATTTATAATTTTAAAATACGAACGCATAGTTGAACGTTCCGAATATTGAGCCTCCTCAGCGCGTGGCTGCGAAACCTGTTTATATATATTTTTAAAATTTTTATCATTTCTAAATTCCATTGCGTGAAGGCTGCCAATTGTCAGTTTCCCAGAAGAGTTAACCTCGCGGATACGTTAGAAAAACCTCTAAAAGAGGGGCGGCGTCCGGCTTACATGTCACACCGGCAGCCCCCGTCAACCCCTGCAGGCGAATGTTCTAAAAGGGCCTCCACGAGGCCTCATCCCCGCGAGGGTAAAGCCGTTCTAAAGCCACTTGGAGGAGAGGACGGCAGAGCGTTCTTGCAGGAAAATAGTTTGGTGGTCGGTTCGGGGGAATCCACGGCGGCAGTGCGCAACCCTCAAATTGTCGCGGAAAAGGGCCCGGCGATAGAATTGGCCGAGCTTTCATCGTCCACGTGCCCCTCGTCCTGTCTTCCGGCCGAGCGCATTTCTTCAGTTTATTTTTTTCATAAATTTTTTTTCGTGGATTGTCAGTTTCTTTAGGAAGATATTTTTATTGCGAGTGGAGAATCTACTTTACAAAGTCTGGAAGCGAGATTGGATTGTGATTTGACTGTAAATTTTATTATTTCAATTTTTTTAAATATAAAAAGATTAAATTATTAATAAAAGTTTTCATTTTTTATAATAATCACTTTTTTTACAGGGTAATAAAGAAGAGGAGGAGCTTGCCCAACTAAAAACTATTTTGAGCCAAAAAGCAGCAGTAGATATCAAAGAAGGACTTCCTTGCGTGTTAAATTTAATAAAACAAATTTGTTTACCGGACTACATTTTAGTTAATTTTTTTTTCGTGTCTTTAAATATTTTTTTAAATAATATTAATCATATTTATTTATTAAAAAAGGAAGCAACTTTTGAGTTTTTTATTAAACTTTCTGAAGATGACGGCGTGGAAATTTCAAGGGTCTTTGAAGTATGTTTTTTTAAATCTTTATTTTTTAAATTTTCTACTTTGCAATGAAAAAAAAATTTTTTTGAAGGGCTTGCAAGACTTGATGCCTCGTGTTGGTGAACTTCAGAATGATTTTTTGGCTGTGCAACTTTTAACTTTACTGCTTAACAAGTTTCTTGCTATTCTTTATTATATACTTTTTATATAAAAGGTTAAGAGAAATTTTATTATATGAAAGAAAAACCTTAACACATTATTATTGGTCCTCTAAAATTTTTAAATTGTTTGATTGGGCTTTTTTTATACAGCCAATTTTCTTTAAATTTTTTGATTTTTATATCGGACTTTTTTAACTTAACTATCTAAATTTGATTCTTTTAATTTTTTGAATATTATAAATTGAATTTTAATATTTTAATAATTTTCTTTACTATAAAATTATTAAACTTCCATAAAACTTTTGAATTTATATTGGACTGTATTCTGAATGAATGTAACAAATTTATTTATAAAGAAGAAAAGATCATCCTCTCGCGGAGTTTCTCTTTCAGCTCTACAATGACCATGTGACCAAGTCGTCTTGTTTCCGCCACTGCAAAGGTGTGCTCACTTTGGGCCTGCCCCTCCCCCCACCTGCTCTGGTCGTCCTACGCTCTTCTCCCTTATTTTTTATAAATTTTGCGGAAATTTTTAAACATCTTCCAGCTGGCCGTTTTGCGCCATCTAATCTTATTGGTCCCTCAACTTTTGCCGGAGTACTTTCCGTTTGACCGGAAAGATGTTGGGCTGCTTAAAATAGTGTCGGAGGGCGCTAGTCAAGCTGCCGACGCCGACCTCCGCTACTTGTGCGAGACTCTATTTATTGGTTTGTGTCAACTTAACTCGATTACGGTGAATAAGGTTCCTCTGGTCCATATTTTTTGGTCCTATTTGTTTTTTAACTGTTACAGCATATTGAATTCCTTCCAATTAATCTTCAAAAAGTCGCCATTGATATTTTGAAGCGGAAAAAAGCGGAAAAAAGCGGTTGGGAGTTTTATTTTTTAATTTTTATTTAATTTTTAATTTAGTAATTTTTTTTTTATTGAACTTTCGTTGAAGATAATTTTTTTTTGAACATTTTTTTCAGCTAAAAACGATACCATTTCTATTATTCCTTTTCAAGTACAGCCGAAAAGTTCTGAAGAAAAGAAAATTTACTAATTCAAATAAAAAGTAGTTATAATTATAATAAGCTACTTTTAAAGTATTTATTATTTTGTTATAATTTCAGATCCATTATAGAACTCTTTCAAGATTGAATACTATTTTTTTTCAAAATTGAAAATTTTATATTTTCTGGAATTAAATTCAAAATTTAAATTTTTTTTTTTAGGCTTAAAATTCAGCGGTTTTACTTTTTGTTGCCTGTTTCAACGATATGTATATAAGTTTACAAAGATTTAACCATTTTTATAAAAATAGTATTTGTTAAAAATAAAAAAAAATAATATTAAAAAAAATCGAAAAAAAATTCTTTACAAAAATATGAAACATTGGGTTAATAAAAATAATGAAATTTTTTAAATATAATAATAATTAATGGTAATGTACATATCATAAACGTCACGATAATAATTTTTACATAAATTTAAAATAATGAATGTACACCACCAAAAAGGGAGAAGTTAACATAAAAACATAAAGTACAATAATACGAAATAGCAGAACACCGAGCAACAAACAAACACAGGAACATTAAACTTAACATTCACTATTAAAAAACTAAAATCCAGAAGTAATCCATTCAAATTTGAAGATTTTAGTAGCTTCCGAAGCCCAATTAAAAAAATAATTTGACAGTGATACTAGATCTATACACATTTATTAAGTTTAAAAGAGTGTTATTACAATTAATTATAGAACAGTAATTTATATTACAAAGGTTATTATATTAGAAAGCCCATAGAGAAATTATATGGGTAAGCTTCAAGTAAGTTATGCCCTTGGCAGGAAATTATTAGGAAGAGGCAAGAAATACTAATAAAAAGGTCTGAATGCTTGGCATGCCAATCCTTAGCTTCCTGGGCTTTATTGTGTATCTATAAAGCTACAAGGCCACTTCAGTGAGAGGCTCAACCCCTTTGGTGTTAGTGCAGGCTTTTTTTCCATGAACTTTGTCGTGCTTTTTTCCTGTGTCACGTTAAAGGCGCTATAGTTAATCTATAGGTGCTACGCGTTTAAGAGCTGGTGGTAACGTTCAAAATTAGTTTTTAGTAATACGGTAGGAACAGGTGTGTCCTTTATAAAGGGTATAAACAGTTCGAAAACTAATTAATTAAATGGTTTCCTTGTACTACCTGTACGCTTGTTTTGTTTTTTTGAATTAACTTTATATATATATGTCTACTATTGTATATAATGTATGACGTTTTGCATATACTCACTCTATTTTACGAATTTATAAATCATACATAACTTTTTATATAGAAAATCTGAGTGTGTTGAGTTTTTTTATCTATTCTTATTGTTGACCTTTTTTAGCTCATGGTTAGTAAGAAGAGCCTACCTTTACGAATATTTATATTCATTCAATAGGAGCAATTCATAATTTTAGACGTCATTTAAACTTTTTGTTTGTCGCACTTATTGTAAATAGTTGGAGATAAAAACAAATTTAGAAAAAGAAAATAAACATTTGTTGAATTTTTAAAATTATTTGGTTTTGAACTTTTATTTAAGAGAAAAAAATCCTTCTATTAAAAACTAAATGCTTTAATAATGCTAGCAGTCTAATAATAATTTTAAGTATTGTACGTCAATTTTTTTATTGTTTAAAAAAGCATACGAAAAGTTATTATTTGTTTAGCATATACTTTTTATAATTCTGTTTACTTTTGCTTTAAATAAAGTATGTATAAGCTTTTATTTATGTTTTTCTTTTTTTTTGAAGATTTTAAAGGATTTTTTTTAACTTTAGTTTAGGGACTAGTGGTAAATTAGCAGTTTCTTTTACCTTTGCTAAAAATATTTGGTCTTTTTATCTGTTCCTTATTTAAGCTTTAGTAACTTCATAAACGGATTCTCTTTACAGCAGTTTAGGTTTTGCATTAATTTTAACGGTTTAACATTATATCTATATGTTTATACGGCTATAGTCCGCTTTCTTCGATGTGCTTCAGTCAGCAGACTTAATAAAAATAATTTCATCCTTTATCGCTTAAAATTTCTGCAGCGTTTTTTAAAACAGCTAATTTTATGGGCACGTTTACTTTTTTAGCAACTTTAAACGGGTAACAAATCTTTTTTTTCGCCTGAACGTTTCCTTGTTAACCTTCGTCTGCTAAGGTTTATTATTATATCATAAAAAAGAAGTCCAAATATTTTCAGTTTTTCACACTTTTTTTATACTTTTAAGTAAAAAGAGTATAGAAAGTTTTATATAAAAATCTTCGTAAATTTTACTATTTTAGAAAATAATTTTTCACATTATTTTAATATATATTTAACTTTTATGTTTTAAACAAAGAAAAAGTTTAACCTTAATTTTTTAAGAGATTTTGAAAAAAATAATTTACTAATTTTTTTATTTATATTTGTAAAAGTTAGTAATATTTCTAGCTTTATAACAAAAGTTTTTGTAAACTTTATTAATACTATTATTACCGTTTTTTTCATTTTTTTATTTATAAAGTTCGTTTTATTTATGTATATTTTATTTTTATTATGATTATTACAGAATATTATTAACTTTACTTATTTTTTTTTTTTCATATGCAAATGCCTAGTATGATAGGATGGGTAACTTTAGTAACCTTTCCTATAGAGTACGCGCCTATTGTAAAATGCGAGCGTAAAGTACTTGTATTTTATTTATGTAATAGTTACCTAAAAAGAAGTAAGCAATAAATTTAAGTATTCTTGTTCTCTGCAACCAAAGCAGCGTTGCTATAATTTGTTCCACACCCGCCAGCATTTTAAAAATAGCGTAAATTCTTGTTTTAAAATTCTGCAGTATTCACAGTAGCTTTGATAGGCCTCAAAACTTCTCTTTTAATGTTTTTCTTGCCAAAAAATTCTCTAAAAATTAATATTTTTTAAATTTTATTTACTAACTTGTAATAGGAAAGAATCAATGGCAGAAATATCCGTGCTGCCATAGTGTGGGAAGCTCATTTTTAGGTAATAATACGCCAATTCACCTTTTGTTAAATAGTAAACTGCTATAATCTCCTAAACTACAATGTTAATTCTCCCTCTCATAGAGAGCGACACGCTTTATAATTTTTTTAATTCATTGTACAAGGTAACTGTCCTAGGTTAACTGTACATTTACAGGGAACTTTACAATACGAATGCAAATAAACCCTTAAAAAGGTTATTCCTTCCTATCATCTCCTCTAGAGCCCGCAGTCACTAGATAAGCTTAAAAGTTATAAAAAGCGATCTTTTTTTTAATTCTAAAGCTTCTAGATTATCCCTGAGCTTGCCTGTTTAAAAATAGTAAGCTCTCCCCTGTAGAGTCTTTATTTCTTGAGCTTTTAAAATTTTTAACTGCACTACTATAAGAGGGCTCCCATTTATTAACTGCGCCTGCACAATAATCAATAGTACGAACAGACGATATATTTGAAGTAAATTATAAACTGTAACCTACTTTTTAAGTATTATTGGTTAATAATATAACCAAAGTATATATGTATATAAGTGGAGTAATTAAAATGGTTGTTCTTTTTATTGTGCTGAGGTGACTACGACTTTTACTTGGTTGAGAAACATTTGTTTTATAATATTAGGTAAAGAATAATCTATTAAAGGATCCTCGAGTAACATGGAGGGGTGAATTCTGTTTTGGCATTTAGCAACTTATATTAAAAATAATTAATTTATATAATAACACTATTACTAAGAGTGAACAAGTATTATAAGGTAAAAACTGTTCACTTTAAAAAAATAATAAAAAAATTTAATTTTTTATTTTTGCGAGGGAGTAATACTGCTCGAGCAGTAAAGAGTTAAAGATTACTGATGTAGACCCCAAATTTTGGTCTTAAAAATTCAAAATATAAATTTGTTCTTAATGTTTATATTTAGAAACCAAAGCAAGTTTATTATTTAAGTATTATCGAATGCCATAAAACAATATACATATTAAATCAGAATTATAAGTTTAAAAAATATGAATAACTATTTAAAAGTATAAAATTCAATATATAGATGTATACCATTCTAAAAAATATGGTAACAATTAAGAGATCATCAATAAAAATACCAGGGTCATACTAAGTTAAATAGATTTAGATAAAATATATTCAAATAAATATTTATTATTTTAAGTACAAAGTTGGCATTAGTTATTTTTTAAAATGTTAAGTTTAAAAATGTTGTCAAAATGGAAGTTTACCATGTAACGTAAAAAGTATTATTTTGTGGTCCGTCGCCGGTTTACCGACTATTAATACCATTACAGTATACTTGTATTTTGCTTAGCTTTCTTTTAGGAGTCAAGAATAAAAAACTTGGTTAGATTTTTAGAAAAAATTAATTTTTTTTATTTAAGACGAAATTTATTTACGTTTCACATCAAAAATAACTAAAAAAAATAAATTAATTATAAATTTAAAATAGTTGTAACAAAATTGTTAGTAGAAATATTTTGGTTTTTTTATTAAGTGCACTATAAAGTTTTATAACGAGACGTAAGTTAAAAATTATGCAAACTTGGGGTCATGTCTGTGCCCTCTAAACACTTAGGATAAAGATGAGAGACTGTACTCTATTCCACATCCACTTCCAGTAATAAAATTATGCTAATATTCATTAATATTAAAAAATAGCTTTACTTAAAAGGCCCCTAAATAAATTTACCCCTTTCCTATAACTAATACCAGACAAACTACATTAATAATTTATATAGCAGCGACTAGTGTGAATTTTGGGCCTATAAAAAGTATATATTAAATAATCCGATTTTTTTAATGAAGCACTGACTAATATGTGTTAAACTCAGACTTAGATTTTGAGTTTTCCGCCTAAAAAGCATGAGTACAAATATAAAATTTGTTAAAGATTTAGCTTAACAATTTTAAAAAAAAAGCTGGGCTTTTCTTCTCAAGTTAGTAATATATCCGAATTTATACGGGTAAACTATGAATAAAATATCAGAAAAAATTATTTTTAGAAAATTAAAAGTGTGGCAAAACCTTTGGATTTCTTTTGTGCTACTTTTGTTGTATGGTATATTTTAACTTGCCATTAAAAATGAGTAAAGCAGGTGCTTCAAGTTTTCAATTTTTCGGGCTGACAAAAACAGGTTTACTAAAGTGAATAAGGAAGATTTTAAAATTTATAGTTTTTCGGCAATTTACAGACAAACAAGGAAGGCGGGACCACTTAAATAAAATTTCTTTCTGTAACATTTAAAATTTCAAGTCCCAAAGATGCAACGAAGTTTTTAAAATGATAAAGAGCATTGTGAATCTAGGAAGCATAGTTTGCAGAAGGCTTTACATTATTAAGATGTTTCTAAGAATTACTCTTTTTTTTCTTAAAGAGCTGAAAAAGGGTTTTAAGTTCCCCACTTAATTCGCAGCCGTACGCTTGTAGATTAGCAATAAATAACTAGAATTAAGAAGTTTAGCTAAAAGTCCCTTAAAAAGATTTTCAGTAGTTGACTCACCTAAGCAGAAACCATAGATATAACCAAAGAAAATCCACCAGCTGTATTTGTAATGCAGAGGTGGAATTAATTTTGAAAATGGAAATTAAAAATAATATAATACTTATTAGTTGTAATATTATATAAATTTTAAGAAATTCTTACTATGATCACTTTATCACGTAATAAAATTTAACTGAATACCATTTTTTTTCTAAAAACACATTGTCATATGAAAAAACCTTTTTATTAACTTTATGCCTGTGGTCAAATTTCCTATTTTTATAAAAACTAAATAAATATGTAGTCGTGGGTGAAAACATAAAAACTGGTTTAAACTTTTTTTGCTATTTCCTACATTAAAGGAATAAGCAATAAAGCTTAACGAACCCAGAAACGAGTAGAAGTAACTAATAACTTTATATCAGTAAACGGGATTATTTACCAATAACGGATTCTCTTTAAAACTCTTCAACCGATTACCGTTATTTGAAAATTTTATTTTTTAATTCCAGCTCGTTCTGCGTTGAACCTATTCATGGGTAAATTATTATCAGAAATGTTAAGCCTAAAAACTGCTAATTGTGATGATTCCACTCTATACAGGCATAATTGTATTAACTGAAAGCTAAAGTGCTGCACAGTCCCATAACGTTAAAGATTAGAAACAGGTAAAAGTCCAAAAAGTTAATGTAAAGACTAGAGTTTGTTTATAAAAGATTTCTGTTAGTTGGTATTTTCTAATTTAAATATAAACATAAAAGAAAGAAAAACGCAAACGTACCCAAAAGACTTGGTTAATATTACTGTGAAGTATAATATATGTTACAGCAAACATTCTATTTATGGGTTTTACGTTTAGTATTCTACTAAAAATAACAATTCTAATTAGTAAATAACATAAAGTTATAATTAAATTAATTATACTCAGAAATTTACTACTACAAACGAATTTTTTTTGGCAAATAGTAATATCTTTCTAGTCTTTCTAATGAATTGAAATTAATAATATACGTCAAAAGTGGATGAAGCGAAAGTGTTTTACCTAATTTGTTTTAAGCTTATTTCTTTTTTTTTATATCCCTCTATTATTATGAATATTAATAAAATAACTAGGCTTGTATTTTAGTTATCTGTTAATCGTTTGTTTATCTTTTACGTTTTTTAATGAAAACCTATCATTTGGGTTGTCGTCCACCCAAAACTGTTTTCAACTAAAAAGGAAATGCATAAAGGCGAGTTCTCTTTAAGGGGAAAGTTTCTTGCCAATACGGAAGACGGCAGTATTTTTTACTGGATATGCTGTAGACTTCTTATCAACTTTCGAAAGATATATATTTTTTAATACGCTCTTCTCTTATCTAAAGTAGCATACGCGTTAGCATAAATAACGTAATGAATCAAGTTATAGAATCACTTAAATATAATAAGTTAGACGAAGTTTGCGCTTTGTTAAAGTATAAATATGTTTTAGGCAGCAAAATACGCCCAACTGAAGGTTAATATAGTTTTTATAAGTAATAAAACTTTAATCACAAAAGTAAAAAAAAAATAAATATACAATTATAAAATTGTCTAGATGTATCCAGCGATATGCGTCGCTGTTATGAGCTGCTAGAGAGCACAAGTCGTTCTTTTTACGCTGTAATTATGAATTTGGATCCGGAATTAAAGCCAGCCATATGCATCTTTTATTTGGTAGAAAACTTTTTCTTTAAGTCTAACATCTAGTAAAATATTTTATTTAATTTTTTATTTACTTTTAAACTTTTTTATATCTGATTTTGCATAAAAGGTGTTACGTGGTCTAGACACTATTGAGGATGACATGACTTTAGACGTTGATTACAAATCTCAACTTCTTCGAGATTTTTATAAAGTTCTGGAAAAGGATTGTTGGTTAATAATTGTTATTTTAAAAAAACTTATATCTCATTTTTTTTTTTTCTCCTTCCTTGTTAACTTTTTCAAATAAGTAACGTTTATTATATATATAATAAAAACGTAAAGGAATTTTACTCAAAGTGGCGAAAATCAAAAGGATCGAATCTTGTTGGTGGAGTTTGATTGTGTCATTCGAGAGTTTTGTAAATTAAAAAAAGCCTATCAAGAAGTTATAATTTCCATAACCAAGCAAATGGCGGAAGGCATGATCTATTACGCCGCTGCCATCGTCGAGACTTTAGAGGATTGGGACAAATATTGCTACCACGTGGCTGGTTTACTTTTACTTATTTTCAGATCAAGTTATTTTTGATTACGAAAAAATTTACATTTACATTTTATATCGTAAAATAATTCTTATGTGATTTATAATTACATTGAATTTGGATTTCTAATTTCTTTTATTATATTTGTTTTATAAAAATTTATAATATTTTTTTATTCTTATATTCTCAACTTTTTATTATAAATTTGATTAAAATTAATTGTTTAACTATTTTTTTATTATAAAATTTAATATTAAATTATGTTTTTATAACATTTACTTAGTTACATTTATCTTTTTATATTAATTTTATATTATGTCTTATAAAAATCTAATTAATTAATTAATCATTTTTTATAACATTTACTTGTTATGAGTTTATCTTTAATTAATTTTTAAAAATTTATAACCTTTACTTAACTCTTATTAATCAATTAATAATATTAAACAAGCTGCTTTATTGAAGGTGAAAACAGCGGTTCCCACGTGCATGCTGGGGACTCAAAAACTTTTTTTTTTACTTTTTTATAGAAAAATGATTTGCGTGATTTTTTATTATTCTCAATAATTTACCATAACGAGAAATTTTCGATTTATATTTAAATTTATTTTTTTTTATAAATTTTTTAAAAGAAATCTGTATTATTATTATTTATTGTGAATATTTAGCCATTTAGCTTATTATATTGAAAAATTTTTGATTTTTATATAAAATTTCTTTCAATATTCATAATTTTTTGGTATTTTTTCGGAATAAAATTTATTATTATTTATTATTATTGTCCCTTGAGAGGGACTTGTACACATACTAAATAACCTGCGCAAGTGCCTTTAACTGGTATCACCGGTTTATAACTTGATGTCAATACCCAATGACTGCACCATATTTATTTTTTATTATTATTTTTTTTTTTAAGTTTTATAGTTTTATTATTTTATTAAAATTTTTTTTATAACTACTTTCTATTATATATTGGAATTTTTTCTAATTTATAATTTTAGGTTCTAAATTTTTTTTAAAATTTACCATGAGTACTTATAGTTTATAATATTTTTTTTATAACTACATTGTATTATACATTGAACATTATCAAAATTTTAATTTCCTGTCAATAATTCTTTTATAAATTTACTTTGAGGTCTTTTTGATTTTTAATTTTTTTAAAAACTTTTTTGTCAGGGCTAGTTGGAATCGGATTATCTAAAATTTTTTCAGTAAGCGGGTTGGAGGATGAGTCAGTGGGCAGTACCACGGAACTTTCTATCGCGATGGGTAAATTAAATTTAATTAATGTTGTGGAGGATTATTATTATTTTTTTTTGCATTTAAACTTAAACTTTTTTTTATTTTTTTAACAGAAATAAAGCATAACTATTAAAACAGTTACAATTAAAGAGACTAATAAAAACTTATTTTTAATTTCTTTATTAATTTTTTTAAAATTTTGATTATATCACTTTTCATTTTAAAAACTCTTTTTGGAAATTTATGGTTAAATTATGAAAAATAACAAGTTTAAGTAAATTTTAATACCGTTATTATATTTATTATGTTAATTAAGTTTAAAAATTAAAAAAAAGTTTATATATAAATTTAAATTTTTATGCAAATTTACATAGTTTCATAGTTAATTTAATTTGTTTTTGGCTTAAACTTATATTCAAAGCAATTTTAAGAAAATTAATAGTTTTGTGTAAAAAATTATAAATAAAAATTAATTATATATATTAAAACTTTTATTTATTAATCTCTAATAAATTAATAATTTTGAATAAAGTTATAAATATAATTATTAATTTACTTATTGAGTAAATATTCAAGTAAAAAAAATTTTATGTAAATTTATAGTAGAAAATATAAAAGTTTTACTTTTTTTTAATTTTTAATAAATTTCCAAGGAAAAAAAAAATGAAGGTTAAAATAAATTTTTATTAGAAAAAAATTTATGAATTAATTTATCTAAAAGTTTTCATTTTTTAAGTAAAGTTACAACTAAAAAAAAGTTGAGTTAAATTTTTATTAGAACATATTTTTTAAAATAATTTTTTTCCAAAGTTTATTTTTAAATCTTATTTAATTTTTTAAGTAAAAAGAAAGTTTAAATAAATTTGTATTAGAAAATAAACTTTTTAATAATTTTTTAATAGTTTTTATTTATTTTTAAATAAAATTACAACTAAAAAAAAGTTTAGAATTAATTTATATAAAAAATTAATTATACTTTCGATTCTTTAAAAGTTATAATTTTTTTTTAAATTTTATGTAATTTTACAAGTTAAAAAAAAGTTCAAATTAATTTTTTATTATTAAATTAATAATAAATTTATTTTGTTTGTAAAGATTCTAAATTTCTCTTTATTATAATATATTTTTATTTTTTTTAATATATTCTATACTAAATCTATTTTTTCTTAAAGTTTTTAAAATCTTCTCAAGCAAAATTAATTATGAAAGTATAAAATTTTTACTTCTTTTTTTAATATAATTTTTTGAATATTATTTATTTTCTTACGATAAACTTTAATAGGTTTTCATATTAAAAATTTTTTTTAAAAGCAAACTCTTTTTTGTAATAAAATTTTTCGTACTTTAAGTAGTTTTTTATGTATAAATTGTTTCTAAAATTGTATTATTATTATTAACTTTTTATAAATATATTGTATTTTTATTTTTATTTTTATTATAACTTTATCGTATTTTATTTTTTTTAATACTTATTAAAAAACTTTTATTATTTTTTTTATATATCTAAAAAAGTTTCTTTCTATATATTATTATACCACATTTTAAATTTTTTTTGCTAACTTTTATTATTCTTAATGTTGTGTTTATTTTTTATTATAATAAATTTTATTAATTTTTTTTTTTCATAACAAAATCAGGTTTGTTCCTTCAGAAAACAAATATTATTCGGGACTTTTTAGAGGATTTCTCAGAAGGTTTTTGATTTTTTTATTTATATATCAATAAAATTCTATTAAAAATATATTTTATAAAAAATAAATAAATTTTTATATAAAAGTATGAATATACGATAAAAGTTTTTATACCAATAAAATTAGTATTCAAATTCTATATAACTACATTTTTATATTTTTTTATTTAAATATAATTATACGATAAAAGTTTATAATAATAGTTATTTAAATTTTATAATAAATAATTTTTTATAATTAATTTTTTTTAAAATATGAATGTACGCTAAAAGTTTTTATAATAGTAATAATTTAAATTACATAATAAATATTGTTTTATTAATAATTCCTTTAAGAAATTAATTGTTTATACTAGTAATAATTAAATTTTTTATAAAGTAATTTTTAGTACTCAAGTTGAATTTATGGTAAAAGTTTTTATAATAAAGATATTAATTTAATATTTTTTTTATTAGTAGTTTTAACAAAGAGTTTCTTATACTAAAATATGAATGTACTATAGAAGTTGTAATAATAATAAAATAATAATAATTACTATTATTTAAAATATTTTAGTGCTTATTTTTATTTTTATTATAATCATTATCATTTCTTTTATTTTTTTGTTTTATACCAAATTTTAAAGAAGAATTAGTATATTTTTCATTATGATAATATTTTTTAATATTTATAATAATAATTACTATCTTTGTTATTTATAGAACTTTTAGTGAATATTCTTACTTTTATAATAATAATAAATAATTTTATTTTATTATTTTTTTGTTTTATATTTAGCGATGACTTTTTTATTAGTTTTTGTAACAATAGTCATAATAATAACCATAATAATAATAATAATAGTTTTTTTATATTATGATAATTATAATTTTTACTATTAAAGAATTTTTTGTGGATATTTTTACTTTCATAGAAATGCTAATTTTAATTTTTTTTTATCGTTTTATACAAAATTTTTATAAACTTTTGGCATTTTATATACAATAATAATTACGAGTATTTGGTTTTATATAAAATTTATTGAAGTTTTATTATACTTTAATTTAGAAAATATTATATACTGACTTTATTATTTTTTTTACAATATCTATTGGGAACTTTTTCGTTTATATAAAGTTTAGAAAAGTTTTAGTATTACTAAAGTTGTATAATTTCATTATTATATTTATATTGAAAACTTTTTATTGTTAATATAAAATTTTTTTAGTATATATTTATTACCAAATTGTATAATAGATAAATCTTTATAATAGTAATTATAAATAAATTTTTTTTTTATATTTTTATCCAAAATTTTATAATAGTAATGATATACTCTTATTTTTAGTAGTAATATAATAATTTTATATATACATAGTATATTTTTATTACTAAATTGTGTAATAAATAAATCTTTTAATAATAATTATTATATATAATTTTATTTATTTACTTTTTTTATTTAAAATTTATTTATTTTATAAGCATTTATAAATAATATATTTTTTTTACTAAAGAAAACTTTTCTGTATAAATTTATAAAGTTTTAGTATATTTTTTTTTTATTAAATTGTAAAATATATTTATTTTTTATTTTTTTATTAATAACTTTTATGAAATTTTATCTTTTTTTCATCATCATTTTTAGTTTTTAACTTTTTCATTATAGAATAATAATTTTTTTATTTTTTTAATAATAGATATAAACTTTTTTTTAATAAATAAAAACTATATATTTGAGGATTCTGATAATAATAAGTGTTAAAAAAAATTATTGATATGAAATATTTAATATTAAATAAATATAAATAGTTTTAACAAGTAATACTTATAAAATATAATTATTTTAAAATAGCCAATAAATAATAAATATAATAAATAATTATTAGTAAATAGTAAATAATTATATATAAATAGTAAATAATAAATAAATAATAAATATTATAATACTTATGAATAGTAAATAAGTAAATATAAATAAATAATAAATATCAATATTAAGTAATAAAAATAAAATAATAAATAATAAATAAAATAAAAAGTTTTTGTTTAAGTAATAATAATTATTTATAAATAAAAAATGCTTTTAAAAAAATTTATATAAATATTTAAATATCATAAAATTTCTGAAGTAAATTCTTATGTTTTACTGTTTTATATTTATTTACTTGAAAACTGATTTATTAGGAAAACTTTTATTGTACTATAAAATTTATTTAAAATTTTTAGTTACTTTTATTATAATAAATAAATTCAAGCGTTTAACCCTTTTTTTTATTGAATTAGAAAAATGATATAATTTTTATGAAAGTATTTTATATATACTTTTTAATGAAGAAGAAAAATGTAATAATTTTTATGGTATAAAGTTTATTATTATTTTTTTTATTTAAAATTATTATTATTTCCTATATTTCTCAAAACTCTTCTTATTGTTTTGAAATTTTATTATTTATTATATTTCTCAAAACCTTTATTATTAATATTTGTATTTTTTAAACTTTTTATTATAATTTTTTTATAACTTTAAAATACTCATATTATTTTGTATATTTCTAAATTTTTATTATTAATTTTTATATTTAAAACTTTTCCTATAAATTATTATTTTTGGAAGATTTTATTATTACTATTTATATTTTAAAAAAACTTTACTAATATATTTTTATATTTTCTAAAACTTCTATTATTATCTTTTATTAAACTTGTATAATTATTATTTGATATTATAAATTTTTTTTAAATTTTTATTAAAAAGTTATTAATTATTACATTTTAGTAATAATTTATTATATTTTTCCTATCATTTTACTTTTTTTAATATGAAAATGATTTTTTTTTTCCTTTATATTAATTTTTTTTAATTTTTTTAAAAGTTATTTACTTTTTAAAATAAATTTTACTTTATTACCTTAAAATTTTTGGTAAATATTTTCAATTATTATTCTTATATTTTACTTTTTCATTATTATCGTTACCCCTTTATTCTTAACACGTTAAAATAGATTTCATTAAAATATTTGTTTATTTTTTTTAAAATATCATTATTTTTCTTATCAATCATTTTACTTTTTTTTGTAAATTTAAGTTAAATTTAATTATTTTTAGTTCTAGAACTTTTCACTTCAAAGTTTTTAATGAATTTTTTTGTTGTGAATAAATTTTAAGCATACATATTTGTTATAGGAAGAATATTCTGGCCTTCTTCAGTATGGAAAAAGTATGCAAAGCGTATTGAGGATTTTAAAAATATTCGAAACAAGCAGGAAGCGTTGCAGTGTCTAAACGAATTAATAACAAATACTTTAAAACATGTGCTTTTTATTTTATTATTTATTATAAGAAAATTATAAAAAGTTATAAATAAATATTTATTACAAAAGATATTCATAATTTTGTCATTTTTTTATTTAAGTTTTTTATATATATAAAAAATTTTACTTTTTTTTTCCATCATTAAAAAATGATTGATTCTAACGGCGGTATTTTTTTTAATGAAGGTTCCTCAAGTCTTGGGCTACTTAAATTCCCTCCAAAATCAAAGCGTCTTCAACTTTTGCGCCATTCCACAAGTCATGGCAATCACCACATTGGCTCTATGCTACAACAATTACAGCGTTTTTACTGGTTGTGTGAAAATCAGAAAGGGGTTGGCAGTAAAATTAATGACAAACACTACAACACCAGCGCATGTCCAATGGACTTTCTTTACGGGTTCTTCCCCCATGTCTATTCGTTTATTGTTTTTATGATAAAATATTGGATGTACTTGACTGGTTCTTTTGCATTATTTGATTATTGCCACTGGTTTAAATTTTGTGAAAATTCTTCTGATTATTCGTACTTGCCATTTTTTATAATTTTATTTTATTTGATTGGATGTTTACGCAAAATTCCTTTTCACTAACGAATAAAACTTATGCTAACTGTGATTGGTCGTTTACGCTATTTTATAAATATATGAGTTATATTTTAGCTTTTCCTTAAAATTACAGAGTTTAATTATGATTGGTTGTTTGTGATATTTTTCATTATTTTTATTTGCTTAAAATTTTTAACTTTTTTTTCGGGTTATAATTGCAGAGCTCAAAGAAATTTATGATAAAACTGATCAGGAGCCAATGGCCAACGCCGAAACGATGAAGGTCTTAAAAGAGTGCTTCCAACTGCCAATGATAGCTCCTTTATTAAAGAAAGGACGACTATTGCGCTTGGAGGGAAATCGACCAATCATATTTTGTTTACTTTTTGTGGCCACTCTTATATTGTCCGTCAAAATGCAGCAGTAATAGCGACGGGGAAGTCCAATAACATAAAAACTTCTACAGCGCGAAAAAATTAGTAGTTGAGCGCAACTGTTTTAATGAAATTTATAACAATGAAACGCCAGTTTTTTAGAAATAAATAAATAAAAAAAATGGAATATAAAAGTCATTTATTAATATTATTATCATTACTTTCCGCTGCAATTTTTTTCAGAAGCTCTTTTTTAGTAAAAGAATAAAAACTTTCTTTCCAGTACGTTCTAAGTTTTTGTAAGGTAGCACCTACCAGTTTGCCTGTGAAAATACGTTAATTTGCACCAAGTAAACAAAAATAAATTTTCATTGGTCAACTAACGAGTCTACCAACGGGTTTTTAGCCAGTAATAAAAACCACCAGCCAAAGTAAATTTAGTGAAACTTTATTAGTGCGTAAAATTTAATAATAATTATAGAAATATTATAAAGAAAAAAAAATAAAGACAAAACCACGTGGAATGCCGCAAGCAATGACGTCATTTCCCGAGACAGGAAAGTCGGGAATTTCAAAATCAATTAGTACCTGCGCACTTTCGGGATCACCTGCATTATGACTATTATTATTATTTTATTATTATTATTTATTATTATTATTATTATTATTATTATTATTATTATTATTATTATTATTATTATTATTATTATTATTATTATTATTATTATTATTATTATTAATTGTCACCCCAATAAAGCAAAAGTTCGTGAACAAAAAGAAGCTTCACTTTATCGACAAGCAAATCGGTGGCGTATTTAAAGCGTCGTCGAGAAACTTAATAAGACTTTTTATTTGTTTATTTATAATAATAATAATACCGATAACAACAATAATAATAATAGTAATAATAATGATAAATAATTCTGCACGTTTATTTTTTTCTTCAAAGAGAAAGTCTTTGAAAGCGTCGCGATGTTGAAGAATAAAAAGACCTTCAAAGCGTATATAAAAATAATAAAGATAAAAACAGTAATTATAATAATATTATAATTATATTAAGATAATAATAATAACCTAAATTTTTTTCATTATTAGACAGATTCCAGCGTCTATGGACGCAAAGAAAATCCTCTGACGTTTCTAATCATATTATTAAAATATAATAATAATAATAATAGTAAGTAAAAGGGGTGGACCTAATAAAGATACCAACAACGACACCGGATTGGAGGAGAAAATGGAAACAGTGGCCAATGAAGTAAGCCTGTTGCGATTAACCAACTGAATGCACTCGCAAACCTAAAAAGTAATTATAATAACAGTAGTAGTAATCATAATCATAAACAATAAAGCAATAAAATAAAAATAACAAAATGCAAAAACGAACCATATCTAAATAATGCACCAATGAAACATTATAAAAAACCTACGCATTACACAATAAGAAAGTTTTAAAAAAGAACCCAATAACTTAGCAAATAGGAAAGCGTTATAATTTTACAAAACGAATGCCCACGGTTAAGCGCAGATGATTGGGTAAAATATTTAATATAACAAATATAATGAAAAAAAAATTCCATTAACCCCGCAGTCAAACATGCACTTCATAATATTAACGTTTCGCGGGCCGGTTAGTATTTTTTGAAGTTCGTTCCATATTCTTTCCCCTGAAATAGTTCCTGAATAATAACAATAACCATAATAATAGTAATGGTAATAATAATATTTATACGAAGTCCATTTTTTAAGTGCTCAATAGCGTTGATGATGTCTTCATCGTAGTCGTCTGTGAGAGACACGCGGCCGTGAAAACGAAAATACCGAAGAATTCTTAAGTAATCTTCGCATATTCTACGCATCGGCGAACCTTAATATTATTATTATAATTGTTAATACTATTATTATTATTGTGTATAACAACGAACCAACAAACCGGATAATGCCAAGCTTTAAATGTTCTCTTCCATTAAAATAATCATAAAGGTAACCATCAAAACTACAATAATAATAATAATAATAATAATAATAATAATAATAATAATAATAATAATAATAATAATAATAATAATAATAATAATAATAATAATAATAATAATAATAATAATAATAATAATAATAATAATGATAAACGCCTCAAACTCATTGCGTTAATAGTCAAGTCTCTTCTTTCAGCATCCAAACGCCAATTCTCCGTAAATTCTACAACCGCGTGACGGCCGTCACATGCTTTTACTCGTTATTATTAATAATAATAATATTATTATTTATTTATGCCTATATCGGTACGAAGTGATGTTATTTCATAAGTTTGTTTAGAAACTAATGCCGTGATGGTGCCGTGCTATAGTAAATTTTAATAATAATAACAAGAAATAATAATAATAATAATAATAAAACCTGAAGACCAGTTTCATAAAAACGAACATTTTCGCTCTTGAAAAGATCAGAAACCTTTTTTATGTAATAATAATAACTTCTGATATGAATATTATAAAAGTTTTCTTTATAGTATTTAAAATAGTCTTATTTTGTGTAACAATATTAACGTTTTTTATAGTAACGATAATATTAATAATAAATATAAAGTACATAATAAAAGTAATGACTAAAAAGTGTAATATTTATAAAAAAGTAAAATTAATGGTTTTGGTATAATTTTCAAATATATTAATAATAATTGTTAAACTTATCTTAAACTTTATAATAATAATAGTAATAAAAGTTTCTTAACTTTTCTATAACTTTATAATAATAATAATAATATCTTAGTCTTTTTTATAAGTTTATAATAATTACAATAAAAGTTTCTTGTACATTTTTATAACTTTAATAATAATAATAATAGTTTCTTAAACTTTTTCATAACTTTATTATAATAATAATACTATACTGTTATAATGATAATAATAAAAACCCTATAAAGTTTCTTCCACTTTCTATACCTTTTTAATAATAATAATAATAATAACGATAATAATAAAAGTTAAAAGTTTCCTTGAACTTCACGTGCAACTACTTTAGAAAAGCTTTTAACTTTTATAATCTTAATAATATTAAAAAGTTTCTTAATACACTTTTTTATACTGTATTTAACTTTTACGATAATAATAAATAAAAATAATAAATAATATAATAATTAAATTTCATTTTTTTTAAGTTGGTAGAAACTTTTAACTTTTTCTTATTTATATTGCATTTCCTTAAACTTAAAATAATAAAAATATTTATAAGTAGTAAAAGTTTTAGTTTATAAAATTTGGGAAAGTTATACTTTGAAGTACTGTAAAGTAAAAGTTTAAGGCATTTTTATTATAAAAATAATATAATTTACATATAATTTGACACTTTTAGGTAAATTCTAATAGAAAATATTAAAGTTTATAGAATAATTTAGTTAGCAACAAAACTTTTTAACACACTTTTTCATTTATTAAGAAAAATAATAGAGAGCTTATACATAAATTTACTTTATAAGTAAAACCTTTATGTATATTTAATCAAAAAAAGTAAATTTTATATATTTTCTTTAAAAGTAAATCTTTTAAGTATTTTTAGTATAAAATAATAAAGTTTATATATAAATTTACTTTATATTAAAGATTAATTTATAAATTTTCTACAAAAAGGAACTTTTAATAATATATATACTCCAAAAGTAAAACGTTTATATATAAAAAAAAGAAGTTTATATATATAACTTGTGCGGGAGTGGCGTTGGTGGCCAAATCTACGTCACCAGGACATTTGTTGAGACAAATATCTCGAACGACTCCTAAAAAAAGTTAAAAAAACATTAAGAAAAATTTCGTATGAAAAATAAATAATCAAAATATACAATTATTATTAATAAAAAATACTATTTTTTATTAATAATCAATAAGAAAAGAAAAGTTCATAAATATTAATAAAATATCAATAAAAATATACTTTAAGTAATAATAATTGTAAAGAAAATAAAAAGAGAATAAATTAATAAAATATTCATAAATAAATATATTTTTTATAAAAGTTTATGGCAAAAAATATTTTAAATGCTTCCTAAAAAAAGGAGCTAAACTAAAAAAATAATATAAATATCGATAAAGTATATTTTATTATAATAATAATAAAAAGTGAGAAAGAATAAAAATAAAAATAAAATACTTAATAAACTTTTTTTTTTAAAGTTATTCATAAATATTGTGAACGACTCCTAAAAAGTATTGATAAGTAGTTTGCAAAAATATATAAATATTAATTTTTATAATAATAATTATAAAAATAGAAAAGAAATAAAATATTTTTTTTAATAATAATAATAAAAAATTATTTTTTATAATTATAACAATAATAAGAAAATAAAAAATTAATTAAAAAAATATTAATAAAATGTATTTTTCTATTCTATAAAAATAAAATCATAAAAATTTTTCATAGAAAACAATAAATTTAAAGAATAAGTAATAATAATAATAAATTTTTATGTCTATTATGCAATTGCTTTCTTTATGACTTTCTTGTAAAATTGTTAATAATATTTTAATAAAAATAAAAATAAAACTGTAATATACCAATAAATATTCAAATAATAATAGATTTTATTATACAAAAATATATAATAAAAAATGAATTTTATTATTGTTTAAAGAAATAATAAAAATATTATTAAAATGTTAACTTTACTATACTTTTTAAAATAAAATTTAGCAAACTTTTTATGAGATTTCACTAGAAACGGTTTATTTCGTTAAAATATCATTAAAATAAACGAAAACACATTTTTAATATAATGAAAGTTAATATAAAATTTAAAGAAGAGTAAGAAAATCCTTTTTTCTTCAAAAAAATTATAAAATATATGAAAAAGTAGAAATATTTAGAAAATATTTAAATAATAAAAAATAGTGAAAACTTTAATTTTTTCATGATATCAGTATAATATAATTTTTAGAATAATAAATTTTTAACTAATATTGTAAAGAAATATTAATAATAATAAGTAGTTCCGACAAAGAAAATCTAAGAATATATAAGAAACTTATAAATTTATATATATTATAAGTGTATTTAATATAAATGTAATAATTATTTAAAATTTTTATTTATTTATATAATTTTACAAAGAATATATAATGAATTATAAATTTTTGTCTTTTATGATATAAAATAAAATATCTATTAAAATGTTGTAAAAAGTAAAAATATTAATAAAACTTGATAATAAAAAGTAAATTTAATATTAAAAATACATGTTTAAGAACTTTTGCCGAATAATTTTTTTGAAAATAAAAAATTTGTATAATAACTTTTTGTAACAATAAAAATAAAATAATAATAATACTTTTCCAAAGAAAATGAAAGGAATATAATTATATATACATTATAATAAATATATATGAAATAATTTTACATAGAAAATAAATAAAAATAATATTGTTTTCAAAATATTAATAATATTTAAAAAAATAAAATACAAAAAAATTTTTAAATAATAAAAAGTTAAATATATCATTTATTTATTCTTTTAAATTTAGTTATAATAATAAATAATAAAAATAATAAATTATAGTTTAACAAAGAAAATTAATAAGTTTTATATTTCTTTTTAATATTAATATGTAATTATAATATTAAAAAAGTAAAAATAATAATTAATAAAAAATAATGAAATAATTTTTTTACTAATAAATTGAAATTTAGAATTATAAATTATTATAATAGTAATAAAAAGTAAATTTTTTAATAAAACAAAAATTTTAAATAATTAAATAGTAGTAATAAAATTTAATAAATATCTAAAATAAATAATAAAATTATAAATAATAAAAAGTAAATTTTTTTAATAATAAAATAATTTTATATTCAAAAAATAAAAAATAAACGAAAAAGCTCAAATAATACTTTTACGATAAAATAATTGAAAGTATATTAAAAAATTAAATGTATTAATAAAAATATAAATAATAAGTAGAAAAATATTTTTTTTAAAAAAATATTTAAAGTTATAAAATAATTAAATAATTAACTTAAAAAAAAATTATTAACAATTATATAATAAAATAATAAAAAGTATATTAAGAAATTATAATAACAGAAAGTTAATATTTTAATTTTTTTATGATTTTAAACATTTAAAAAAAATTATAAAAAATAATAAGAACAAGAAAAATATATTATAAAGTTTAAAAAAACTATTTTTTTTATTTTTCTAAAGTATTATAAATAAAATAATATTCAGATAAGTTGAGTAGATTTCAAAAAATATTTTATTGAAACAACAAATCTAATGAAAAAAGTTATAACTATAAAAATAATATTAAATAAATTATTAAAAAAAGTGAACCTGAAAAAAAAAATATTAATTTATAATAAAAATTTTAAGTAAAAGTAATAAATTAAAAAAAAAATTAAATCAATATAATTGATATTTTCTCATATTGTTATTATTTTTTTTTTTATAATACAATATTATATTTTTTTAATTTTCTTACGACTAATATATTTTATTATTAAAACTTTATACATATACCGATGTTTCCTCTTAAAAAAAAGTAATGAAAAAGTTGATCTTCAATATTTTTGTTATGAATTTTAAAAGATTCAATACGCCCACAAAAATTAAGTATAAATAAATATAATGAATAAAAAAATTAATAGAAATAATAACTAAAAAAACTAATAACAGCTTTATAAAGAACATTAAATAAGAATAATATAAAATAAAAATATACAACATTTTTGTAAAGCAGTTGCTTATTATTAGTAGTAGTATTATATTAAATACTCTAAATTATATAGGAGCTACTTTGCATGGGGAGAAAGTAGACTATCTTAGAAAAGTACTTTACTTTATTATAAAAATAATATAATAAACTTTAGATTTTTATAGTAAACATTATTATAATAAAATAAAGAATTTATTATAGATATAAATAAATAGTGAACCTTAAAAAAAAAAGGAAAATAAAGCAAATCAATAATAACTAAAGTTGAAAATAATAAGTAATAAAATTTACATTTATTATAAATAAGAATAATTTAAAAATAGAAATAAGTAAGAATTTTTATAATAAAAAATCAATAATAATAAAAGTTGAAAATGATTAATAATAAACATAAAAATTTATATTTGTTATAAATAAGATATGGCTCTACAAAAATAATAAAAAGTAAATCTACAAAATAATATAAAAATATATATCAATAATAAAAATTGAAAATAATAATTAATAATTATAAGAGAAAAAGAAATAAAAATAAAACTAAATTATTCCTCAATAAGAAGTGATTAGTATAAAAATAAACCAAAAATATAAAATGTATAAATTGAAAATAATATTAATAGTTATAAATAAATTAATTAATAAATAATATTAAGTAAAAGTAAATTTTAGATACAAAAAAAATAATATAATTTGCTTTAAAGTAAAAAAAAAATTTATTATAAACCAAAAAAGCTATAATTAATAAAATAAAAATAAAAATAAAATTTTGTTTTATAATAAAAAATGTTATTTATAAAAATTTATACCTAAAATAAAAAAATTTAATAGATAAATTAAAAAAGTTTTGAAGTAAACATTTGTAATTAAAATCAAAATTTTATTTATAAATCATATGTTATATAATAAATATTTATAAAAAATTTCAAAAATTTAATTTATTAAAAAAATTGTAATAATTCCAAACAAAAATTTTATTAATATATCAAAAAAACTTTAGAGTATAAAAATTATTAATAAAATTTAAATCTGATGTTAAAATTTATTAAAAAAATAGAAGCAGCCTCCAACAAGTTTTAACTGAAAACAGTGATTAGTGAAAGATATTTTAATAACCGTTGATTGAAAAAAAAAAGTTATAAAGTAAAATTTTAGAATTACAATTAAAAATATTCAATAAATCAAAAAAGTTATAAAGTAAAATTTATAAATACAATTAAAAATAATTAATAAATTATAAGTTGTACAGTAAATATTTGCAAATACAAGCAAAAATTTAGTTATAAATCAAAAAAGTTATTATGAAAATATTTAATATAAATATCAAAATTTAAGTAATGAAACGAACTATTCAATAAAAACTTTTAGTAACATGTGAAAGAAAGAACATAAATAATTAAATAATTAGTATAATGATGATATTAATGATAATAATAATAATGAAACAAACTAAACACAAAAATAAAAACCATAAGAAATAATACTAATAATAAGAAAAAATATTATAAAATAAAAACTTTAAGCAAAACAAAAAATGCTCAAAATAATAATAATTATAAAAATAATAAATAATGAAAAAACTAAAAAAATAATAACTTTAAGCAACGCACAAAATGTTTAAAATAATATTAGATAATAATAATGAAACAAACCAATAAATAAGAATTTAAGCGAAATATCATTTATTTAATGTAGTAATTATGAATAAATAAAAGTTGATAATAAAAAAGTGAAGCAACCTCCAACAAGTCTTAACTGAAAACAATGCTCAGTAAATATTTTGTTCAAGTAAAAAAGTTGAGGATTGAGAATAGAATGAAGTCGGTGATTTTGCTCAGAATTGAGTGTATATTTATAAGCAGAATCATCGTGAGCCATTCTGCTGCACTATCAAAAGAGTCATAAATAAAAGAAGATTTTTAAAAATAATAATAATAATTAAAATTAAAAAATTGACTAGTAAAAGTTTTTTATAACAATAATTTTGTTTTAAATAATAAAAAATTTTTATAAAATAATAATTTAAAAAAAAAATAAATAAAGCTGATTGATAAAAGTTTTATATAAAAAATAATTTAGTTGTAAAAAATAAAGAATTTTTACAAAACAATAAAATTTATTATAAAAATAGTTAAATATTGACTAATAAAAGTGATTTAAAATATTGATTTAGTAGTAAAAAATAAAAAATATTTACAAAATTATAAAATTTATAAAATTTATAAAAAAAATTTAGTTTTAAAAAATTTGAAAAAAAATATTTGCAATATATTACTTTTTAAAAAAGAAATAACAAAAATAAAATTGACTAATAAAAGTTTTTAAAAAAAAATTAATTTAGAAATAAAAAATTTAAAAAATATTTCCAAAATATAATAAAATTTTATAAAACTTATAAAAAATAATAAAATATTTTTTACTTAAAAAAGTTATTAATAAAATAATTTTGTTGTAAATTATAAAATATTTACAAAATAATATATTTTAGTAAAATTTATAAAAATAACTAAAAATGACAGTTAAGTATATGAAATAAATTCTATAAAAAAAATTATAAATTTTTCATAAATTTGTTAAAAATAATAAAAAATATCTCCAAAATATTTTTTTTTAATTTTAATAATTTTAACTAAAATTAAGTAAATAAAAGTTTTTTATAAAAAATTAAAAATTAGTACTAAATTAGTTTGTAAAAAATAAAAAATATTTTTTTTTTAAAAAATTTAAAAAACCTTACAAAATTGATAAAAAATATTCTTCTAAAAATTTTAATATAACTAAAAATGAATATAAATAAATATAAATGGGTAATAATTAAACTGTGAACAATAATTTTCTAAATAATAATAATAAAAATTTATTAAACAAATATTTTTATTATTTCAAAAAATAAAAAAATTTCACAATAGTAAAAAAAAATGTTTCTTTAAAATTTTTTTGGTATAACTAAAAGTGGATATAAAATTCATAAATTATTAAAAATTTGGTTGTAAGTTATAATAATAGAAATTTATAAACATTATAATTTTTAATTTAAAAATAAAGGAAGTTTACAAAATAATAAATAAATTAAAAATTTAATTAGTTTAAAAAAATAAAAAAATATATTTTTAAAATTTTTACTATATAACTAAATATGAATATAAAAAATTATAAATTATTAATTTAGTTGTGATTCCAATAATTTTCTAAATAAAAAAAATAAATTTTTAATTGATTACTTAAAAATATGTTTAAAAAAAAGTTTTTATTGTATAACTGAAATCAACTTTTAATGAAAATTAAATAATAATAATCTAAAAAAAAAGCAATCATTTAGAAAATTAGTTGAAAAAAAATTATTAAAAATAATAATAAAAAAATTATTGCAATACTAAAACTTATTATAATTAAGTTGAAAAATTTATTATAAAATATTACTTTTTTAATAAATAATGGGGAAAAAAATTTGCCATTCAATATGTATAAACATATTTTCTTAAAATTAAAATCAATAAGTAAAATTAACTTATAAAAATTAAAAAAATTAACTAAAAAATTTAGTTATAAAAATCGAAAAAGTGTAATAAAGTTTATATAACATATTTTTTTAATAAAATTTCTTTTTTTCACATTTTATAAATTATCGATAAATTAGATGTAAAAATTATTATGTTTACAAAATTATTAATAAAAAATTATTTTATAAATAATATTATTATATTACAGAAAATGACTAAATAAAATTTAAATAAGAACGTTTTTTAAAATTATTTATTATTAATTAAAAAAAAATTTATTTAAAAAACTATATAATTATAAATAATTAATCAAAAAATTTTTTTTTACAAATTTATATATAAAAAAATACTTTTTGTCAAAACTTACGAAGTATAATCAAAATTAACTTATAAAAATATAAAAAAATTAAAACTATTAGAAATCTATACTTTAAAAAAATTGAAAAAGACAAATTTTATTAATTTAGTTATAGAAAAATAAAAAATGTTTCTAATAGTAATTAATTTTCAATTCATTAGTAAAACTAAATTTAACTAAAAATAAAAATAAAAAAGTGCACAAAATTAAAAATTTAAAAAGAGATTATATGGATAAGTCATTAAAAAAAAATCTAGAAAAAAAAATTATTTTACAAAATTTAAAAAATATACTTGAGATGTGCTAAAAAAACTTTTATGCAAGAAAAGTTGATGAATTTTCGTTCTGTATACAAAGCCTGTTTGTAGGTATTTTTTGAGATGAATTTAAAAAAAAGTATTAAGTGACTTGAAATCAAGTAAATAAAAAGTTATTTAAAATAAAAAATAATCATAAAAATTAAAATTCAAGTAAAATTTTTAAAAAAGTAAACAAAATGTCAATCAGAACAAAATAAAACCATAAAATTTTTAAAGCAAGTAAAATTTTTTAAAACTTGAAAAAAAAAAATTTTATAAACTGAAGTAAATAAAAAAGTTTTATATATATTAAAAATAAAAGTATATATACATTAAGCACAATACTCTTTTCAAAAGTAAAAAAACTTTATAAATTAAATTTAATATAAAACAAGATGAGTAATTTAAATAGTATCCAAAAAAAATGCCTGCTTTCTGCATAGCCAGCCACTTAGTCTTTATTATAAAAAGAAAGCCTTTTCTATGCTTCACATGTTGGTTACATTTAGAATTTTTATTAAAAAAAAATATTCATGTCTCTATCTCTACTAAAAAAACCAAATTACCGATTTTTTAGTTTATACTATGTGCGCTTTTTATTTTTTTAATAAAAGTAATAAAATTGTAATTAATTATTTTAGAATTTAATAGCAAAAAGATGTTTAAATCTTCATGAATATCAAAGCAAAGATTTAATGTCTCGTTATGGAGTTAACGTTCAAAAATTTGTTGTAATTAGTAATCCTGAAGAAGCTATTGAAGCTGCAAAAAGTTTGAGTATGTTTTTAGCTAAAACTAATTTTCTTAATTTTAAACAAAATATTTAACCTTTAAAGTGTTTTTTTTTAATATTTTTCTAAATTTATTGTTTATACTTTTTTTTATTTTTTTCGATAGTGTTTATGAATTTTTTTTATTCTCTTCTTTAATACTTAAATTATTTATGCACTTTTTAATGCTTCTTTTTATATTTTAATTTTAAAAAGTATTAAAGTGTTTATGCTTTATATATATATATTTTAAATATTTTATTATTAATATTAGCGCTTATGCACATTTTTAACCTTTTTGTAATTTTTTCAATAATTTGAAAAGTGTGTTAATGCTTTTTTAATCTTTTTCACCTTTTTTTAAGTAATTTTTTAAAGGTTTAATAAAATTATTTATAAACGTCATAAATTATTATAAATATATATTAAATAATCATAAGAAAAGTCAAATATATTCACTAAAAATTTAAAAACTTCTTGAATAAAATGTTTACAATTTTTTTTTTCTTATTACTACTTTATTATTTTTTTTAAAGATTATATTTTTTAATCTTTTTTAATATTTTTTTAAAGATGCTACGGAATTTGTAGTCAAAGCACAGCTTCATGCTGGCGGTCGTGGTAAAGGAACTTTTAGTAGCGGTTTAAAAGGCGGTGTTCACGTTACAAAAGAGTTCGTCTATTTGTAGATTTTTATTTTTCTACACAAATTTTATATTTAAAAAAAAATTAATTTGTTTTATTAAATTTTCAATAAGCTAAAAATTTTATTTAAAGGAATTAAGTTACTTTTTTTTCATATTTTTACCTAAATAAAAATAATTTTAATTAAATTTTAATCTTTTTTTTTTGTTAAGCATTACAAATTTTGTTGCAAAAAAAATTATTTCAAAAGTAATATTACAATATAAAGTCAATATTTTCTTTTTTAATTTAATTTTTAAATAATTGATTTTAATTTTTTTTGAATAATCAGCGTTAAAGATTTAATATTTCTATGCGAACAACATGTTAATACAGTATGCTTATATTTTTTTTTCTTTTTTTTACTTTATTTGCATTTATTATAGTTTTTACTTTACTTGTTTTACTTCCTTATTTTCTTTTATTCAAATTAAATTAGTATATTTTAAATTGAATTTACTTTTTTTCTTAATATTTTTCTTTTTTGATATAATTTTATATTTAATTAAAAATTCTTTAATCTTTATAATTTACGTGTTTTTCTTTCTTATTTTCATCTTATTTAAACTAAATAATTAGTAAATTTTTAATTTTTTGTTACTCAGATTGGAAGATTCAAAATTCTTAGTGAACAATTTATTTTATTGTTACTATTACAGTTTGCTTGTTATATTTTTATTTCATTTTTTTAATATATTTAAATTTGATTTAAACTTATATTAATTAGTAAGTAAATTTATTTTTTGTTAAACAGCTTATATTACACCCCTTGAACAATTTATTGAATTATTATTATTACGGAATTATTATTATTACAATTTACTTTTTTTTTCCCCGTATTTTTGGTTAGCATAAAACTTTTAAGCGAACAATTTATTTTATTATTATTGTCTTTATTAGAATTTACTTGTTACTCTTTTGAAATTTCTATATTTTGTCTAAACAAATTATTTTAAATTTCTTGATTAGTAAATTTTTATTTTTTTTTGTGAATCAGCATTGAAGAAGTGAAATTTTTATGCGAACAGATGCTGGGACACAGGCTTGTTACTAAGCAAACTCCTATAGAAGGAATTTTAGTAAAAAAAGTGATGGTCGCCCAATCTTTTGGTGCCGCTTAAAAAATTTGATCTCAATTATAAAAATAATTATAAAATTAAATTGACTTATTTTTATTATTTTTGAATTTTGATATTTTTATAAATTTTTAATGGGGAATATTTTTATTATATAACTTTTATGAACTTTTATAAATTTGGTTAAAATTTTTTTTTTGATTTTTATTATTTAAATTCATTTAAGATTAATTTTTTTATTACTTACTATTTTTAAAAACTTTCAAACGCGAGAAATTTTTTTGTTACAACTTTTTGAAAGTATTTATTTATTTTTTTATTAAAAAATTGTAAAATTTTAATTATAATTTTAATATTTTCTATTTCTAACATTTTTATATATAAATAATTTTTAAGGCGAGAAAATTTTCATTATACAAATGTTTGAAGATATTTTATTCATTTATTATTATTTATTTTTTCTTTTTATGTAGACATTACATTTTTTTACTATTAAAATATTTACGAAATCTAAATTAAGATTTAATTTCTATTATTATTGTTTTATTACTACCTTCTTTTTTTATTCTTTGTAATTTTTAACGAAGAATTTCTTTAATATTTTTATATATTTATTTATTATATATTTTTTTTATTTTTTTTTGTAGACAAATTTAATTTAAGATTTATTTTTTTATTACTAATTTTTTATTCAAATAATTTTAAACGAGAGAAATTTTTTAATATTCAACTTTTTAGATGTTATTTTTTATTATTACTATTTTTTTATTTTTTATTATTATTAAGAATTTCTTAATTTGAAATTGATTATAATATCAGGGAAATTAATTTATTATTATTATTATTTGGTTTTCCTTTAATTTTTTAAAAACTGTTTTTTTTGTATTTTTTGTTAAGTTTATTTTTTATAAAATTTAAGTGACTTTATTTTTTATAAGGAATTTGGTTTGCTATATTTTTGTGCACCAAAAAAGTTTTTGTTATAATTATTAATCCTGATTTAATATTTTGAAGCAAGTTAAGCTTTAAATTTAAAACAACTTTTTATACAAAAAAAAAATTAAAATTTTTATTATTTATTTTATTTTTTTCTTATTAACAATTCACGCTAAAAATAATATTATAAGTAATATTAAAGAATTAAACGATAATAAAGTAGTAAATTTAATTTATGAATTTTATTTTTAGTAATAATTGTTTATATATTATTATTTTATATATATAAATATTAATTTTATTATTTTTATGAAAAAACTAATTTGTAAATTTTTATTTAGTCGTTATTACAATTGACTTTACTGGACATTTTTATACTACTTTGGAGAAAATTGTTTCTAAATATTTTCAAAATCTCTTTAACTTTTTCAACTAAATTTCGGTAAATTTCGTATTAAATAATAATTTTTTTTTATTTTTTTTAGGAGAAATTTTGCAAGAAAATTATTTTGCGATCGTTTTAGATCGCAATTACAACGGGCCAGTAATGGTCGCCTCTCCGGAGGTCTTTTTTTAATTAGTATAATTATTATTGAAATTTAAATATTTTTCTTATTATTATTATACATAAAAATTTTGTTATATATATCGTAATTACTTATTATTATTGTGTAAAACAAAGTTTATGAATGATAACTATAGAAATAGTAATAATAATATTATTAATAAGATACTTTCTAGGGCGGCGTGGACATTGAGCACGTGGCCATGAGAGCCCCAGAAAAGATTTATAAGGAACCAATTAATCTTGCAACAGGACCAAAAGTACTTTTTTTGTTTTTTAGTAGCAACTGTTATCTTTTAGAGCTGTTTTTTACAGAATAATAATAATAATTATGATTAGAAAAAAATAAATTTAAAATTTATGTAAACAAATTAATTATAAAAAGTTTTATAATAAAAAGTAAATATAAAATTATTAATATACAATATAAGAAATTTATAATAAGGAATTTAACATTTTTTATTATTACTATATTATTTGCTGCTCTTTGTGTAAATTATCACCAATAAAAAGTATAGTAAATAGCTTAATTGATATTTTTTCATGGACAATATGCTTTTACTTATTTATAATAATAATTATTATGAACTTTATTTAGTACAAAAACTTTTTTTTTTCATTATATTTCTTGCTAGCAAGAACAAACCTCAAGACTTGCTCGTTTATTAAATTTTCAAGGAGAACAAGTTGAAGAGGTTTTGGAATTCCATATAATAAAATTTTCCGAATTTTTTTTTGATTGGTTACTATAATTAAATGCTTCCTTACTATTTGCAGCAAATTACATGTTAAATTAGTAAAATAAATATAATTCGTAAGCTAAAAAAATTTTTATACGTTTTTTTATTATAAAATTACCCATATAGTCCACGTGTTTATCCACGTGCATACATTTTTATTTGTTGGTACTTAACTTTGAATAAAAAATTTAATAGAGTTCATTCATTATATTATGTTATAATTATTTATAGTATTTTATTTTTCATTGTAACTAAAAATAACTATTTTCTATTGGTTATTATTTTTTATACAAAACATTTTTATTAAATTTATTAAAGCTTTTTATAGTTCTCCAAACTTTAACTTTTGCTTTTATATTATTATTAATTTACATAGAAAACTACAATGTTTACTTGTCATAATATATATAAGTTTTATTTTTATTATAATTATTATTCACTTTTTTTTTTGCTTAATATTTTATTTTTCCTAATAAAAAATAAAATTTAAAAAAATATTATTATTGTTATATTAAAAATTTTTTTAAGGCGCAAAAGCAAATGCTTTTTTTATATAAACTATTCCTTGAAACTGACGCTACTCAGCTAGAAGTTAACCCTTTTGGTCTAACGCCTTATGGAAAAAGTTATTATTATTATATATAATTATTTTTTTTATTATTATTTATTAATAATATTATTATTATAGTTGTGTGTTTTGATGCTAAAATAACTTTTGACGATAACGCGTACTTTCGTCAAAAGTTTATATTTGGGATGAGAGACACCGGAGATTCTCGCGAGGTATATTTATTATTACTATTATTATTATTAACATTATTGTTGTTATTATTATAAGAATGAAGCCGAAAAGTACGGCCTGAACTATGTAAGCTTAAAAGGAAATATTGGTTGTATGGTTAATGGCGCCGGCCTGGCCATGGCTACTATGGACCTTATAAAACTGAATGGTTATTATTATTATTATTATTATTATTATTTATTATTATTATTATTATTATTATTATTATTATTATTATTATTATTATTATTATTATTATTATTATTATTACTATATCAGGAGGAGAACCCGCGAACTTTCTGGATCTTGGCGGAGGCGTTAACGAGGAAAATGTTGGAAATGCTTTGAAAATTCTTATTAAAGACAAAAATGTTTATATCTTTTTCACTTTGAATTTATTTCATTATTTTTCTGCCTAATCAGATTTGGTATAAATCTACTAATCGGCTTTAAAATAATTATTTTACTTTAAAAAAAATTATTACGAATATGTTAACGACTTTTTTTTTTATTTTTCAAACTTCTTATTTTCTTCTGTAAATTAAGTACTATAAATCAATAATTTTTTTTATAAAATTTAAATTATTATTTTTTTGCTTTGATTCGACTGGTTATGAAGACAAAACATTAAAAAAATGAACGCCTCTTATTGATTAAGTAGGTATTAATTCGGCGTTTAGTTATTGTGTAATTTTAAAAAATGGAGCCCAGGAAATATACTTGTAGTAAAATAAATTATAAAGCGGTTTTTACGAATGTTTTTTATTTTAACTATAAACTACCAAAATAAAAATAATTATGACCAATTAGTTTTGCAACGTTCAAAATAATATAAGCATTTTTATTGGACAATTTTTATATATTTTTCAAGTTACGAAGAAAACATTTTTTTCCTATAAAAAGTATTAATGAAAAAGTTTTTGTAGGTACATTTTTTTGTATTATTAAAACAAAAACTTTTAATAAAAAATTGAAAATTTAATATAAACCTTTTCAAAACACTTCTACTCCGCACACCGCGTGCTGGTCACAATTTTTTAACGGAACAAAAATATCTAAAACAGTTTTGTTTTTCCATTTAAAAGGAATACTCGAAAACTTTTAAAAGGTTTTAAAAAAAAGTTATTAAGAAAAGTATATGACGCTTTTGAAATGTTTATTCTTCCAACTTTTTGTATACAACTGGCCTATCATATTTATATTTTGCGTTGTGAAGGCTTTATTTAATAGACTGACTTGAATTTTTTGGGGATCTTTGGTAGCTTAATTTATTTATAAAACTTTTAGATGAATTTTTTTTATAATTGGAGTTTTCTCTTTGCTTATTTATTGTAAAACTCATTTTATAGGTTAGTTCTATTTTCTTGAATATTTTTGGAGGCATCGTAAATTGCTCTGTAGTGGCTAATGGCGTATTGAGAGCTTGCCGTTTTCAAAGTGTAATTCCACCAATTACTTTACGTTTAAAAGGTTTGTGGTTTGTAAAAGTTTTTATTTAAAATAAACTTTACTTTTATAATTTTATGAGGCACCAATGAAATGGAAGCAAAGAGGCTACTCAGCCAATCAGGATTCAATTTGAAACTGTTTGAAAATATGGATGAAGCTTCCATTAGTGCCATTAAAGATGCTTATTGCAGTGGAAACGCTTCTTGTGTTATTTAATAAAATGTGAGAAATAAAGTTGTTATATTTCCAAAAAAAAATCGGCGCTTTAAGTTTAGCTAAATTGTACTGTAAAGATAGATTTTGGTGTTAAGTTATAAAGCAGTCTACCAAATAATAGCCCTGCTTTCTTGGTTGGTCCTCGAAGTTCACGTGGGAACTTCTGTTCAATCTTCAATAAAAGTTTCTTTGATTAAATTTATACTAGTTGTGAGGCGAAACATGACCAAATTAGAAAATTTACAATCTTTTTACTACTGTAGCTTTTCACTTTTGCGTTATGCTATCCGTATTACTACCAAAAACTATTAAAATTTCAAAAAAAAAATTTATTGGGTCGTATTTCAAATTCCATTATAAATAATTTTCTTAGTTTTTTGCACAAAACTTTTTGTAAACCGAAGAAAACATTATATAAGGCTTTTTCTTGGCTATAAATTATTACCTTTTTTTTTCAGATTTATTTTCAGATATACGGCAGCTTTTTCGTTTAATCGAGCGAAAGACTAAAAACTTTTATCTTTAAAATAGCAAGTTGACGTCATGAAGTCCTTTTACTTTAGTATCAAGAAATTTTCTCCGTAAACAACTTTGCCCCAGCCCCCCACGTAGCCTTTAAGCGTTCTACCTAGCCACAAATTTCTGTCTTCGCCAGTCACTTCTTACACTGAGTACCCTCTTGACCGATAATTCTGGAGCCTGCAGCACTATATAGACCCGCATACGAGCCGTGGAGTAATGAGTTTTTTATACAAAAATGTCAAGCGAGAGAATTCTAAGCTGTGGTGCTCACAAACCTACAAAGTGGCGAAGGTAAGGTTGAACAGCCCGACTTTATAGCTTTCATTGTGCAAGAAGTGTAAACTTTTGTAGTTCCACAAGTTTATATATGCGTTTGGGCTACTATAGCGGTAAATCGACCTCTGTGGCAACTATTAATAGAGCCCTCAGATTACAACTTTAAATTACATGAACCAAAGTTATTACTATTATTGTAACTTAAACAATTGAGGTAGTAGTAATAATCAATATATTATTATAATTTTTAAAGTTATATGTTTTTATATAATAAAAATTTTACTAAATATTAATAGTAATAAATTTTTAGAGTTAATACTAGCCTGTAATAAAACTTATATACTTTATACTCTAACCGCAGCTAACCTTAACTTTTACTTCTATATATGTATAAAAAACAAATAAATATAATGTATTTTATATAACTTAATATATATTAAAATAAATTAATAAGTATATGAACTTAAAAAAAATTAAATAAAATATTACGGTTTTGTTATTTTTTTGTCCCTTACATATTTCCATTCTAACAAAATTTGTATAAATATATATATATATATGAAAAATTATATTAAATCAAGGATTAATCAAATATTTGTATTATAATGTTGTGTATAATTAAGTAGAATAACGTAAAGCATAAAATATATATAGACATAAGTCAAAGAAATAAAAAGAGAGCAAGGAAGGGGCTTGAACGATTTCGGTCTGTAATTACACCTTTACGAGGTCGAAATTTGCTTCCATATATGTACAATAAATTTAATTTAACCAGATAAAATTATACCTTGCTTAATTTGTGTCTAATTAGAAAGGTAGACCAAATTAAATTTTTGTATAGCGATGAAAAATCAATTTCCCTTTCTTGTGATTTTATTGGTTGTTTCTTAGATTTCTGATTGAATTAATCACGGCTCAATTTCCTGTGAAAATTTAGAGGGTTATGTTTTGTTTTTTTTTCGTGTTTTTGTATTTATATGTATGTGTGTATCTTATGGTTATGTACTTTATACTTAATGTATTATACAATATGTTTTTGGCGTCCATGTTCATTTTTGTTTTTCTATTGTGTTTTTTGTTTCTTGTGCTCGTATGCTATGTTGTTTAGTATTTTTTCTTGTTACATTCTACTTGTTTTTCATACTAGTAAGCAAAAAGCTCAAATACTCGAAACTGGTTGACTCCCTCGAGGTGAAGAGTAAAAATCCGGGGATCCACGTGACGGATTAATATTTAACGAAGGCCACGAAGCTGAAGTTTTTCATTTATTAATTTTATTTTTAACGCTTATATAAAGTTTTAAAACAGATTTTGAACATTTTTGCAAGAGTTGTACTCTTCTTATAATGAATTTATCATTTTACCGAAGTAAAACTCATCTGGAGAATTGTTTAAAAAGATTAAAAGTAAGGAAAAGGCAGTTTGCTAACCAGTTAATAAACGGTTTTGCGCAACTTTTTTATTTAAACCCACAAAATTTATAAATATATTTTTTTAATTATATATTATCAGAAAATCATAAGAAAAGGTATAAAATGATTAAAAAAGAGATTAACGAACTTGAAAAAAAATTACGTACAATAGATAAGGAAAATTATTGTCAGGATTCTGCAGTATCAAATATTTAATATTTATTTATAAAATAAATTTATATTTTTTTTGGTTTTAATATGTTTTATGACTATATATTTTAAATTTAATTTTATTTATATTGTTTATATATTTTAGTTATAACTTAAAATTACTTACATTTTTTATGTTATTTTTTTTTAATTTTTTTGAATCCTTTATTTAAATTTTTAGTTATTATATTATTATTACTGCTAGACCGGATGTCATGTTGCTTATTTTGAGGCCGATTGGATCATTAAATCTTCTCCTTTTAATACAGAAGATTTTGATTGTTGTAAAGATTTTTTTAAATTTTTTAACAAAATATTGATGTTTGAAAATATTTTTCAAATTCCATATTGAAATGTTACAACATTTAAATACCAAAAATATAATAATTTTAAAATTTTTTTTTAAATTATTTACCTTAAAAATTTAATCCTTTTTAAGATCTATCAAATTATTTGGTTTATGTTAATTATTTCATAAGTAATTATATTTTTTTCAAAAAAAAATCTATAAAAATTTTATTTTGTATGTTATTATAAAATTTTTTGTATTTTGCTTAATTTATTTGTTTTAAATTTGTTTAAACCTTAATATTTATTTCATTTTAGTAAATTAATTTAAATTAATATTATTTTTACTTAATTTCATAAAAACTTTAACTTTAATGGAAAAACTTTAAATAAAATAATTTTTATTAGGAATTTGTAATCTTTTATTTGAGTTATAAAGTTACTTGAAAATTTTTGAATTTATTTTTATAATTTCAACTTGTAAATTTTTTAAATTTATATGAATTTTTTCATATATATAATCATTATTATTTACTTAAAATAAGCAAAGAAACTTCTAATACAGTTTTCACACATTTTTCTGATTATTTTATAATTTTTTTGGGTGTAAACTATTATTTATGAAAATTTTATTTTTTTAAATTGTGAATTTATTATAATTTTTTATTTTTTTGTATGAAATTTACTTTTTTTGGTTTTTATTAAAATTTTAAATTTTTATGAAATTTATTTTCTGCAATTTAAAATTTTTTATTATATATTAATTTTTATATTAAATATTTTATATAAAATTTATTAATAATATTTTCATAGTTTTCATAATTTTTTTTAATTATATATAATTTTTAAGAATAGATTATACTTTATTTTTTTTAAATCTATTCCTTTTAATATTTTTATAAAATTTGTTATTTGTAGAAAATTTGTTATTTATAGCTATAAAAAAATTTTAAATATAATAAATACTTTATATTTTTTATAAAAATATTAAAAAATTTATAGATGAAATTTAGTATTATTTTTTTGACTTTTTAAATTTTTTTAATTTTATATATAAAATATTTAAGCATGAATTATACTTTTTTTATTTTATTAATAAAAAGTTTATTAAAGTTAGAAATTTTTTATTATTAGTTTTGTTCTATAAAACTTTACGTTATTAATAATTCTCTTAGGTAATTATACTTTTTTTATTTTTATTTTAAAAAATTTTTTTATAGAAGTTTAATTTTTTTTTTTAAACTTGTAGTATTTATGTTTTATGAATTCTTATTAATATAAAATTTATTATGTAAAATTTTTCAAAATATCAACTAAATTTACAGTATAAATTATACTTTTCTTATTTTTATTTGAATTTGGTATTCATATGAAAGCTAATTTTAAGTTTATAATTTTTATTTTTTATTAGTAATTTTAATAAAATTTTTAAAACATTAAATTTTTTAGTTTAAATTATACTTTTTTTTATGTATGTTAGTAGAATGTTCCCGAATGTTCGTGATTAATACTAGCAAGTGCCTTAATTTAAGGGTGTAAATAGCGGGGAAGAAAATGGAAAAAGTCTTTTTTCGTGTGCGTGAAGCTTGGTCGAGGGTGCATTTTTTTCGTAATTAATAGCCAATTCAGTGCGTGTTTTTTTTGTATCTCGGGTGAGCAACGCAATGAAGCTGTATATCGATATTCTTGTTATTCTTCGCTACCTTTTATAGGCGCTGTAGTTAAACACTACGCGAGAAGATTAGAAGTTTTAAACAAACTCTTAAAAAAAATATTTATTATATCAAATTAATTATTAAAAATTTTTGAATATTAATTATTTTTTTCAGTATATTTATACTTTAATTCATATAAGTTAATATTTTTATGTGTTAATAAAAATTATTTATTTGTTATTTTTTTGTATAAATTTTACTTTTATATTTTATATTAAAAATTTTTTCTGATAAGTAAAATTTTTTATTATAATATTTTCATTTCTTTTATTTAAAGTTTTCATATTATATAAAATTTTTAATAATTTTATTTTAAGTTGGATTTATACTTTTTTATTTTTTATTAATTGTTGTATAAAATTTATTATATGAAAATTTTGAATATTATTTAATCTTTCAGTATTAATTTGACTTTTTTAATTTACATTTAATATTAAAAATTTTTAGTTTACATTTTTATTGGAATTTATAATTCTATTATTCTTTATTATATTTAAATAAAAATTTTCAAAGGTTAAAAATTTCTTATTTTATATTTTCTTAATAATTTTTATATAAATTTTTTAGAATATTTTATTTTATAGTATAAATCGAACTTTTATTACTTTTACTCTGATTTCAATTTTTTGTTAAAGCTAAATTATTTATTACTACTTTTATATTCCATTTTTCAAAAATTTAAAATGTTTTAGTTTATTAGAAATTTTTACTTTTTTATTTTTATTAAAGATAAAATTTTTTTTTAAAAGATATAATTTATTGGTAATATTATCTTAACTTTTTACTACTTTTTTAGTTTATTTATTATATTATACGAAATTTTAAATTTTGATTTTTACTTTTTTTTTCTATTATAAAAAATTTATAGGTTTATTCTTTTTAATTTAATTATAAATATAAATTTTTTTTAATTATTCTTTAAAATTTTTAAATATTAATATTTTTGTGTAAATTATACTTTTCATTTTATTTGTATATAAAAATTTTAAAAATGTCGAAGGTTCAAATTTTTTTTTTATATATTTTATAAATTTTTATATTTATTATAAACTATTAATTAAAAAGTAATTTTATTTTCTTATTATTTGTCATACTTTTATTATTATAATAATTTTTTTTATTTTATATAAAATTTTTTAATAAAACTTTTTTTGATATCAATTATATATTATTATCGCTATTTATATACATATAATTTATTGAACGTAAAATTTTTTAATTTATTATTATTATTTGCAATAAATTTTTTACTTTTAATTATAATAATAAAAAAATTATTTAGTTTAAAATTTTTTTTTTTATATTTTTATTAAGTAAAAATTTGTATAATGAAATATTTTAAACTTATCAAATTTATATGTATTTATAATTTTATTATAATAATCTTATATTAATTTTAGTGTTTATATTAAAAAAAAATTTTTTTAATTCTTACTTTTAGCCATTAAAGATTTTCCCGATATTTCTTTGGATACATTTGGAAATAAAAAATTTTGTCTGTTGACTATTATTAATAAGTAAATAAATTAATAACAAAACTTATTATTATTACTATTAAAAAGTTAATTCTTAACGTAATAATTATATTTAGTAGTAAAAATTTTATTAAAATTATAATTTATAGCTGTTAATATTAATTTTATTACGAATAGTAATAATTATACTAATAATAATAACCAGTACTAATATTAATTATAAATTAATAATAAATATCAATACTAATATTAAAAGTAATTATTAACGCATTAAATTATTTAAGTAAATTTTTTTTAATAATACATAGATATTAAAAATTATAAAATTACTAATAATAATGCTATTAATAAAAAATAATAATAATAAACTATTCCAGCTCTGATGCCGTACGCTCGTACTTTGTATCGACAAGCCACGTGGCCAGAGATATTAAAGGAAATGTATTGCAAACGGGAAAGTATAGAGATAATGAAGGTTTCTTATTATTATGATTATTATGCTTATGATCTTTATAACTATTACTATTATTATGATTATGATTATTATTACTATAACTATTATTATTATTATTTGTAGGCAATGAAGGCGAATGTGTAACTTTTATACTTCTGTTAAAACCACAATATATAATGGATGTTTGGTAAAATAATAATAACAATAGTAAAGCTACATTTATTAGCATTAATATTTATTATAACTTTATTAAAAAGTTTATGCTAGTAAGCACGTGATCCTTTTCCTTCACCTATAAGAGCAAAGTAATAATTTTATATATTTATTAAAGACATTTACTCATTAAAAAATGTTATAGTTATTATTCTAAAAATAGTGTTTACGAAGTCTTAAGTGGCCAAAGAAGAATGTTTAAATCATTAATTAACCAATCATTTTTTAAGTAAAAGTTCACAAAACATCAACTTTATTATTAAAAAAAAGCGTAGAATTGCGGAGCTTAATAACTTTTACTGTATAATTTTAATAGCCAATAGGGAAATTTAGAATAATATTTGACCAATCATTTTTCGAAAGCTAAATTCTATCTGATAATGATTGAATAATTTCATTTGAAAAGTTTATATATAATTCATCAAAATTTTACATTATTTAAAGTTTGCATTGTACGTTTGGTCATTCGTGTCTCTTAGAGTCAATAGAAAGTAATGTAGTATTCAAACTATTTTCGTAGCCAGCAGGCCATATTTATTTTATTATTAGCCATTTAGCTGACGTTAACCAAGACCGTTAACATTTTCATCATCGAATAAAATATAAATATTTACTAGAGCATTTTAACTCGACAAAATTTATTATAAACTAGAAAATAAAACTTATTCATTTTATTTATTGTAATAATAATCCAATAAAATTAAAGTTGCATTTAAATTTTTTTTTCTGGACAAATAATTTCATACTTTTTACTGAACTTAACCACGTTTTTTAGTGATAGCTGACCAATAACTGCTAGGCCACCTAATACTTAGCCGAAAAAACATTAGTGATTTTAAAAATTTTCAGCCACTAAATTTTTGAATTTTTATTTCTGACTTATAAGAATCAAATAAAAGATTCATCTTTTTTTTTTAATAAAAGATTATTCGACTGTACAAACGTTTACTTTTTTATATAAAACTTTAAGCATTTATAAAAATATTTTTTATAAAGTACGTCTTTTTAATTACTTTTTTAATAAATAAAATAATATTTTTTAAAAAAAAAGTATAACTAATGAAATTTAATGTATAATGATTATATTTATCTAGAGCAGTATTTACTTTTCTTTCGTGTACTTTTCTTATAGACATAAATTTCTTTACATATACACTTTATAATATAAACTCTGTTGAAACGCGTAATTGAAAGCGCCACCGCAACCTTATATTATATTTTTATTTCTTTTCTTATAATAAATATTAAGAAAATCTTTTATGGTAATAAAATATACTCGTTCAGCTATTAATAAAAAAATAAATAATAATTATAATTTTAATATAAAAAATTTAATAATAGATCAGAAAATAAATTAGAAGTAGTGTAGTTTTTGCCCTCACCACGTGCACATTCTAGCCCTCGGCTATTGTCAGATTTATTAAGCGATTATTTTTCTGATTATTATTTTTAGTGTAATTTTTTTTCTAAGCTTTAAATGTCTTTTTTTAACCTTTTACGATACTAATAAAAATAACTTTTTTGAGATTTTATTAAGCGATACTTTATTATTATTTTTTTATATTTAATAATATATTCATTAAACAACGTTATAATAATATTAAAATATATATATAACAGTATAATAGTTTATGCTTTTAGTCGTTTACGAAGAGTTATTGATAATATTTTTTTTGCAGTTATTTGGATCTAACTACCTATAATGGGGCTAATAAGGTTATAAGTTACCCATTTGTTGATCTTTCATCTGATATTAAGGATTTGCCTTTCGAGGTTTATTATTATTATTTTGATTATAATTATTATTTATATAAATTTTATATTATTATTATTATAAAGCCTTATAACTTCAACCCTCTTACGGATTATGTTTACGTGTTTCCCTTTCCATTATTACATGAAAAAAATAAGTTTTTATGCTCGCAGGGACACGGCGGACGCTTAACTCACTTTTTTCCTGGTTATTATTTATGCTATTATTATATATATATTACTATATATAATTATTGTTATCGTAATTATTTATTACTATTTTTCTAGTCATTGTTAGTATTAAAGTTAATGTTTTTAAAAAATATATTAATATTAATAGTTTAATAATGTTTGTATTATGTTGATTATTAAATACAGTTTGCTTATTTTTATTGCTATTATTATTATTTTTATAAGGCACGTGGCACGCTATAGATATAGAGTGTCCTATAGGGACACCCGTTCTTTCCGTTGGAGATGGAGAAGTTCCCTTCATAATAAATTTTTTTTAAGAAAAATTTAATTCTCATAAAAAATAATAAAAATTTTAAGTTCATATATTTTTATTTAAAGATTAATCACAAATATTGTAGTTATAAACATATTTTTTAAATTTTTATCCAATAGAATTAATAATAAATAATACTAATAATCATAATTATAAAAATTGTTATGACTATTATAATTATTTTTATATAATAGAATAAATAATAATAAGTATATTTTTTTATATTAATAGTAATATATATTAAATTCTCGTTTAAAATTCCTATATAATGAAATTTTTAATAATTATTAGTAGTAATGAATAGGGTTTATAATAATTTATTAGGAAAATTAAATATTTATATTATAATGTTATTACTTTTCTCCAATAAGATAAATAATAGATATAAATAGCAATAATAATATATTAAAATTTTCATGTTAAATATATTTATATTATAAAATTAATATTAATAGTATTATTATATTTCAAAGATATTTAAGTTATTATTTTTATATAATAGAATTAATAATAATAAGTATTGCGTATTTATTTTATATAAAACTTTTTTTTATTTTTAAATTTACAAAGAATTATATTTATTATTAAATTATTAAATATTAATAAAAGTTTATAAAAAAAAATAAAAAAAAATAATTATTAATAATAAACGTAAATATTTTAAATAAAAGAAGATTTTTTTGGTATTTGCATATTAATTATATATATATATATATATATATATATGTTTTTTAAATATACAAAATATTTTAATCAAGAGAAATATAAATTATAGCAAACTTTTTTTAATAAAAATGATATACTTCTCAAATATATATATTTGTATTTTCTTAAATATATTTTTTTTCCTAACGAAGCTTTTTATAATTTATAATATTTTTTAATGAAATAAAAAATTATATTTTAGAAAAATTGTTGTTAATAATTTATATTAAAAGTAAGTAAATAATATTATACAAATTTACTTTAAGAATAGTAATAAATGTATAATTTCATTTCTTATATATTTATTATTATTTTCAGTAAATTTTTTTTAAAAAAAATTATTGAAATAAATTTGATTTATAAAAAAGTTAATTTGATTTTTTTTTAGTTGATGCGATTTTTTTATTTTTTACTATAAAATTTGAAATGAATTTTATTTATATTTGTATATTTATTATTTTTAAAATTTATTTTGATAATTATGAAATTTTGTGATTTGAAAAAGAATTAACTTGTTTTTATTTAGTTGAAGCGTTTTTTTAACGTATTTAATTTGAACTGATTTGTAAATTTTAGACGTTGATAACTTTTTACACGTGTTCTAAAGTTATTGGGAATGTATAATTTTTTTAAAGACTTTTTTTTTTATATATTTTTCTTTATATTATATTATTAATAATAATAATAATAAAGCAAATAGTAAAAAGTACGCTTTTATAAAATGTAAGTTTTTTAAGAAACAGTATTAAAGTCTCGAGAACTTTTTAAATTTATTTAAGGTTTTATATAAACTTTAGAAAATTTTCGCATATTGTTAAATTTTAAAAATTTATTACGATTTCTATATAAAACAGTTGAACTGGAAATTTTATTTTTAGTTTTATTATAATTTAGTAATCAAGTTTGAATTTTAAAAATAAAAACTAAATTTTTCACTACAATATGCTTCAGTTTTCTGCAAACTTTCCTCTGCTTTGCTAATTTTACCGTCTACTTAAAAATATTGAAAAAAGAGGAATTCATTTTATACAACTATATTTTATTGCTATAATTTTTTTAAGTAAACTTTATATTATTATTACTCACTTTATACGTTTTTATATTAATTTATTTTTTTTATTAATAAAAATTAATTAACTACTTCACAATTTTTAGTTTTAATTTTTTTTAATTCATTATTACACAATTCTTTGTTTAATTTTACTTTTATTAATATAACTATTACTAGATTTATATATTTATTTTTCTTGTTATTGAGCTTTTCGTTTATATTATATTCAATATTAACTACTTCAAACTTTTTAATTTTAATTTTTTTTTAATAATGCATTATTACACGATTTTTTTTTTAATGTAATTCACTACAAGACTTTTGTATTAAATTTTTGATTAATTTCCAATTAATTATAGTTTTGCAAAATTTGTTATAAAATTTTATATATAAATTAGTTGAACGGGGATTTTTATTTTTATTTTTTATTATAAATTTAGTTAATGAGTTTGAAGTGTATATAAAATTTTCCTTAAAAGTATTTGAAAGCAAAAAGTAATAAAACATTATTTTTTTTAAAAAAAAATTAATTTTAACTATATTTTTAACATTATTGCAGGTTTTTATTTTTAATTATTTTTATTGAATTTCTTCATATATAAAATATAATAAACTAGTTCAATATTTTTAATATGATTTTTATGTTTGATTAATTCATTACACAATTTTGTTTAACTTTTTTTTTTTTTTTAATTTTTAATTATAATAAAAATTTTTTTTTTAAATTTTATTTATTGAATTGACTTTTACAAAATTTTTAGTTTTAATTAATATTGCAAAATTTTTATTCACTACTACCAGCCTTTTGATTCTGAAATTTAAAAGTTTTGCAATATTGTTAAACTTTAAAACTTTAATATGAAGATTTATATATATAATAGTTAACGAAAATATTAATTTTTATTTTATTATAAATTTAGTTCTTAAATATGAAGCGAGTTTTATTAAAAGTATTTTAAGAAAAAAGTTATTTTATTTATATGATAAAGAAAAAACAATAATTATTTCAATATTTTTTATTCTAATTTGATTAACTACAAGATTTTTTTATTATTATTAACTTTTTCTTAAATTTTTTTAATAAATTTATTATTAACTTTTAAAATTTTGATTCACTATTACAAGATTTTTATTTCAAAATGTTAATATGCTATAAATAAATTTATTAAAATTTTCAAAAAGTTTGTATTATTTTAAAGAGATTTTTATTTTTTTTTTCTATAAAATTTTATTAATTATTAAAATATATTCAAGATTTTTAAATTTAAATTTATTGTTACACGATTTATATTGTAAATTTAAATAACTATAACGTTTTTACATTATAATTTCCTTTTAAAAATTTTATCAACTCTTACAGGATTTTTAATTTTTAATTTTTTTATTAAAATAACTTTATATTTTTTTTTTTAAATTTTTTATTAACGTCTACAAGATATTAAATTTTTTTTAATCTTCTTTAATATAAATAATGTTTTTTCATATTTTTTACAACTACAAAATTTTTATTGGGATTTTTTTTAATGTTATTTTAATTTGTTTTACAAGACTTTTAATATTAGATTTTCTTAATAAATTTTTAACTAATTATTGCTAGATTTAAAATTTCAAAATTTTTTATATTTTTTATAAACTATTAAAGATTTTTAATTTTTTTTAATTATAACTAACTTTACTATATAATTTTTTAAATTTTATTTAGTTATTTTATGATTTTTTCTTAAGCTATTTTTTAATTTATAATTTATACTAACTATTACAAGATATTATTTTTTTTATTTTTCCTTTAAACTTTTTATGATAATTAAATGATTTTTAATATACAATTGTATTAATAAATTTTAAATAATTATTACAGGATTTATAAATTTTTTTTTCTAAAAAAATCTTAAATGAACTTTTACGAGACTTTAACTATAAACAATTTTTTTTATTTTTATTAACTATTTTACGGTTTCTACTTTATAATTTCTATATAATTTTTTTTTTTTAAGATTTAATTTTTTTATAATTCTTTCATGAACTTTTACTTGATTTTTAGTTGTATTATTTATTAATTATTTTGAATTATTATTACACGATATTTAATATTTTTATTTTCTATAAAAATAAAAATTTTAATTAATTATTACACGATTTCCACTGTAAATTATATTTAAAATTTAGATAACTAACAAATTTTTCAGATTTTTTTTACAAAATCTTTATAAACTTTTTGTAATTTAGTTATATTTTTTTTAATTTTTTGAATAAATTTCGCACGATATTTTTTATTTTTAATTCTTTTTTTTATAAAATTTTTAATTAAATATTTTACGACTTCTACTATAAATTTTCCCTAAAATGTTAGGGACTTTTACAAATTTTTTTATACAATTTTTATTAATTTTTACTTGTAGTTTAGTTTTATTTTCTTTATAATTTGAATTATAGTTACATGATTTTTAAGATTATGAATTTTTTTATAAAATTTATTTTTCTCTACAAGAATTTTAAATTTAATCTTTTCATAATTTCTTATTGACTTTTTAATGATTTTTAGTTTTATTATATATTGTAATTAATTTATTAAAACTTATAATTATTATAATTTTTTTTCTCAGCTTTACAAGATTTTAATTATTAGAAGAAGTATAAATATATACTAATCCATAGATTGTTGAAATTTTACAAGAAAATTCAGTTTATGGCATTCACGTTGATGGGCTTTATAAATGGAATTCAGTGATGATTAAGCTAAATAAAAATAATATTTTAAGAAAATTTAATAATAATAATAATAATAATAATAATAATAATAATAATAGTAATAATAATTTCATTTTTGTTGAATACGTGCACATCCTGAAGAACAGTTGCCCATTTGCTGTTGGTGATCGCGTTTTCAAAGGGTTTATTATTATCATTATTTATGATTATAATAAATTTAAATTCTGTAATAAACAATTTAATTTAAATATACTTTTACCAATTTTAAAAAAATTATGAAGTTAAATTTATATATTTATATAAATAATAAAATAAAATAAGTTATTAATAAAAATTTAGCTATCCTTGTAGGAAATTATTTTTAGGTAAACTAATCTTTTGAATAATTTTAAGGCTACATACTTAGAATTTAACATTTTGTTAGACAAGAATTTTGTTTTACGGATTTTAATTAAATTTAATGTTGGACGAATTTTGTTTAATAAAATTAAGTGAAATTATTCTAGGTTAAAAAATATTTAAATTTTTGTTAGACTGAAATTTTGAATAATAATTTCAATTATTAAATTTTAGGTCACAATAATAATGAGTTATTAGAGGAAAAGCATGTTTAACCAAATTTAGTGATAATAAAATCGGTACTATAAATTATATAGACAGCAATTGTGTTTACAAAAGTTAATATAATTAACTGCAGGCTACAAAATATCACACAAATTAAAGTTAAGAATTTTGTAACAAAATTCCTGTTTGAACAAATTTTATAAATAATTTTTTAATTCTTAAGTTTAAGTTTAATTAATTATTAGACAGCAGTAAGTAGTAATCTAGTTTAAATTAATTAAAAGACAACTTTGATTAACCAAATTTTAACGAGATTTAATTTAATTTTTATTTTTGATATATATCAAATTTAATATTAAAATATAAGTTACAAAATTCTACATGAAATTATTGCTAGACAGCATTTATGTTTGCGAAACTTGATTAATTTATTGCTAGACAAAATTTGTATAAGAATTCTAATTTTAATAATTTAGTCTTCAAAAATAATAAATTATTCAATTGACAAATAGCAATTAAGCTTTAATAAATTTTATTTATATACTTACTTTTATACTGAAATTTAGTTAATAAAAGTTTAGAAAATAATTTTTAAGCCCCAAATTTATTATATAAATAATTATTAGGCAGCAGTATTCAATGAAATCTAACGAAAATAAAATTTTCGGTTTTAATTAATTATTAGACAACAATGGTTTAACAAATTTCAATTTGTTAAACAAAATTCATTGAAAATAAATTTTAAACTACAAAAATATAAATTAATTGTCGTTAGAAATTTTGTGTAACTAAGCTATTGCAAATAACTTATAGGCTGTAAATTTATAACAAATTATTGTTAGAAATTTTGTTCAATAAAATTTTAATTGATTTATTGTTAGACAAAATTGACAAAATTCATTTTGATTAATTATCAGACAGCAACTATGTTTGACGGGAAACGCCGGCTTCTGTCCAACTCCGCATTTACATTTTCAAGTACTTGAAGACGGTGAATTGTCTTCTCCTACAACAGATTTTTATTTTGAAACTGAAACGGGCGTATTATTTAAGCCGCTTGCTGGAAGAATGTATAATAGCAATTCGCTTTAGAATTTTAAATGCTATAAAAGAGTGTCAAAAAAAGATTGCTTTTTTCTATAATTATAATTAAAATAAAGGAAATTAGTGCACAGCATATTCATTATTAAATAGAAAAGTTTTCTATTTATAAAGAAAAGTAAAGTTTTTTTAATATATAAATTATGAATGCGTGATAAGAACTAGTTATTTAAAAATACTGGATTTAAAAAAAAATTTGTATAAATTAATTTTATTATCTTTATATAAAATATTTATGCCTTGCTATGAACCACTCATAACCATTTTAACAAAATGTTCTTCAAAAGATTACATATAATGGTTAGACAAAAAGCAGTTGTAATAAAAAACAAATGTTGATAAGATTCGTTATTACTTGCTTTAACTTATTTAAAGCAAAGGAAACAACAATAATAATAAAAAAAGGATTTATATGAACCAAAAAAATGGACGGAATTTAAATGAAGCGAAATCTAAATTATTACCTGTAAAAAAAATACTTGCCGGACAATCAATAGATAAATTTTATCAAAAAATTATTGCATTTTTAAAATAAACTTATTTTTATAATAAAATAATTTTAACTTTTTAGTATTGTAGCAACTATATTTTTTATTCGCGAAAAAAAGGGCAGTTCATATACAAAAGTTTGCATTAAAAGCTAAAAGGGAAGGAAATTAAGTTTATAACCATTTGCTGGAAATTACTTTAAAAAAAGTTTTTTTTACAAAAAATTTTTAACTTTATTGAAATCAAATTTTGCTTTTTGAAGTTCTTTATAATTAAATTTATTTCAAAAAAAAGTTAAAATATTCTAAAAAAGTTTAAATTAGTAAATTATTAAATAAATCCTCTTTTACTTTTCTGAAGAAAATACTTGAAGTTAGAAACCAAATTTTGAGTCGTTTGCCTTAAAAAAATGTTTAAAACTTTGGACCATTTTTAGGTAACACCAGTCTTCATACTGAGTATTTTGGTTGGATATAATTTTAAAAAATATAAAAAAAAAAAGAAAATTTTTTGATAATAAAATACAAATATATAAAAAAAGTCGATATTATATATTAATTTATTTTGTTTATAATAGAAACAAAAGATTACCGCTAAAAAAGGTCGTAAATTCAGAATCCAATTTTATTAATGGTAGTAGGCAAAGAGTGTAAGGATGTCTCGCTTGAATTAGAAAAAAAAGCAGAGGGGGTAACGGGGAATCGAACCCCGGACCACTCGTACCCAAAACGAGCATTATACCACTAAACCATTACCCCTCAAGCTCCACACGAGGTACATCTTTATATATATATAACTGTGTTAGATTTTAGATAATTTTACTAGAGCACTGACGCAACTCAATAAGTAAGCATTCTACTAAAGGATACCGAAAGAATTTAAGATACTAAAGCAGTGGAAGAAAGTGAACCTTATTATATTCTCATATTATTGTGGCGATCTGAACTGCAAAAATTTATTATGGAATAGCAGAATGGGGAATCCTAATGGAGAACTTTTCATCAAGTACGCCGAAGGGCTTAATTGTTTGAAGTCCAACCAACCCGATATACATTCTTAAGCGAGGTACCACTGATGTACTAGGCATTGCAATTATAAAAAATAATTGCTCGAAGTTAAATAGAAGATTTTATATTAGCTCTCATCAGATCGCCTATTTGTAGTTCTTAAAAATTGCTCTCCAGAAGTCGGCCCTCCGTCTTTATGTAAATTCACCATTTGAAAACTTTTTTAAGATTTACACGAAAAACTTAAAGACCACCTCTGACCTAATTCGCCCGTTCTTCTCAATGATTCAGTAGCTAACTTTCAAAGCACGATCAGTGAATTATTAGAAGTTCTCTACAACTCTGAAGTAAAACCTTCTCTGATAGCAGAAGTCGAAGTTCTCCTTCAATCCAAAAAAACCGGGAGAATAAGCTTCCTATTATCGAAAACAAAAGTAGCCATCGTTCTTATTGACAATTTATTAAACCTGCAAAAAACAGCACAGCTTCGCATTAAAATTGAAACCTGGGACTGTTTACTCCGATAATGAGAAAGCGAAAATCTTAGCTCAGTGTCTTCTATCCCAATGCCCACCCTTAATAATCTCTTCAGGTAGGATAATTACCCTCACACAACTCTTATCCTTCTCTGTAAGCAAACAACGCTAAAGAAACACAAAACCTTAATGAAGTACAATCAATTTTTAACACTTTAACTAAAGTCGCCAGGACCTGATGGTATAACGAACTTCATACTAAAATGGTTACCTGAGTCGGTCGGTCATAAAAACTCTTACTCTTATAATTAACGCCACTCTTAGTTTTTCCCTATTACCAATTGATAGTAAGTGGCTACTGTTATTTTTCTACCAAGTTTAAAAAACCCTTCCTCAAACCTCGCAGACTATCACCTTCATAAGTCTACTATCCTGTGCTGGCAAAGTAGCAGAGTCAGTTATACTCAAGCAACTACTGAAGTATCTAGAGCAAAACCATAGCATTCTTGAAAACTAACTGAATTTCAAAAAGGGTTATTCAACTACGCAGCAACTTTGGGGTCCCTCGAGCACCTGGTAAAGAGAACTGACAAAAAAACTCCACATGTGCTGTTCTCAGATGTTGAAAAGGCTTTTGATAGAGTTCGGCCTGCGGATCTCATAACCAAAATCACCATCCTAAGAATACCATATTACCTTCTCTCCCTTGTTGAATAATTTCTGCACCGTAGAAAGTTTTTTACTGTAATAGAAAAGGCCTTCTCAAGTTTAAAGGAACTCAGGGTAACGTACCACAAGGTCCCTTACTTTCACCCATCTTCTTTTCAATTTACCTGGCAGACATATCCAGACTGAACCAATACCTTAACATTTTTATTACAATTCCCTCATGACAAAACAAGCTTTGCTATTTTAAAGTTAGTTCCGCTAACAGTAAAAAATGTGCAAGCGCATATTAAAAGGACCAAACTCTGGTTTACCCAGTGGCATCTTCTGTTACCCTCCAAAGAGCGCAGTCATAATTTTTATTAATAGATGTGAAAGAGTAAATGTTCAACAAATCGTCATTAATGGTACGCTAGACTCCAGGCGCTCTAACATAAACTATCTTGGCACCATCATAGACAACAGACTCACTTAATGCAGCCATAATGGGCTTATCTCGAAAAAGGCTAAACTAGGGATCAAACTACTATACTTATCTGCCATTTCATACACCACAAGCCTCAACTTTATCTCACCGCTATCAGACCAGGGCTGACCTAACGTCTGTGGCGGAGTTATGGACACACTAAAAATGACTTAAAAAAGTCAAATTACTGGTATATAACTTACATTTTAGAAAATGAACACATAACATAGAGAAGTTAAAAAAAGGGTAAAGACAACGGTGTTGTTTAAGAAAAAGTATATGAGACAGACATTATTATAAAACTACCTATATATAGCTTAAGGATATATAATAATTTAAACTACATTGGCATACTCATCAATCATTTAAGTTATAAAAAGATTATTGAGGGTATTAAAAAAGGAAGCTAATCTAATAAAATAACTACTTTTATTTCAATTTTAAAAAATTTTTTTTTTTACCCCATTAATAGTTATCACAAAAGTAACTTTTTTCGAGATAGTAAATTCTCCAGCAATAAAGCTATGTAATCCTCACCCAACATGAAAGATATTATATATTTTTTATTTTATAATATTTATTATTATTACAGTAAGACATGATTATTATAACAGACAAAAAATTTGAAAAAGTCAAAAAAATTATTAAATTTAAAAAATCATTAAATCAGTTACATTATTTTATACTTCCTTTAGTTATAGTTCTCTAACATTTTTTATTGCTTAAAAGAAGAGGAGTGCATTAAAGTCAAATTAAGTTTAAGTTTTTTACTGTTGTAATTACTTGGGTAATACTATATAGCTGACAAGGCTCTACCTGAGCAATGCTGAATGTTAATTCTGAACATCTCTTATAGGCAAGTTGCGCGACTCAGAAATTTAATAAATTACGTAGTAATGAGATTTATAAATAATTTAAATATAAAAAAAAAGCTGCATTTGTTTATCGTCGTCAATTATAGTACTACGAATTTTATAAACCCCTCACTGCTATGCTTTTTTGAGATCCAAGATTTTGATTCTATTATTATATACTTGAAATTCTGTTTCTATTCATACTTAATTACACTTTGTCCATTGACCCATATAATTTTAAGCTCAAAGTTTTTTTTCTCCTAAATTACCTACTATTTACTAAACTTCCTGGACCTCTATTACTTTTACTGTTATAATCTACAATAATTATAGGCATGCTTAATGTTTTTATAAAACTTTTGAAGCCTCTTCATTTATATACTTAAAGGCCAAACCCTTACTATTTTTTTTTAGTTAAATCAATATAATTATAAAAAATTGTTTTTTGTCTACATAAATAGCAAATAAGCTATGTGTTCATAAAAATAAATTGTATATTAGACGCTAGTGGTAAATATACGCATATTGTAGGTTATGGCCTTTAAAAACCTTCGTAGAGGACATTACCTGCGAATTCAAAGTAAATTAAACGCACCCATAAAAGCGAAAAACTACCTTACCGCACATGTAAACCGTGAACTATTTAAATTTATTTTTATAGTTAAACTATTTAAAAAAATGTCTATTAACTGCATAAAAAGTTAAGAGCTTTCGTGATAATTATAATATACACTGGCTTAAAAAAAATCCAGAATATTTAATTAGAATAAATAAAACAAATGAATAAAAGTAAATTGGATAAGAAAAATTCAATAAGTGAAGATAAAAGATTAATAAAATGGATAAAAATACCAATATAAAATATAAAAAAAAAGAGAAAGAAAAGAAATTAGAATTTCTACTTGATCTTTCTTTTTTTAGCACTGACCTACTTCGGCTGGTCTTCTTGAACCGGTTTATCTGAAAACACCTCTTTGCAGGGGTTAGAGCAGGAGCACCCACCAGCAAACTCCCTTTAGAACTATAGTGACTTCCAGGAGGACTTAAAAAGCGGAAAATATCGGGCCCGGGCTCCCGTTTCGGCCTGGGATCGTGGGAAACCGCTAAAAACCACCACAGGAGGAGGCGGCCTTGAGCTCAAGATCCGAGGCCACCTGGAGCGGGCACCATTGTAAGCCAAACCTCCCAGATTATGAGCGCCCACCTAGAAGAGGCGGGGGGTCTAAAGATTTTTTTTCAACAATTTAATTTATATATTTATTGTTAATAAAATCTAGAATTAAGATCCCGTAAGAAAAATTATTAACGCCAGAATTTTATAGCTTATGTATAACTGGATGTAATTTTAATTATAAAAAATATTAAGATTTCCAAAATAATTGAACAGTAAGAAAAATTATCTTATTTTTTAGACTTTCATAATGATAATACTTTAATTTTCATTGGTTCTTTTTAAAGTATGGCTGGACAAAATAAACTCAACACAATTATAATGAAAAATATTTTTCCTATAATAATGTATGCCACAAACTTTTTATATAATATATATTGATATCGCCAAACTTTTATAGTAATGCAACTAAGTGGATTGGCTTATTAGTACCAAACTTCTTTTCAAAATAAATACAATACCATATTTGGTAAGAAGACGTAAATTTACCATTAAAAAGGTGTTTTTATAAATCCTTTAGAAAATATTAATAAATATAGAAAATAATATTTTTTTTATTATTTCCACAATTTTTTCAAAGACATATTTTTCTCAGAATCTTTTTGCATGACTTTACTGACTGCCATTTCAAAATCTTCCTGTGTCACGTGGACACGCCGTTCCCGTAAAGCAAACATTCCCGCTTCAGTACAGACGCTCTTAAGAAAGTTTTATTATCATTATTATTATTAAGCACGTTAAACGTAAAGCTCTACTAATTATTTAATTATTTATAGTATTAGAAATTGGGACAATTTATATAAAAAATGTATTGAGTCAATTAATGCATATATTATGAAATCTGCAACAAGTTAATTAAAGTGGTGCATAAATTTAGTAATACTGTACTACTCATGTAGATTTCTAAACAACATAAAAAGACATTAATTATTTAAGACTATAAATTACTTTTATTTCGGCGCCGCTTGCTCCAGGCATCGAATCAGCAATTTTGGACAAGTCAATGCCGCGAGTTAAATTCATTTTTTTGGAATGAATTTTTAGGATATCGAATCGGGCCTTGAAAAATATGAAAATTAAAACATTTTTTGAAAAACAATAGTATAAATAGTGATAGTGAAAAGACTATAAAAATATATTAAGCAAAAAAATATATATAAAAGAAAAATTAAATATTTAACAATACAAATATATTATTAGAAAAACAGAGGTTTAAACTTGTTGGGAGGTTGGCGCCAAAAAAATTTATTAAAAAAACAATAAAAGCACGTGGTGAAACCCTCTCGTATATAAAAAAATAATAGAAAAAATTTTGCAGGTGTGCAGCTAAGAACCATTTAAAAGAGTTTAAGATATATAATAGTTTTATATAAAACTTAAAAAATAGAAGAACTAAACTTTAATAATAATAATAATATAAAAAATATTATTATTAGTATAAAATTTAATAATAATAATATTGACAATATAATAATAGTAACAGCGTCATTAGGTGCAGGAAACTCAATTTTTCTATCAATCCGACCAGGACGGAGGAGGGCCGGATCCAAAATATCAATTCGATTGGTTGCCATAATAACCTCGTGTATAAAATAATAATGATAACTATAATAGTAATAGTAATAATTACTTTAATATTTTTAGTAGCTTCAAAGCCGTCCAATTGGTTAAGAAGCTCGAGCATAGTACCTAAATATAGTGAGAGTAATTAGTAAGAGTAATAATAATAATAATATCAATAATAATACGTTGAACTTCGCTATCGCCATTGCCCTCGCCACGGCTCGATCCAATCGAATCGATCTCGTCCATAAAAATGATGGATGGCGCGTGGTTTCTTTAAGTATGAAATATAATAATAATAATAAATAGTATTAATAATAAGTATAATTAACAACCTCGCCATGACAAACAGCTCTCTTACCATGCGCGAACCTTCTCCGATATACTTTTGCACCAGTTCCGAGCCAGAAACGCGAATAAACGTGCATTCGGTGTGATGGGCCACGGCCCTGGCCAATAGGGTCTTTCCTTTTAATCAGAAGGTAATATGAATGGATGACAAGGATAATAAATATATATATATTAGACCAGTGCCGGGCGGGCCGTATAATAAAACTCCCTTTGGTTGTGCGATACCTTTTTATAATAATATTAACAATAATAATTCATATATTTAACTTTCTATAATATTTATAACTTATAATTATAATAAAATAGTGAAAAGTTTAAAAAGAGTAATAATAATAACGATAAACCAAATATTTTTCTTATCATTATTATTAATTATTTATAAATTCTTTTTTTATAAAAAAGTAAAAAGTTGTAAAATATTAGTGATCATAGTGACTATAAACTAAATATTTAACTTTTCAATACTTCCATTGCATTTATAATTATCATCTAATAAAATGTTAAAAAGTTCGTAAAATAATAATTCGCATAAACAAAATTTATAATACAAAACTTTATTATTATTATCAATAATAAAACTTTGAAAGTTATAAAAATTAAAGAAATATTCAATAATATTATTAACACATAAACGTAATAATAATTATTTATAAAAAAAATACAACTTTTAAGAGTATAATAAGTAAAAAGTTTATTATTATTTAAAAAGATATCAATATATACATCTTCAAACTTTTTTATTATAGCTTTTTTAAGGAATATACCACTTGTTAAGTATATAAGTAAAAAAGTTTATTATTAAAAATATATATTAAACTTTTTATTACTTTTATTTTTCATATAAAAGTTTATAATTCTCATTTATATAAAAAATACAACTTTTATATTAAATAATTATAAAACATTTTATATTCTTTTTTTTTAAAAGTTTATTCATTTTTCTATTATTTACTTATTACAATTTTTTCTTCTTTCCTTACTATTATTAAAGTTTATAATTTTTTTACTTTTTATTATTATTTTGCAAAATATATGAATTAGTATAAAACTTCATTAAAATATATTATTTATTTATTATTATTCTTCCTTCTTTCCTTAGTATTATTAATAAATTTTGTAATAACTTTTACTATTTATTATTATTATTATTTTCGAAAATAAAACATTTATGATTTATAAAATATTTCCTATATCTAATATGTTTATTCACTTTATACTATTTTTCCTTTTTTGGGTTAATAATAATAATAGATAAATACAATAAAAATAAAAAAAACATCTTCAATATTTTTATCGGAGATAAAAAGTAAAAATAATAATAAAATCAACGCAATGAAGAGCAGACAAAATAGACTTCATTATTATAATAAAAAATTATAAAATATAATAATAAAAAAAGTTTATATAATTTAATAATAATAATTACAATTTTCTTTACTTCATATGCATTTTTATTTATTATTACAAAAATTATCATTTGAATTATTTAAACCTTTTAAAAATTGTCATAAATTATAACAATTATAATAAACAAATAATATCTTCAAATTTTATTGTCATTATTTTTATTATAATAGAAATAATAATAAAACCGAGCGCTTCGAAAAGTTCCGGATGCTTCACCGGAAGTTCAATAACTTCTTTTATTTCTTTTATTTGCTTATCAAGTCCGCCGACCATTTCATATGTCGAATCGGGAACCTTAAAATTGATAAAAACAAAATAATAAAACAATAAAAGTAAATATGAAATAAAAATAATTATTATATTTTCCTCTTATTTTTTTTTAAAAAAAGTATAACAAATTTTTTTATTCTCCATTATAATAAAATTTACTTCTGATTATTTTATTATTATAATGAAATATTTTTATATCTCTTATTTACTGCAATTATATATTATTATTATATTTTATTGAGTTTTTATAATTTATTGTACTCTCCACTGGATTAATTTTAATTATTATTATTATTACGATTCATATTTACTAAAAGTAAAATATTCTTCATAGGTATTATTTTATATTTACTTTTTATTATTATTATAATTTTTTTTACGCTTCCGAGAATATTATTATTTATTTTCTATAATAAAAAAACATTTATATGCTTTTTGCATTTTTTTTATATTAGTATTTATAATAAGGAATAAAATTCTTTTTTAAACCCATTATTTTTGCTATTATTAAAATTACTTTTCATATTTATTTAATAATAAAATATTATGAATTTATACTATTTTATTATACATATTATTTTTTTTTAATTTCATTGCATTTATATTTTATTACTATTATTAAATGTACTTTTTATATTTACCAAAAATAACTATTAATAATTTTTATTTATATATTTATATTTTATAATTATGTATAATTATTATAATAAAATACATACTTTATAATTTATTTTTTGTGAAGTTTATTATTATTAAATTTTCTTTTTATACTTATATAATAAAAAATATAAGTTTCTTATATTTAATGTAATAATTTTTATTATTATAATAATAAAATATTTTTTTGAACTTTTCATTATCAGCATTATATTTACTTTATATATTTATTTACTAACTAAATAGATTTTTCTTATTCATGTATTTATTATTATTTACTACGTTAATAAAAAAAAGTTTTATCTATTATTTACTGCATTTACTATTATTATATTTACTTTTCTTAATTATATTATAATAGTAATCGTTGTATTTATTTTTCTATAAAATTTTTTATATTAATAATTGTAATTATATTTACTTTATTTTTCTTATTATTAACTATATTACATTTATTAATATTTTTTTATGGTAATAACTATTATATTTATTTTTTTTACTTTTTTATATAATTAATTATTTTATATTTGCTAATTTTCACTTTTCTGTAATGATAATAATAATTATATTTATCTTTTTATATTTGCTTGATATTTATATTCATTTACATTTACTATTTTTAACTTTTATTCCAATAATAATAATAAGCAATTTTTTTATATTTTACAATAATAAGATTGATTATATAAACACTTTCAACTTTTACGTACGATATTAAATTTACTTATTATATATTTTTAAAGTAATAATAATTATACTTAATTTTTAAATTTTTTTATTAATAATATCAATTATGTTACATTTTTTTTACTTTTATACAATATAATTAATTATATGTACTTTTTTATTAATTATTTATAATTAAATAAAAATTATATTTACTAATTTTCACTTTTTTCTAATAATAATAAAAATTATAATTATTTCTTATTACTTTTTTTATAGTAATAAAAATGATTATATTTGCTTTCCTTTCTTTAGTAATAATGATATTATTAATAACTAGGAAACCTTCTCCACCATCATTAAGCTTACAAGAGGATCCACTTTCTTAGGAAGAATCTTATGAAGTGTGTAGCTATCATTGCGTAGAGCAACACGAAGGTTAGGAGTAATCTTTAATAAAAGTAGTAGTAATAATAATAATTTTGCTATAATTAATAACATCTAATCAGATTTGATATAAATCGTGTGCCCAATACTAATAAGAATAAATCACTCTAAAATCATTGGCGCTTGACAGATGAGAAAGTTATAACAGGAAGAAATTTAAGAATATAAAACGGTATTTGGTCGAAACGTTTTCATTATCCAATAATTTATCACTTTTTGGAAAAAATAAAAAACTGTTGTGACTTTTTCATTAATAAAAGAAAAACGAAATTTCAAATTTTGTAAATAAATTTTTTCTATAAGTTTTTGTTTATTGATAAATGAGAAAAATAATATAATAACTAAAACTTTAAAGTTAATTATAATTAATAACTTGAAAAAAAAAGAGCACCAATACTTATAATTAAATTTTTAATAAGAAAAACTTAATTTTTTTAAAATTTATAAATAAAATAAAAAAAAGATCTTAAATAGTTACTATAAGTCCAGAAAATTTTATATTTATATATTAACTTTTATCAATAAATTTAAATAAAATATCTCCATTAAAAGATATTGTAACAATAAAAACTTTAAAAAATAATCTATAGTTAAACTTTTTCCAGTTTACAAGAATAAACTTTTATATAAAAATGTAAAAGAATTTAGTATTATTATTAATAATAAAACAAACTTTTACTATTATTTTTATAAAACTTTTATATAAAAATAAAACTAAATTTGAATTAGTAATGATTATTATATTAATAGTAAAATTAAAAAATAAATTTTTACTATTACTTTCAAATAATTACTAAATTTATAGTAATTATAAACTTCTATAAATTTAAAAAAATTACTATTTTTTTAAGTTTTAATATTAATAACAACTTAAATAATAATAAATTATAAATAACTATACAGAAAATTTATAAAGTACATAATTATTTATATTAATAACAACTTTTATATAAATAATTTATTAATAACATTTTATTTAATAAATTTAAAAAAAAATCAATATAATTATTAATTTAATATAAATAAAATATTTCTAAACTTTAATAAATTTAAAATATTATACTTTTGTAATGTCGATGGATTTTTCAATATCAACAACGTATTTTCCTTCAGGATGAACTTTTACTAAAACTTTTGATTTTCCTATAATAATTTTTTTATATTATTTTAAAAGTTTACACAAAAATTAAAATCAAAAAAATTAATTATTAAAAATAAATTGAAACAATAATAATTCATAATTTTTCCCAAATGCAAGGCAGAAATTCAGGGAAAAGGTTTTTATTTTTTTCGTATTTATAAGAAAACAATAATTTTTTATAAATATTACTGCTTATAATTAACAAAAAGTTATAGTTAACAACAAACGAACAAAGAACTTTATTAAAAATTAACAATTTCTTAAGGTTATTAAAAAAAATTGACATTCTCATTATTAATGCTTGTACAGAATAAACCTTTCCTTTATAATTTTTAATAAGAAATAAGAGTTAATATAAAAAATATATCTTCAAAAAAATATGGTAATTTTGGTAAAATTAATGGCGACTACCAATAGCTTTTACCACTTCACCCACGTAAGAACCAGGTTCGTGTAGTAATTGCAACTCTTCTCTTAAATGACGAACTAAAAAATAAGCAAAAGCTATGAAAAACAAAAGCTTGAAAGCATCGTTAATTAAAAAAAACCTTTTAAATTTAAAATATTCCTTTGAGCTTCCAAACGGCGTAAATTCTGGAGTTTGGACTGAACAGCAACCTCAAGTTCCTCAATCTTTTATGATTAAAAAAAAAAAAAAGTAAACGTAATTTATTTAGTAACAAAATATTATTAATGGAACTGAAACACATATAGAATTTACTATAGAATTGTAATAGTTTTGAATGCCATCATTAGTAACAGTTTTATTGTAAGAAACTGGTAAAACTTCGCAGCCGGCCATCCTCAAAAAGTAAAGCTTAAAAAAAAGTTTAGAAGTTTATATACTCTCCCTCCCTCGTTAGTGTTTAGCGGCGCCGTCTTAAAACGTGAAGGGCTTATATTAAAAAATATATATATATTATTTTTATTATCATTATTATTATTATTGTTCATTCAAGTCAATATTTTTATATTGAAAATAGAAGCAGTTCATTACACAGTTATTTGATAGATTATTTTAAAAAACTCCTGTAATGTTTTTATTTTAGATTTTTTTTTTGTTTTAATCACAAATTCTGCACATTCATCTGCTGATGAAATTTAGCCAAAAAAATTAAAGTAACCTTTTTGTGTTTATCAGTTAGTTGTTCATGAAATTTATCTTCAACAAAAACTCTGTCAACTTGGTTTTTACCTTTAATATTTATTATTATTGTATACTTTTTCGAGTGCTGATGCATATTTAATCAAATATAAAAGTAAACAGTTTCAAAGTTTATTTTTTAAAAGCGCTTTAAACTTTTTTTTAATATTTTTTATTATTGCTGAACATTGTACTGCTGTTGTAGTTTTTATTGTCAATTAAGATTGGTAAAAGCTCTATCAATTTTATTATAATATAATTAGTTGTTAGTCAATTTGAGTTCTGTTGTACATTTAATTTAAAATAAAAGAAACCACTTCATGACTTCATTTAGTTATTTAATTAATTTATCTTCGATAAGGACATTGTAAATTTTATTATTACCATAATTATTTTTTTAGTCTTTTCTATTTTTTATGCGCGTTAGAATGCTGTTGTACATAAAATTAAAATAATAGTCACCTTTTCATGAGTTCACTTCGTCATTTAATTAATTTATTTTTGATAAAAGCTTTGTAAATTTTATTTTCAATGTAATCTTTTTTGCCATTTTTATTATTATTATCTCCACATCAAGTCACCATTACATAAACAAAACATTTAATTTTTTTATTATTTCATCTTTGAAAAAAACCGCTGTGAATTTTAATTTATTAAAATTATTTTTTAATCAATTTTACATAAAATTAGAAATAAAACTAACCATTTTATGAGTGATTATTTAATTATTCAACAAAGTTATTTTTAAAAAATGATGCGACGGAATTTCTTTTATTATAATCTTCCATTATTATTGTATATTAAAAAGCTGGTGAATATTGAATTAAGAGTAAAAGTAAAAAAAATTCAACAAGTTCGTTTTCAGTTATCTATAAAATTATATTTAAAAAAAGTTCAAGCTTTTTTGGAAATATTTAAACTTATTTTTTATTATATTCTTATTTTTTTTGGTACACCTTCGATTTTATCTTGGTCAATGAAAGAAAAAGTAATTTTATGTATGCGTTCTTTATTTAGTTATTTAAAAATTTATTTTAAAACTAAATTTTGATTTAACAGGAGAGCTGTAAATGTTAGCATTTTTTTTAAAAGTTTAAGCATTACAGTCATTAAATAAAATCTTTTTCAAGGTAAATGAATATTAGGTCTTTTTTAAAAAGTTCTGGAATCTACGAAAAGGTTTCATGCAGTGACAGGCCAGCTTTTAATAAAAACGGGCAAGAGTTATATTCTTTTTAACTAAAACTCTTTTTTTTGCTCTTCAAAAGTATATGTATAATAAAGATATACTAAATAAACATGTCATAATTAGAATAGGCTAACTTCTCTCCAAGAAAAAGCAATTTAAAGTTTTATTTAAATAATTTATAGGATACTAAAAAAAAAAATAATAAATTAGAGGTCGTATATACAAACTCTTTTATAGGTTTTTTGTTGTAAAGTTTTATTTAAATAATTTATAGGATACTAAAAAAAAAAAAATAAATTAGAGGTCGTATATACAAACTCTTTTATAGGTTTTTTGTTGTAAAGTTTTATTTAAATAATTTATAGGATACTAAAAAAAAATAATAAATTAGAGGCCGTATATACAAACTCTTTTATAGGTTTTTTGTTGTATAAAACTTATAATAATCCTACTCAGCTTTACAAGGAATATCTAGTTAGATGGCATAAGCGTTACAAATTTATATAAAGTCGTAAACAAGTTTGTTTATAAGCCCTTTGCAATAGAAACTTTTAATAACCAAATTCAGCCAGACTTGAAACAGTTATAGTAGCTTGTTTAATGCTCTACGCATTACAAAAGTTATTTATAAAAAGTTAGCTTACTTTCTTGTGACCAAAAAAGGCAATAAAAGTAAACTAAACACTATAAAATAAGAAATGTAGTTATATATATAAAAAACCCTTTCATAATAATTTTTTTTTCTTTCTGAAGTATAATATTTTTCTCTGTTAGAAATGAGTTTTTTTTTTTGTGTATAAATAGCTGTAAACAAGCTTACTAAATCCCATTGCAGTAAAAAAAATTATAGTAATGAATATAGTATAGCTTTACATGAAATAACAGTAACTTGTTTTGTACCAAAGTTATCTATGAGTTATAAGTTTACTTCCTTACGACAAAAAAATATCAAACAAAAATAATCTAAAAACTATAAAGAAGAATAAATTTACCTAAACAGTATTCTTTCTGAAAATTGCTTTTCTCGGTAAGCAATGGTTTCTTATATAAAAATAATGTTACACGTGACATAATCCACTTTAAATATATCAGGCAGAAACTTTTTTTGTTTCAATTTTTAGATTTATAAATAATAATGCTTTACTTTATTGGTTTTTTTTTATTATTTTATAAATTATATTAGAAAAATATATATCTTTTTATTTTTTTAAGGACTTGGACTATCTTCTGTAAAAGATATTACTGTTAGAGGGTTAGAATTAGTAAAAAGTTGTGATCGGGTCTATTTAGAAACCTACACCAGTATTCTCGGTTTTAACTAGTCTTTAAATATATATAAAAATAATCTATAATTGTTAAAAAATAATAATAAGCAACAAGTATCTAGTTAAAAAGTACTTTTATATATTTATTTTTTTTAATATTATTCTATATATTGTGTTGATTTATTTATTAGATCATCTCAAATATTTTTTAAATTTTACTTTTTATTTTTTTTAGGGGTTCAAAATGAATCATTAGAGGAATTTACTGGGAAAAAAATTATACTTGCAGGTTATTTTTTCCATTTTATTCCAACAACAAATTTTTTTTTATAATTTCTTTTTAGATCGTACCCTTGTTGAACAAGATTCCGATCAAATTTTAGAAGATGCGAATGAAAAAAATATTGCATTTCTAGTGGTTGGAGATCCTTTTGGGTATTATTATTTTAAAAAATTTAATATTTAAAATAGTGATCGGTTTTAATTTTCTTCAGGGCCACCACCCATACCGATCTTTGGATCCGCGCTAAAGAAAAAAAAATTCCCGTGAAAGTATAATTTTTACTTTTAATTTTTTATATAAGAAAATTTTTTTTTAATTATGAAGATTATTCACAATGCCTCGATAATCAACGCTGTTGGTTGTACGGGCCTGCAACTTTATAGATTTGGAGAAATTATTTCAATGGTATTCGCAGTGGCGATGTACACTCTAATTTTATATATATATATATATTTTTAATTTTTTTATAAATTTATTTTTATTTTTAGGTTTTTTTCACTGAAACGTGGAAGCCAGATTCTTTTTATGATAAGCTTAAAGCTAATCGTGCTGCTGGCCTGCATACTTTATGCTTATTAGGTTTTTGGATTTAATTTTTTCACTAGAACTTTGTGTAATGCACTTTTTATTTTTTTTTTAAATTTTATTTTCATACTTTTGGAGATCTAAAAAGGATTTTATTTTATTTTCTGTTATTTAAATTTGTACATTTTAAAAAAAATTAATTTATTTTTATATTATTTTTTTTTAAATTTTTTTTGATAAATCTTAAAATAAATTTACCTTAATACTATATTTCTTAATTTTTTAAAATTTTTTTCTTTGATCTAAAAATAAAATTATTTAAATTTTTGTTTTTCATTTTTATTCAAAATTTTCTTTAAATAGATAAAACACTATTTTGTTTATTGTGGCTTAACTTTTTTTTTTAACTTTTTTTTTGTGGATTCAATAAAAATTATATTTACATTCTTTTATTTTTTATAAAATCTTTTTGTAGATGTTAAGGCCAACACTATTTCGTTTTTGTTGCATAAATTTTTATTTTTTAATATTTATAAAATTTTATAATATCGAAGTAATTAATTTTCTTTTTGTTTTTTTTTTTTTTAATTTTTTTGATCTTAAATTAAACACAACATTATATTCTCTATTTAGTTATTTTATTTACATTTTGATTGTTTATTTTCATTTTTTTTTGATTATAAAGTACGTAACAATTTTTTTTAATTAATTATTTTTTGTAGATCTTAAGGTAAAAGAGCAAAGTGTTGAGAATCTCTTGAGAAATCGCGTCATTTTTGAGCCACCTCGTATAGTATTTAAGCGCGTCAGCTGTAGTCAGCGAGCCTATTTTAATTTAATTTTTTAAGGATTTATGAAAATTTCAGAATGTATTGAGCAGCTGCTTTTTGTGGAGGCCGCGCGTAAGGAAAACGGTGAACTCTTTGCTTTAGAATTTTATAATTTAATTTAAATTTTTTTTTAAAATTTTAAATTCCTGGTGGACAAAAGATATTTTTTTTGAGTGAACTTTTAGTTATTTTGACTTAATTTCTTTAATATTTTTACTTTGTTGGTGGAAAAAGTTTATTTTAATTTTTTTTTGGACTTTTAGTTTTTTTAATTTTAACTTAAAATTTTTGTTAATATTTTTACTTTTTTGGTGGAAAAAAGATTTTTCTCAACTTATATGAAGTGGACTTTAGTTTTTTTGTAAAATATAAATTTTTAAAAATTTATTTCATTTTTAATTATTTTGAAAAATTTTAAGAGCGTTGCGCCTCTATTTTTTTATTTTATTTACTTTTTAAATTTTTTAAAAATTTCTTTAGATTTTTTTTTGAATAAAGTTTTTAAATTTTAAGATTTTTCTTTAAAATAAATTTTTATTTTTTTTAATTTTATTTTCAATAAAAAAAATTTTTTTTACTTTTGCGCTGCTGATTTTTTTAAGTAAACTTTATAAACTATATTTTTTTAATTTTATTGGATTTAAATGTATTGGAGATGATTTAATTATTTTATATTTTAGTAAAAAAAAAATTTTTAAATTATATTTTTAATTATAATGTACTTAAGACGTCTAAACTTTCATACTAAGCACGTTTTAGAGAAGCTGCCTTTGGTCACAATATCGATAGCCTGCGTGACTAATAAAAATAATTTACTTGAACTATTACGCTATTAAATAACCAATATAAACCAGTGAATATAGACAGTTTCAATGCCGCAGGAAAGTTTACAATGAAAAAAAATACATATAGTACGGCGCACTTAAGACTTTAGGAATCCACTGCGGAGTTAAGAGTGTCCTAACAGCAATCTTTTATAATTTTCTTGTCAACTTTCTCGCTGCGATAAGAAATACAAAAGTATCATAATATAATAAAGTTATGATAATACTTTAAAACATAATAATAACTTTTACATACAAATAATAAATTTATATATACATAATAATAATAACTAGAGTGTAAAACTTTTTAATAAATATATTATTTTTTTAAATATTTAATTTTTTTTTTTCGTTGAACTGTTAAGGTTAAGCGTTTACCCCTTTTTTTAAATAATATAATTATTATTTTATTTTTATTTTTTTTATAAAAGTTTATTAGCGCATGCATTTTTCCTTATAAAAAAAAATTTTATTTTTGTTTTTATAGAGAAAAATATTTATTTGTATCTTTAAATAATATTAATTAATAATTTTTTTTAAATTTAATTTTTTTGTATATTTTTTATCACGAGTTAATTTATATTTTTATATATATTTTCAAATTCTTATTAATTTATTTAATTTTGTTTATATTTAGAAATATAATTTTTTTTCATTATAATACTTTTTATCTTATGTTTTGTATAAATTATAATTTATAATTAATTTATTTAATAACAATTTTTTAAAATTTTTTTGGATTATAATTATTACCGTTTTATTATATTTTCTTAAAAAATTTTAAATTTTTAATATTTTATTTATTAATTTTTATTATAATAAATATTTTTTAATATTTTTATAATTTATTTATTAATGATATTTTCAAATTTTATTTTTTCTCGATGTAATTAAATATTATTGGGATTATAATTATGATAACCGTTTTATTATTTTTGACTTTTAATAATAAATTTTTAATTGGATTATAATTATTATTTCCGTTTTATTTTATTTTTTAATGTAAATATTAAAATTTTATATTAATTTATTTATAAATAATATTTAATAACTCTTAATTTTTGGATCACTTATTAAATTTTTACATATAAATTTTTTAATACATTTATAATTTACTTATTAATTATAACTCTTCATATTATATTTATTTACGATATAATTTGTGTATTATATTTTATTAGTTTATCTAATAATTTCTTTACATATTTTTTTTTATAACTATTATTACTGTTTTTGTATAATAAAGTTTTTGTAATTTATTTGAAATGCAATTATTATAACGGTTTTATTATAGTTTTTATATAAATTTCTAATTTTTATTGATTTATATATTTTAATTTTATTATAAATATTATTTTTTTTGGGTTAAATTATTATTACCTTTTTATTTTATTTTTTATTTAATAACTTTTATATAAACTTATTTTTTTGAATTATAATTATAACGGTTATATTACATTTTTCTATTTAATTTTTTTTATATAATTTATTTTTTTTATATAAATGTTAAATTTTTATTGTTATTTAATAGTTATTGTTTAAATTTAATTTTTTGAAGATATAATTTATATTTATATGAATATTTATTTTTTATTAATTTATTTATTTATTAATAATTTATTTTTAAATTTAATTTTTTTTTTTGGATTATAAATTATTATATTACGGTTTTATAATATTTTTAATATAAATTTATTAACTTTTATACATTTATTTAATACCATTATATACTAAAATTAATTTTATTTAAATATAATTATTACAATTTTTTTTGTTTCCATATAAATTTTAAATTTTTATTGTTATTTTTCGATTTTACATATAAATTTAATTTTTTCTATTATAATTATTATTAAAATATATTTTTTTTATAAATTTCTAATTTTCATTACTTTATTAAATTTGAATTTATTTTTACTATTAATTTTTTTTCTAGTTACAATAATTATTGCGGTTTACTTTATATTTTTATATAAATTTCAATTTTATAGGTTTATTTATTTTTATTCAATTTTTATATTTTTTCGGTTTTTAATTATTATTATTTAATTTATATTTTTATTTAAATTTTAAATTTTTATTTGATTTATTTATATAGCAATACTATTTTTTATTTAAGTTGTTTTGGTTTATAATTATTCTTACGATTGAATTTTATTTTTAAATAAATTTTAAATTTTTTAATGATTTATTTATGTAATAATAATTTTTCTTTCTGTTTACAATTATTATTGTTTTATTATACTTTTTATATAATTTTTATAATTTGAATTTTTTTTTATTACAATTTAGTTATCTTTTGAAAAAATTAACATTTTCATTATATCTATACAAATTCTAAATTTTTCCTTTTTTATTAAATGTTGATAAATTTAATTTTTTTTTTTTTGAATTATATTTATTACGATTTTATTTTTTTTCGATATAAATTTATAATATTTACTTTATTATATTTAATTTCTTTTGAATTGTAATTATTACGCTTTTGTTATTTTTTTAAATGAATTTTAAATTTTTTATATTAATTTCTTATGTATTATAATTATTACGTTTTTATTATTTTTACTATAAATTTTAACATTTTTACTTTATTTAAATTTTTAAAAATTATAATAATTTCCTTTTTTTAAAATTTTTACTTTTTAAAATATTTTTTTTGAATTATCATTATTATTATTTTCTATACAACTACTAAATTATATGTTATACAACTATTAAATTTTTATTAATATACTTTTACTAATAAAATTAAAAATTCATAAAATAATAAACTAATAAATTTTTTTATTTCAATATCAATGAATGCTTTTCTAATTATTTTTTTAAAATTTTTAAAAAAAATTATTAAGTTACTTTATATTTCTACTTATTCGTAATGAAGTTATAATAAAATAATAATAATAAAAATATATTAGAAATTTTTATAAGAATAATATTAATAAATATAAAATTATTGAGTTTATATAAATTTATTTTTTTATTATAAAAAAGTTTACGAGGAGGAGACTTTTTATAAATGATATTAAAATTTTAAACGTTATGAATAAATAATAAATACTAAAGTTTATATAGAAATTATTAATATTATAAAAAAGTTTACGATGAAGAGACTTTATGCGTCGGCGTTGCGCGCCTTCAAAGTGACTCTGAACAGATTATTTTTGCTTCGCTTGGCGAACTGAAAACGATCGACTTCGGATCTCCTTTGCATTCGCTTTTGATTACTGGTTTTTTTTTTATTTTTTAGAAATAATTAAAGTAAATTGAAAATAAAAGTTTTTATTAAATTTTAATACTATTTTCTAAAATATTCAAATTATTAAAAGTTATTTTTAAATATCATCAAATTTATAAGTGGAAAAGTAAAAGTTATTATAAAATTATAATACTTTTTTAAACTATATATAAATCAGTAAGAATTATTTATTAAAAAATAATTTAAAGTAAATTTAAAGTAAAAAAGTTATTATAAAATTATAACACTTTTTTTTTTAAAAACTATATAAATTATAAAAAATTTTTATTAATTATGATTAAATTTATAATTTGAAAGTAAAAGTTTATATGAAATTTTAATACTTTTATAAAAAATATTGAAAATATTTAAGTTTATAAAAGTTTTTATTAAATATAATTAAATTTATAAATTGAAAAGTAAATATTTATATAAAAATTTAATATATTTTTAAATAATAATTAAATTTTTATAAAAAGTTAGTGAATACAAAATATAATTATAAAAAAATTTCATTTTTTTAAAAGTTATTATAAAATTATAATTCTTTAAATAATTTATTAAAAAAGGCAAACATTTTTATTATATATTATTACTATTTGAAAAATTATTTATTAAATTTTGTTACTATTTTAAAAAATACTTAAATTTTTAGAGTAAAAAGCAAAATTATTTATAAAATTTTAGAACTATTTTAAAAATAATTAAAATTTTAAAGTAAAAAGTAAAATTATTAATAAAAAATTTTAACTATTATAAAAAAATAAGTGTATTTATAAATAAAAAAGTAAAAGTTATTATAAATATTAATACATTTTTAATTTTTTTCTAACTTTTAAAAATTTATTGTCCTAAAAAGTAAAAGAAATATAAAATTTTAATACTTTTTTTATTTATTATTATTATAATTTTATAAATTAAATTATTACTAATATTATTACTACTATTGTTTATTATTATTATTATAATTAAGGTTATCAAAGAAATTTATTTTGTTATTATAAATTTTATACTAGAACGTTTATTATTTATGATTATTGTTATTTATTATAAAACTTTTATTATTAAATTTTAATTTTTTAATTGTTATTTTCTTTAAACTTTTTATGATAACTATTATAATAAAAAAAACTTTTATTTATTTTTTTTTAAGCTCTTATTAATCATTATCATTTTTTATTATTATTATATTTTATTATAAAATTTTATTATTATTACATTGACTCTTTATACTTATAATTATAAATTTTTTTTAACTATTTATTAAAATTATTCTATTAGTAAAACTTTATAATTTTTTTATAACTACTATTTATTATAATTCATTATTTTAGTTTATTATTTATTTATTTATTTATTTATTATAAAAATTCATTTATTCTTATATTTTACTATTTATACTTTTTTTTAAATTGACTTTTTACAGTAATTATTATAATATAACTTTTTTTTTTCATTTACTAATTATTATTATAATTATAGCAGAATTGAAATTAATTATTATAAATTTTTGAAAGCATTTATTATTTATTATGTTTATTATTATTATTAAAAAACTTTTTTTTAATGAAAACAGTTTAAAGAAATTTTTCAATTTTAAAATTTTTTTTTAAAGTCAAAAATCTTTTTAAAAGTAAAAGCTCTTTTAAATAAAATTAAATTTCTTTAGTAAAAATTTTTTTTTAAAACTAATTTTTTTCATTTTTTAATTAAAGTAACACTAAAAAATTACTATTTTAATTTTTTTCTAATGGAAATTTATTTTTTGTTATTTTTATATAAATAAATAAATTTTGTAAAAGAAAATTTTTGTAAGTTAAAAAGGATTAAATAAACTAGAAATTACAATTTTATTTATTTTTGGAAAATTAATTTTTTTAATTTTCTAACTTTAAGTATAATATTTCTATTAAAAAAACTTTAAAAGTTAAAGCGGATTATGTAAATATGAAAAAATATTACAATTTTAAATTTTTGTTTGAAAAATATTTTTTTTTTGTAATTTCCTTTTAGGAAAGTTTTATAGTAAAAAACTTTTTAAAACTTTTTTTTTCATTTTTTGATTATTTGATTACATAAATGAAAAATTCTAGTAAAAAACTATTATTAGTAAAAATACGCGGATCAAATAAAATTAAAAATATTAATTAGGAAATTTATTTTTTTTATTTCCTAATTTTAAAATGAATTTTCTAAAACAATTTTTTTAATTTTTTATCAAAAATAAGAATAAATATAAATTTATTTTTTATTATTAAAATAAATTTAATACAGCGAATTAAATAAATAAAATAAAAAATTGTCCATTTTAAATTTTTTAAGAAATTTTTTTTAAAATTTTTTCATTTTTGTATAAAGTAAAAATAAAAAAATCACATTTTTATAATTTTTATTTGGAAATTTATCTTATCCTTATTATTATATAAATGGAATATTATAGTAAAGTAAATATTTAAAAGTAATAAAAGTTGACTTAAATAATAATAAAATAATATATAAATAGGAATTATTTTTTCTACTTATTAGGAGTTCTTAACGAGAATGAACTCGAAATGTTGAAGTATTTTGCAACTGAAGCAACTTTAAGGAAGATTGAAGCTTTAAGAAAAGATCGAATTAAAAATTTTCTACATTAAATTAAATTTTTAATAAAATTTGAGATTTACTTTGTTATATTTTTGTAATAGTTTTATTGGATTTACATTTTAAATAATATTGTAATAAGATTATATTATATAAATTATTATTAGGGAATAAGTAATTTTTTTTAACGATTTCTTAACTTTATGAAATTATATAATTTTTTACCGGTTGATATTATATTTGTTAAAATTTTCGAATTTTTAAAAATTTGAAATTTTATGAAAATGTTAAGTTAAAAAAATATTAATTATTTAATCTGGAATCGTTCGTGACTATGAATTATTAAAAAAAATGATTCTCTTTTAGATTAAAAGGGAATTAATAAATAATCTTTTTACTTATAATCGATAAAATCCTTTTTATACTGCAACAACATTGAAATTGAAAGTTTATGAAGAAAAGATCAAAGTTAGGATTACCCTTTTTACTGGCTATTAGAATGACTCGCTTGAAAAATTTAATTGTGACCATTTTAAAAACCGCTTAAATTTTTTTATAAAAAGTGATTATTATATAAGTTGAATTGATTTTGTTGTTAGTAATTATCAGGGTCCACTTCTAAGATATTATTGAAACAAAAATTAATGAATATTGGATTTTTATTTATAAATTGATTATAAATATAATTAAGATTTATTATTTTTACTGATAATTTTTATGATCCCGAAAATTCGTGAACTAAATATATTGTAGGCAGTATACGGTAATATTTTATAGTTAATCAGGAGGGGGGGGGGGGAAATTTAAAAGGTAGATTGAAATTTGCGAGATTCGTGACTATTTACTTTTACAGTTTTCATTATTATTGAAGATTTCAATAGTAAAAAACAGAAGTAAAAAGTGTGTTTTCCCGCGCGACAAAAGTATTATTATAAAAATGTATATTTTCATATATAAAATAGGATTTAGTAGTGATAGCGTATAACACAAAGAAAGTTTTTTTTATATAATAGAAAATGTAAATGAAAATATTAATGAAAGTAATTATTAAATTAAGTTAAAGAAAAACGAGTACTATAGTAACTGACTAATCCAATAAACTTTGCATAACTATCAGTTGTGTTTCTCTTCTTAAAAATGGAGGAACCATTTATACCAAATAAGAAAAACTCGACATATGAATTTTTTCCTGCGTTTCTTAATGATAATGAACAAGGTTTTTTTTACATCGAGTTTCTCTTGCTACAAAATTGCAATGAGTTTCTACCACAGAGTAGAATCTGCTTCAATCTTGAAATGATCACATAAAAAACAAAAAAAGTTTGAGTCATGATGATATAACGAACTTGATACTGAAGAATGTTTCTTCGGTTGCAATTTTTTATCTTTCAAACCTAAATACTATTATTTAACAATAATAATAACCAAAATTGGTTTTTCATACTAAAAGCTAACTTTTACGGGAGTTACGCGAAAATTTATTAACCTATTAACTTATTTTTATCTGAACAAAATTACAGAAGCTGAAAAATTTTACTGAATGTAAAATTCTGTGGAAATCTACAAAACTTAGCGGTTTTTAAAAAGGACATCCTACAGGATTTGAGGATTGTGAAGATCTTTGATTATATTAACCTATTAGTTTATCTTTTTTAAAACTATACAAAATTATAGAAGTTGAAAACTTTCCAGATTATAGAATTCTGTGAAATCTACAATACTTATTGAGTTTTAAAAAGGACAATACAAATTTTATGAATCGTATTGAGGATAGTGTTACCCGTGGTTTTTTTATACACTAAAGGAGCCCTTGATAAATTCTGGTTTTGCATTCTTTTCTCATATAGAGATCATCTATATAATAAAAAAATTTAAAATTTATAATTATATTCACTTTTTCAAATTTTTTTTTTAAATTTTTATATCGTTATTTTTCATAATGATTATGCCCTTTGTATTTTCAGAAAAATTATTTTATGATATTAATATCTTAAGTGGTGATTTTATAAAAAAAAATACTTTAACATTCTCCCATATTTCAACACCCGGAGCTCCTCAAATCTCTTTACTGTCATTTTTATTATTTTCTGTTATATTTCTGTAAAATATTCGTTGCCCTGCAAGAGTTTTCTCGGTATTATACGCGTAGCATGCCGGCACTTTTCGTAATTTAAATTCAGTGACTTTGTCTATCAATTATGTGTAATTCTATTTTAAACGTTTTAAAATTAGTTACTGAATAAAATTTACTGTTACTCCTATTAATTGACTTGAGTTGCTTTTCTCAAAAATTGCAATGGACTTTTGACTATATTGGAAGCTCTCCGTTGGGCTTCTAGTTAAAAAAAAAGAAAATCTAAATTACAACTTGTCCGAAATTTATTTGGAGGCAAAAAAGTCGATTAAGGAGACTTTATATATACAAAACATTTGTTAAGACGTTATTTAGTTACTCTTTCTTTATGGCACGATCCTATTTCTCTACTTCGCAATTAACAGATTTTAGTTTTTTTAAAACAATCTCTCTTTAACTTTTAACTAGCGCACTTTGGTTTTTGCGAAATTTTTTGTTTGCATTACGATTGTGAGATCAAGTTAGTTCTGCACGACTTTTAACGAAGGGCCATAAAAGCTTATATACGAGATGATCTTATGATCTTTAATTTTTAAATTAACTACATCCCTGCTTAAATTATTAAATAGTAACAAACTTAACGTATTGTGAGCATACTTAAAAAAATTGATTCTTCTACAGACTTTAAAAACACTTACTAGCTCAGATAATTGTAATTATCAAAAAAAAAAGATAGCAAAGCTTTAAATTCATGAAGGATGCTGCTCATAAGAGCTAAGATTACTATAGTTTCATAACTTTATATTGTTTAAATAGTAAATCCATGTTTTTAAAAAATTCTTCTGTGGTTTTACTTGTCAAGTATTTGCTATCAAAATTATTCGTTTCTTTCAACTTTTTTAATTTTCCTAAAGATTTTCATATATTATTTCTAATTTTTTTTGAAAGTAATAATAATAGTTGCTTTAATTTTTGCAGAATTGAAGGAAAGTGCAATGGTCGAGTAATATTTTAATAATACAGTTTGCACCTTTTAAACACGAATCCTTAAAAAAAGTGTTATTTCTTATAATTAGCTTCTAAAATTATACTATAACTTTCCATGTCATCACCAATGTAAGTTTAAAAAAATTATTACCAACAAGGATGGCGACTAATAGCTAGTAACAAGTTTAAACACTTTTCATACCACTTCATTAAAAAGAAAGCCCAAAATAATAGAGATTTGTGATAACTTCTGATTATTTCTTTATTAACAAGCTTTTACTGATTTTACTTATTTTGTGTGTCTGTAATCTTTATTAGCTATAAGGAAGTGACCCAAAAATTCTATTGGATTTTCCGGTCTGAAAAATTAAAATTAAGAACATATTAAAGTTTCTTAAAGATTTACGAAACATACTTTTCTTTAATAATTAAAGTTAGTCCATCTAAAAGTAAAGGGACCACAGTTTGGTCTAAAAATTGCCGGACAGAACTGTTATAGTTGATCTTTGGAATTTCACAATGCACTGGCTTTTTGCTACTATTAGAAATCTCAGTTGCAAATTCCGAGCAGCTTGGTTGAAGTTTAGTAACAGTACCGCCTTCGATTTGTTCATCTAAACTTTGAGCTAATTCTCTCTGTTAAAGCAGAAAAATAACCTTACAAAAAAAAAAAAAAAAAAGTGGAGGCGAATAATAACAAAACGCTATATAACAATAGCCATTATTCGGTGGTCAGAACCTCAATAGTATATTAATATTTAAGAATTTTAAAAGTGAATTTATAAAATACACTATATAGAAAAATAGAGTGATGAAATATCTTTTATCATGTATTAGTTATATTCACTTAGTGTACAATAATCTTTTTCAAGTTAATTTTTATAAATATTATAAATTTTTTACAATACCATTAGAAATAAATATAAGTAAGAATACAGTAAAAAAACAAGTACAATTTCCGCAGGATCTAAGGAGATCATTGGAGCCTAACAACCATGCTTCCTGGAAATTCCAGCAGGAACTAACAATGAGGTAATAGCAAATTAGTTTATGGCAGTTACTGGGAAATAATTTTTTTCTCCCTCACCAGTCCGTAGGGGCCCCGATAAAGGTAATATCTAAGTGGAGCGGGCGCTTGACTTATAAAAATGAACATAAAATAAACATTAAAAAAATCTTTTAAATATTCTATACTTACTAGGAAAGAGGGCCTTATATCATTGCTCTGCTTGTTAAGACAAACGAAAAATACTAGGAACAGTTTGTTTCTTAATGCTAGCACCAATAGCTCGTAATTTACTATTAATTATTATTTAACTTTTTACTGTAAAGTCGCGCTACAAGTAAAAGAAAAAAAGGTTTATTGTCTTTCACTACGCTTAGACTTGGATCTACACACAAAGTTAGATGCGTATACTACACTCTAATTAATTGCAGCTAAAGCAATTATTTTGATTTCTTTTAACTTTCCATATTGACTTACAACCGCATCTTAAAAAAAAAAATGCGAGTTTGCGATTTTCCGGGTATATATATTCTTATCAGCGCGTTATTAATAACTTTTTGACGCGCAATTCCAAAGCAAAACCAAAAAACACAAATAGTGTTTTATTTACTTATGAGTAACTGATAGCGCTGTTATTTTAATGGCCAAATGATAGCTTTGGACTTTTGTTATTAATAATTTATATACGACTTTTGTAAAAGTTAAATACCTCTGAAACCGGTGCAGCTCTTTTCCATTATATTTTTTTAACAAAAAACCATTAACAAGCTTATATTATTTTTAATTAATATACCCTGTTTGTTAGCTCACTTTTTGGTTGATGGCTATTCTCTTTTACATAAAACCTTTTTACGCTTTTCATATTGAATATGATATTGACCCTGCTCTTCTCTCTGAGTACTACTGTCGTGTTCTTGCATAAGTAAGGATTGGTTCGTTATTTGACAAAATAGGCTCCTCCCTTCTGGAAGCCGAGTTACTAAGAACAATGCTTATTTATTAGCTACTATTGAGAAACTTCATAAAGGACTGCAGGCTGTGAAATTGAAGTTACAAAATTTCGAAAAAAACGTCTCCTATTAAAAACGAGACTAAACAACGAAAAGAGCCTGTAGAAAATTCTTCTATTGTAAATATTGCTAATCCTTACTCTACCCTCCAATTTCTTGACGATCCTTGGAAAGAAGTCTTAGAAGAGTGTAAAGGAAATACTTTTAAGGCCAAAAAAAGAATTATAACGATAATAATAACAACTACATTAGTAATAATAGTAATAATAATACAAAAGACAAAGTAAATAGTAGTCAAAGTAATGAATTTAGTAATAATACTTTAGCGAATATCCTTAATGACTGTATTTACCTTAATAGTAAAATTAGTATTATCACTAAAACTCTACTTTAAACAATAGCAAAAAAGATACAGATATGCGCCATAGAGGGCACGAAGATAGCTTTGAGTTAGAGATGGGCAATACTTCTCCTAATACTCGAAATACCTCCAGCGACTCTGAGTCACCTTCCGCGGCTGCGCCTCCTCTTAGGCGAAACAGTAAGATCCCGCCTGTTGTCCTCAGCGAAAAACGAAAGTGGAATCACTTCGTAAAACTTCTGCCAACCAACGGCGCCAACAATACTCGAAGTCTAGGGATGCCCGTCAAGGAATTAAAATATTTCCAGCAACAGTAGATGAGCACGGAGCTATCACTAAGCTTATGCGTGATGAACCCCGCTACTCATTTCACCTACTAACAACCAAAGGGCAAGCCTTTAAAGTTTGTTCTTCCTGGAGTCTATTGCGATCTGGACGTCCAAACCATCTAGGGAGCCTTACGTAAGCAAGGCATGCCGCCCCTCTTCGCGGTCAGGATGCACACTGAGGACCACTCTCGATGGGGAACGCACGAAGCTACCTCAATCGCTGGTATTAGTGCATATACTGATTTGTGACCGACAAAAGCTGTTGGAATTAAAGACGGTTTTCTATCTTCAGGTTAGGGTGGTGGGCTTTGAAAGAGTAATCGAGTAGGACAGTGCCATTGCTGTCAGATATTTGGACACAGCGCATGTTTCTGCTCTGCATCCCCCCGATACGTTAAATGTGCGAGGCCACTTGGCTGCACAGTGCACAAAAGAGCGAGAAAGTCTTGTCAGTTGTGCTAACTGTAATGAAGCGGACACAGTCAATTATCGTGGCTGCAAACATTATCCCCGAAGACCTACCCCACCCAATTAAACTGCTCTACCAACACCTCAAAAACAGACCCTATTAGTGTAACCCCGACAATTTCTCATGCTGCTCGCTTGGCCACAAGGACAACTCCTTAGACGCCCCCTCCCAACAACGGCAACCAACACTTCGACAACTTTCAATATTAACAACTAACCTGTCAACAATATTAGAGACGAAAAGAGTTTAGAATCCGTTTCCAGTGGTTTTTAGACTACAAGTGCGTCGTCATATCCCTCTGTTCTGATGCAGATGGCGTTCTACACAGGTAACAAGAATTGCAGGAATTGATGCAACGCGAAAGAATTGATCAGTTTGCTATTAGTGAAATTCCTCTCCTTCCCCACGTTCCATTCAACCTCAGCAACTTTTCGACTAACGCCAGGATCGCCTTGGTAAGATCAATGGGCGCAGCTAATTTGGTTAGACGAAACATTCAACACAGCATGATATCTTTGCCAGTCCTCCAGCATTGAGGGGTGGTTGGTGTTCCCGATCACTTAACCAGCCAGGGGCCCTTGTCGGTTACAAGTCCCCCATCATGCCTCAGATTTTGACGCCCTTTTCATAACTCGTCCCTCACTTATCGTATGTGGGGCCTTAACTGCATGCATCCCGCCTGGAAAAGCCGTGTCGACAACCTAAACTGTCGAATCATCGAAATCTTACACCGACAGACGCGGACTGCGTGTCTTAAAACCACAGTACTCAATGCACATGGCGAGAGAGGGATAACAGAAGTATTATCGCCGTTTTGAAATATATTTATATTCAACGGTAATTGATGCTCTTTACGAACTCTCGTCAGCCATCTGCTTGATGGACTACGAAAAGGAGTTACAGAGGTCATATACCAGAACTTTGAAGGACTGGGTCCAATTCTCTGTTGCCCTTATAACCTTGTCAACATTTTCCGTCTTCATTAAAACGCCCGCCACCACAACACATGAAGTTGAGTTCCACTCTAACCGCTTACCTGATGAACTGATTCCCTTATGCCCGCAGCGACGACGGCTTATTCGAGTGATCACGATATCGCGACGCCCCGAAGATAAATTAGCGCTTAATAGACTACACCGGCGCATTGGGGAAGAGCTGTTGGCGCACCATAATCGATTGTGGGAAACAAAGTTGTAATATATCGGAAAATGACTGTGACGATCGCGTCTCTTTCTGGAATTTCATAAGAAAGCATTACCTACTATGTGAAAAAGCAATTTTGTGGCGGAAAATGATGCTGACAAGGCGACAAATTTTGACGATTACCTCGCTACCCAGTGTCTGTTGCCAATTATTTAGTTGCTGATGAAGTGTTTTGTGAATCAAACCTCCTCGCTGATGCCGAGGGACAGCTTGAGCCAATCACTCTAGTCGAAATCGTAGAGATTATTAAAGCTTAGCCGAAAGGTACCTGGCCCCGACGGTATCGCCAACGTAAAACTAAAGCAAATACCAATGGTGACTGTAGGATGCCTATGCTGCCTCATCATCTCTACAATGGCTCTCGGCGCCTTCCCATTGCGCTGGAAGACGGCAACTGTTGTGATGCTCCCGAAGACACCACGACCAGCATCTACTCCAAGCAAATACAGGCCTATTAGCCTCTTGTCAGCCGTTGGTAAAGTAGCTGAGGCGGCCATACTGCGCCTCTTGAAAGCATTTGTTAACGCAAGCCACGCCCTGCCAAAGTTCTAATTTGTATTTGGACAAGGACCCTTCACTGCCCAACATCTCCGCCGCTTAACAGAGTGGGCGACCGTGCCTTCAATTTAAAGAAGCCAATTGGCGCAGTCTTTTTTGTTGTAGAAAAAGGGTTTGGCCGAGGTTGGCACGAGGGCTTGCTTTACAAATTACGCGCCTATCCTTCCTACTATTTTTTTTAACGTGATCAAATCTTACCTTGACGGTCACGTCTTTAATATACGAGTGGGCGATGCGCGCTCACCTCTAAGACCATTAACAGCCGGAGTCCCACAAGGATCTCTTTTAACACCCTTACTCTTTGCAATTTACCTACGCAACGTGCCACCGCCTCACGACCCCACACGCGGATTGCCTTATATGCGGGTGACACGGCGATTTACTCCTCGTCAAGGTCATCTGCCCTATTGCGCCAGCATTTGCAGTACTACCTAGCGACGCTTCCAACTGGTGTCGTCGTAAGAAAAATTACTATTAATACGGAAAAGAGCAACACCTTTTATCACAAAGAAGCGCGCTAAACCACTACCGCCGCTGACCATTAGAAATAAGGTAATTCCTTGATGTCCTCAGGCGAAGTACCTGTGGCCATCTTTGACAATAAGGTGACGACCGCACGTAAACTATATCGCGGCAAAGGTTAGGGCGGCTGTTCAAACCCTATCTTTTACTTTGCGCTCGAAGCAAACTCTCGCTGCACGACATGCTTATATTTTTTGTGCATCCGACTGATAATGACAAAAGCGTCTACTACCCTGGCCTACAACTCATCGGCAATAGTCTCTTCGCTTCAAGTGTGACAAAACAAGCTACGCCTTATGACGGGCGCGCCTTGGTTTGTTCGCAACGATGCGTTAATGAAGACCTCCAGAATGAACCTCCGGGTAACGTTTTTCGACTCAGTTTTATCGCCAACTACTATCGGCTTGGTCAGCACACTAATCGATTACACACAGATGGAGGGCAACTACGAAATCTGACCTGCGCACGCTATTGCCGTCAGCGCGATGGACTCTAATACATACACCATCATGCAAAATTGTTTCAATGTTTTGCATTTTTTCATTTAATATAGTATACTTTTCAATAACGTAACGGATTATTTAAAATTTATGCACAGTAAGCTTCTATGTTCTAGCTACATTTTGTTAATAATTGATCTTAATTGGTTAATATTGGAAAGACATTACCGGGATCATTGCTTGTATCCTCTTTGGCATACTGGTAATCAGATTGTAACATTGATCCAGTGTTATATTTTTCCATTCTGATTGTACACGTGTCTAAAGCTTGTCCAAGTTAGCAGGAGCTGATTCGTATGATCCCAATTTTCTCTCCAAGATTCACATGCATGCCCAAAGGGAATGAGATCAGGAGATTGCGAAGGCCAGTCTAGCACTTGGAATGACCTTAACTGGAGCCATGATCGTACCGATAGTGCAGTGTTACATGGGGCATTATCCAGCTGAAAAACCATTCCAACAAGACCATGACAGTACCAATCGCCTGTTCTGGGTAGGTCAAACTTAATGACATCCGTATACGTGCTTGCGGTGGTACTCCCTGTCACTTAGATATTATACAGGACCAAATCATAGTGGGTCCCCCACCTCCCCCCTATTTTTGAAGCTATTTGTGCAGATTTATTTGCACTCAATCACTTGTCGTACAAGTCGAGTTACATCCCGATTTTCTGAGATCTTTGGACGCCCAAGTTCACTGCAAGGACGTTGTGGATCTTATTGAGCTTTGAGCCGGGATACTGTGGCCTTACTGGCACTACATTCACAAGCAATTTCAGTATAAGTCTTGCCTTGATCTTAGGACATTTTACATCATTTTCCTTATCTTTTGAAAGTTTACGCTTTATTAAATTTAGGTCTCTAAGTAATCTATCCTCTATAGTGACTCAAACGCTTTAAAAAAACCCCCTATGAGGGAGTGATCATGAAAATTTCGTATAGATTGAAACAATTTTGCATGAAGTGGGGTAACGTGCAAAATCCTTTCCGATCTTAAACTTTAAAAAGCGATAAATATTTAACAAAGCAATTCCACTTACAAACTACATTAAATAGATTTTAATCTAAACTTATATATATATATATATAAGGATCAATATAAACCAGTTATTAATTAAAGCGTGATAAAATTTTTACGTTAAAATTTAAAACAAGGAAACATTGTTGAACAATAGTGTATATATATATGCGATTACTTAAACACAAGCTTAAAGCTACCGTGTACACTATCACCCTGCTGAGAGCTCGTAAATTCGGTGTTTTCTTTAAAGACCCGATCGAGCCCCAGGAACATCATTAACTAAACAAAAAGATATAGTCATGAGAATTAACCTTTCCAAGTTTTTCACTGTAAATTTCATGCATTAACAAATAAGTTATTTATTAACTTGGTGATATTTGTAAAAAAGAGCCATTTCGGACAGTTATCTAGATACAGCTTCTTTATCCTATTTACAGTTATGCTATCTTTATAAACAAAGCAGCTTTTTTATAATATAATCTGTTTTACTTCTTTGGGTTCGGTCTTCTTTTTCATTTTTAAGGAAGCCTTACAATTATTTTTAAACTACGGAAGTAGTGCTGTACGACATCTCGTTAAAAATGGTTTATTTGTTAAAAAATAATTTGGCTTTGTGAATATATCTTGTCAGTATATAGTTTTACTTGCTGAGTCTTTAACGCACTCTGCGTAATTTCTAGTTTACGTGTTTTTTTGGGTAAAATTGTCATATAAATTATAATTGTGTGCTCCGTGAAGGATGATTTAGTTTCGTTTTCACTTGGGGTGGGGTATTTAAGTGGTGGTCTTAGCCTTTTTCTAAATTAAGTTTCAAGCCAATATATTTTTTGACTCTAAAAGATTGTGCGGTTTTTACTTTCGTAAAATGATGTGTTCTTTAAAAGAAATCCATTAATAGTGTGTCTTCAGATTTAACTTTTTTAAAGATGTTTAATTATAAGATTAGCTTTAGTTTTTCCGAATCTCTGCCTAAATCGTAGTTGAGCTAATTATAAGTAGGTCTAGCAGTTTCATGTAAGTTTTATGCGTAATTAATGTTTTCATTTTCACAAGCTTTATAAAACAAAAAGTTTTAAAGATTAATTCGTTTACCATGCATGACGAACAAAATTTTTAATATAAAATAGTTTACGTTGTACGACCAACTTTATTCGCTCTTTTCTCAATCTACATATTTATAATGATCTTACTTTTAATATCTTAATACTTTAAAAAACGTGTATAGTGTTCTAAAAATAATTGAATACAACAAATTCAACTAACTACTAAGATTAATTATGAAATAGTTACTTGGAAGGCTCACGTATTATAATATGGAAATATACTGAATTTTAACAAATTTTCTAGAAAAAAGATCTTAAGATCGAAATCTTAGCTATTAACTAATATAAAGCTCAGGTTAGAATAAACTGTTTTCTGTTTAATAATTGAAATTTTTTTTTTTTTGTGTGTGCAATAAAAATATTTATAAAATTACATATTTTAAGACTAAGGCTAATTATTCAAGTTCAAATAACTTAAAAGACTTAGAAGACAAATTTAATTCAGTGATTAAGGATAACCAGTACTACGATTAGTGGGGCGATGAATAGCTATTATAACGAAAACTTTAAGCTTTAAACATGTAATTTCTTAAACCACTTTTATTACTTTGGTTGTTACTATTACAACATTATAAACAGTTTGTTTACTATAAGATGGCTATTTAATTGTTAATCAAGTTTATGAATGAAAAAGTTATTTATTGTATATTATTGCCTACATTTCATATCTATAAAGAAGAGGACTGAATAGCAGAACTAGAGAGAATTTAAGCAGAATTACTAATTTATAATTATTTGTTAAAGATAAGTAGCGACGGGAACTTAAAGGAACGTTATTTTATTCTTAAATACTAGTAACGAAGGAAGTATTATAAGCTTTTTATTTGTAGTAATAGTATTATATTAAGATTAAAAAGTAAAAAATGCCATAAAAACTATGAAATAGGCGCAGGGCTAACAAAAAATAATTTTTTACAAACTAACTGCAGACAAAAAAAAGTTTTAGATACTTGGGCTTAGCATCATTCTTTTATATTTGTGAATATGTGCGTAAACAAAAAGAGTAAAGGCTAAATTTTATTCAAAGAGAGATCACGACAGGCTTAAAAATAAAGATTTAGGCAAATTAATATTTTAATTCTTTTTTTTAATTTCTTCGCTAATAAGACTTTTAGTAATCATTTAATAAAAAATTATACTCTCCGTGTTTACTTTAAACCTAACCTTGTAAAAGAATTACTACGTAAACTGGTAGCCTATTTAACAAACTTTGGTATGTATTTAAAATTTTAGTAAATTGTGAACACTAACTTTTGGAAAGTAAATTTTTTTAAATTTTATAAGATCGAACAAATGTGTTGCCGGCTCCTTGAAAAAACAAGGAGCTTGAGATGATATAAGGGCGCATAGAATTGTAGAAAAGATAAAACCAGACAAACTAAACAAGAAATTGTTTAAAGCGATTGTTAGTTTCTTTATACTGGCTTTTAATTTTTAAAATAAAGAATATTTTTAACTTATTTAAAAGCAGGATGGATGTAAAGACGTTAATAGTTCAATCAATAAATATTGCACTACAATGCTTCCTATATTTTACAGCGTAAATAAATTTCCAGGCCTACGTCGAAATTTTAGTGAAATGCTTTTTTAAAAATAATTTTATTTAAACATGAAGTTTGGCTATCGTAATAAGGAGTGGCAAGTCTGAATCTTTTTTTTATCAGGTAAATAAGTTTTATTAATACGCATTTATTTTTTGGGCTTATGAGCAATGTTATGGTTATTTATCAGTCATCGGTTAATCTACAAACATTTATGTAAAAGTAAAAAAGCGGAGAGTGTTATATTTTAGGAAACGTTGAAGGAGTAATAAATAAATACTCTTTTGTGGCGTCAGAACTATTATTGTTCCAACTAAAGTCATTTTTAAAATTTTAACCTTTTTTAACCGTGAGTTAAAATTAAAGTAAAAAATGAAGTCGCAAAAAATAATTCTGTTCTTATATCTTGCAAAGTACAGATCAGGGTACAGTTAAGGCTATATTACAGAGTAAACGACAACACTTTAACCCAAACGGATTGACTTTTTGGGCTAGTTGTATATTAGGAAAAGAAAAGTACTTGGCAATTTAAAATAAGTTCATGGTAAAAGCAGACATTTGTGCCAAAGCACAAGATTAAACACAGACGTTAAAAAAAAAAAAACTAATAAAAGTTTGTTAGTATTCACCCTGCACTAATTTTTTAACAAAACTTTATTAAAAAGTGAATTCAACGTGCTATATAATGTTACTAAATAAAAAGTTACCCCTGTAACATTAATTGTAATATGCAAATCAGGTTTTAATTTTATTTTTATTGTTTTTATTATAGAAAACCATATTATCTAGCTACTAACGCTAACCAAAACCAACATAAAGCCTAATTTTTTAACGTTCTTGTTAAATGACGTCTATAATAGGAATATAAATTTAAAAATACAATTTAAAAAAACTAAAAAATGCTTTATACTTTACATTTTGGTGCCATATTAACTATTTTTAGTATCATCTCTTCTTTTTTTGGTTGCAACAAAATTAATTTTTAAAAATTTCGCCTAAATTCCGGGAAAAGACAAATTTGGTAACTATTAACTAAAGAAACGTGATTTCAATAAAAATCAAAAAAGGGGTATAAAAGAGTATATAAGCACGGGACTCCCGCTAGTCTCTGTTTTAAACTGTTCTCCTCTTTTGCTCTTTTTTTTTTTAGGAATTTAACGATATGGCGGACGATGAAGTTCAAGCTCTAGTTGTGGACAATGGATCTGGTATGTGCAAGGCTGGCTTTGCCGGTGATGACGCTCCGCGCGCTGTGTTTCCCTCGATTGTTGGTAGACCTCGGCACACGGGCGTAATGGTGGGTATGGGACAAAAGGATTCCTACGTTGGTGATGAAGCTCAGTCTAAAAGGGGTATTTTAACTCTCAAATATCCCATCGAGCACGGCATTGTAACGAATTGGGACGATATGGAGAAAATTTGGCATCACACCTTTTATAACGAATTGCGAGTTGCCCCCGAGGAACACCCCGTTCTTTTGACGGAGGCTCCCCTCAATCCTAAAGCTAACAGAGAGAAAATGACTCAAATTATGTTCGAGACTTTCAACACCCCCGCCATGTACGTGGCCATTCAAGCCGTCTTGTCTCTTTATGCTTCAGGGCGAACTACTGGTATTGTTCTGGACTCTGGCGATGGTGTTACGCATACCGTCCCAATTTACGAGGGTTACTCCCTTCCTCATGCTATTCTTCGATTGGACTTAGCCGGCCGCGATTTGACTGACTACCTTATGAAGATCCTGACGGAAAGAGGATACTCTTTTACCACCACTGCAGAACGCGAAATAGTCCGTGACATTAAGGAAAAATTATGCTACGTTGCTCTCGATTTTGATAACGAGATGTCAACGGCTTCTCAAACCTCGTCTTTGGAGAAAAATTACGAATTACCAGACGGACAAGTTATTACCATTGGAAGCGAACGTTTCCGATGCGCAGAAGCCTTGTTCCAGCCTTCGTTCTTGGGAATGGAATCGCAAGGAGTTCATGAGACCACCTATAATTCAATAATGAAATGTGACGTTGATATTAGAAAGGATTTATATAGTAACACCGTGTTGTCTGGAGGCACTACTATGTACCCGGGCATTTCTGATCGTATGCAGAAGGAGCTTACAAGTTTAGCACCTTCTTCAATGAAGATCAAAGTTATTGCCCCCCCCGAGCGTAAATACTCTGTGTGGATCGGTGGCTCTATTTTAGCCTCTCTCTCCACCTTCCAGCAAATGTGGATTTCTAAGGACGAGTACGACGAATCTGGACCTTCTATCGTCCACAGAAAGTGCTTCTAAGCGTAGTATTTGATTTTGTGGTCTGCTTTTATTAGTGGCGGTACTAATAAAATATAAATTATTGAAATTGTAAGCATTCTTTCTTTTTTGTTCTTGATCCTAGCCTTTACCCTTAAGATTTATTTCCAAAAAGTTACTTTAAAGTTCTTTACTTTATTGCAACTGCGACTGTTTATTTATGCAATTGCTGAACTCTTCTAAGCCTCAGGTTTTCAAGCTTTTCGTAGGGGGGTTTTAGTGGATGTCGGGTGTTAGAAATATTAGTTCGGGCTAAGACTTGGTTAAATTTTTATTTATGTATTTCGTTGTATATAACAAATAGCTAAGTAAAACATGTGTTGCAACATTTATTCCTAGATAGTTTCTTTAACTCGACCGTTTCGCACCAAAGTTTTTAGGAAGTGCTTTTGTTAGCTTTTTGGTATCTAAGTAATAAGTTTATGAGATTGTTACTAAAATTATTTTTGTAAGGAGTCTAAAGTATACCAAACCTGCCTATTTTTCAGTATAAGCTTTCCTCTTCATTTAAATTTCAGGTTAGAGTCGATGATTCAGAGGATCTAAAGGTTTATTTATTTGTAGTTTTGCAAGGGGCAAGTGTTGGGTGTCTGCTAACAGTTGTTGTAATCTCAATTATAAACTATGTTAAGACCTTAATAATCTTTAAGCGAAAACACTAGGAAAATGAGCTAAATCGTCCGTTCTCAAGAGGAGTTTAATTTATAAAGATAATATTTTCAACTGCGCTTTGCATCTAATATAAAAAGTTAAATTATAATATAAAATAATGATACTTTTAGGAAAAGCTTTCGTATATTGACTAATATTGTTTAATAGATAATAATTTTTCATTTTTAAAAAGATTACAGTTTCCTTTTTTCTTATAAAGATGGAGTACACTTTACTATCATTTTCATATAACTTGAGTATTCGGAATAATTTTCAGTGGCACTTTTAAACACATTTTTTATAATAAAAATTATTTGTTTAACTGAAGGGGAAGAAGTATAATTTTTCTTTAACTAATAACAGTTCCTGATTAAAATTTTGTCTAAAAAAATGGTCTTTCCTCACCATATATTATTTGAAATGGTCCTCCTGTATTATAGAGTTGATTTGCACCCAATTATATTCTTTTTTCCTAAAAAACTGATGTGCAGTGAATTTAGTTGAATACTATACCATCTCAAAATAAATACTTCTTAACTGTAGATTTTTTTTTTTAAAAACTTATAACTATTTCATAAACAATTAATAACAGATAATCAGCGTAGCATTCCGGTATTGCTTGTATCAAAATTACACAATGTAGTAATAAAAATGTTTAAATAAAGAGGAATTTTTTTAAAAAAAAAAAAATTATCGTTTGCAATAACTACTACAATGTATTGACTCGGAAAAAAGTAAACTTCCTTTCCCTTAAAATTTAAGCCCATAAATTATTATTACAAAACAAAGTTGTCTAAATACCTACAAAGTTTTACAACTCCCAAAAAACACTTTAACCAATATATTTTACTTATGCCTTCCTGCTTTTTTAAATAGCTTATTAATCTCACACCACGATGGCTAAGATCATTATATAATTAATGTATAATAATAAAAGCTTTGAAGATAAGTACTTATAATAACACATAGCAGCCTTTCTAACATATTTTCTTAAAAGGTGGGATTGTCTTTTTCAAACAGTCGGAATCTGTTCCCTCTTCCCTTTAAGAGAGAAAAAATATTTTTTTACTCTGCATAATATGCCTGTCTTCATCCTTAATAATTGCTTAAATTAAAAAAATTAACGATTTTCCTTCAGAAGACTATCAAATCTTTTATTAAACTAAATAGTTTACATTAACCTTTTGTAAAACCCTATAATACTTTGCTAAAAAGTGGTTTATAAAATCTGAATATTTGTGTGAATGGCGGCCTCCTGTTAAGCTAAATACTAATATTTAAAGCATATTTGTACTTGTTAAAAAGAATTTCTATTAAAATTCTCTTATCAAAATAATATTTAGTACTTAGATAATAATATATCTTATAATATATAACTATGTAGGAAAAGAAAGTATAATAGAAGAAATGCTATGGTAAATAACCCAAATTTATTTGTTTTAGACTTATAAATTTTGTTCGAGAAATGAATTTTTTTTTTTTATCCTCCCGAAAGGAGGAAAGTTCAAACTTGACACTCAGATACCTTACGATTGCCAAACCTAAGCAGTAATTTGTCTGCAAAATTATATTTTTTTTGTTTTTCACTTTTCTCTTTGCAACTCGCGAGTTTGCTTTATGTCTAAGCGATAATTTAGTGTCATAAATACTTTATGAACTTTTTCTTGATGTTCATTAACATAAATTTAAATAAAAATTTATAACGCATTTTTTAAGCCTTTTCTATTTGTTGTCTGTTGTTATCTAGAAATTTTTTTTTCTAAGTTTTTATATACAAATTCACTGTGGTTTCGCCATATTTTGACTATTTAACATAAAAGTAAGTTCTATTTAATATTAATATATAGTTTTTCTGCATTTAAAGTTCGGTCTAACGTTGTTTCCTTCAGTCCAATAGAGCAAACATTCATATTCAAGGTTTATACTTTGTCATTCAGTTTATCTACGGCAGTTAGCTTCCTTTCTAATTCTCTAAACTTCAACTGAAAGTGCGTGAATTAATGGTGAAATGAAAGATGGTTGTAGTAAAAGCCAGCCTTAATGAGAGATGTATTGCGTATAAATTAATCTAAAACTCATAAAATAAATCTTCATAGTTAATTTAAAAAATTCTAGAGGACTGCCTCAAATAGATTTTTTTTTACATTTGAGTTTATTACAAAGTTGTACAGTTTAATTATTATTATTGCGATGTAAATAAGATTTGAATAGAGATATGAACGAGATATCAGCCGTTGCCATCTTTACGTATAAATTTAAACTCTAATAATTAAAAAAAACTTTAAACTAGGTAAAATACCTTGTTTGTAAATAATATAAATACTACGTACGGTAAGTGCGTAAGATTTTTTTACGAACTAATTAATAAAACAACTTAAATGTAGTAAAAAAAATATTTTAAATAAAAAATATTTAGCGCGACTGAAAAAACTTCAAACGAAAGATACAAATCTTACTACTGTTTGCTGTAGAGCACTTTAAGGATGCTTCCTAGAATAAAATGGAGAGTTGTTCGTAGACTCGCAAAACTTTTAAGAATTAATAAAAAACACCTTTAGAAATTAATGTGACTTTAGATACATTTAGCTCTTAAAATATAGATCCACTGTAATAAAACTAAACAGCTTTGTTCAAAATTGTCTTTGTATTTAAAGTTTAACTTTTCAAAGAACAACGTTGATAAAGTTAAAAGTAGAAGTTAATTTTCACGACATTTTGGGATGTATAAAATATGTTGCTAACGATTTTAGTAGTCAAAATATAATTTTAAATTTTTAATTTATTGACAGAAAGATGAAACTTAGTAAACAAAATTATAACTTTAGGTTATCTCAGAGTTTTACCAGTAAACTCTGTATTATTTAACTTAGACCGTACTCTTACGTTTTTTAATTTATATATATAGTCTAATATATTGTTAGCATAAGTCTTCTAATACTGAACTTAGATCTACGGTACTTTAGATGAAATCAATCATCTAGTATAACTAAAATAGTTAAAATAACCGGTATTATGCGCGAAGCTCTTTAATATATAAGCTATAACTTTTCTGTTTTTGTGTTCCTCATTGCTAGTTTTACATGAGATTTTTGAAGATGACTAGCATAACATAAAAGTTGAGCTCGTAATTTGTTTAAGAAAAATAAAGAGTAAGTTCAAAGTTCTTATCGGAAAATAGAAAGGAGATGTAACTATTTCGAAAGATGAAGTCTTTGCTATAAACGCTTCATAAAGGAGAACATTAGGTAAAAGTTGCAATGGCGTCAAGGGCCGATGTTATAATTGTTAGTAATGCTAAGGCTAATAATATATAAATGAATACTTTTTATAATGAAAATTAATAAAGCATTTAAAGACGTCACATGAATAAAATAAATACCCCGTAATAAAACGTTTTTACGTTGTTTTCTAATATAGCAGCTTTACTTAATCTACAGTTACTTACCGAAAAGACGTAGTTTCTTTTTAATTTTACTTTTTTAAACAATTCATTAAAAAAAGGTTACGGGACAAAGTTTTAATAGAAATGGTTAAAGGTCCAAAGATTGAGATTTTTTATAGTTATAAGGCTCAACGGGTTTTAAGACTTTTTTCTAAAAAACAGTTTTAGCTAAAAAAGCGAAGCTAAACCAATAAATTTGTTAAAAAAATTTGCTAAAAAAGGATTAAGATTTAGTTAGTTTACTTTTACCATATAAAATTTAAATTTCACTCATCTCTAGTTTCTTACTTATACTTTATATGGATGTTACTTCGAGGAACTTTTTTATAATTCCAAATTTGAAATCAAATAAAATTATGCGGTGTAATATACTACGGGGCATTAATAATTTTTAACTACTTTTTTTCAAATACTTTTACACTAGCTCGATGAATTTAAAACAGCAGTATTATCATATTATTTAGCAATCTTATTTATTACAAATTTTCATACTTTTCATTCAGCTACAGTCTCTCTATTTACTTGGCACAGTAATTAATTATAATTAAATGCTTTTGTCAAGTTGTTAACAGTAAGCATTCCAAAATGATCTGTCCCAGAGCATCGAGGGAAGCTGCACCACGTAGCGAAACTATAATTATTAAATTCTTTTTTTCACTTAAAGAAGCTTAGAGCACTATCTTCTTAACGGTTGTAGCAAGCAAAAAGCTATCAAAGTGATTTAGATAATTAAAAAAATAAGCCCCAACATTTATCGAAAGTTATAAATGTTTACAGGTTAAAATATCTGCTATATATAAATTAAGAAAGTATAGGAGAAGTACCACGTTGCGGAAATAAAGAGGTAAGAGTAGGTAGCGTTGATAGAGTACCGTCTGCCAATATTCCAAGAACTTTACCATCTAGCTCTGACTTGAGCATTCCCGGGTCACACTTTGTGGTCCGCTTCTCGAGCGTTAAAAAAAAGCAGCATCCATTGTCCTTCGCATTCTAGGCCCAGAAGGCTTAAGTCGGTTACTTTGTAAGTGGAGGAGCTGCTGAAGCGTTAAAGGTTTTTGCTGAAACCCAAAATTAAATAAGGTGCACTAATAAGCGACTTTTGGTCGTGCAGTAGAGCTGCTCGACTTTGCTGACGGTCAGTGCCAAGGGCGCAGATGAGTGAGTATTAATCGATCGCAAACGCATAGTCGCCGTTTTTCATTGTGTCGTAGTCCACCGATGAGGTAGCACAAATATTCTGTAGTTACTGACGGTATTTTTATATACTAACACCTTCTAGGTAGATAAGTATGGGTTTTAACGCCTCGCCTTGTTGCTTCTGGCTGTTGACGCTGGCGAGTTTACTCAGATTATTGATAAGAGCTCGGCTTGGGGAATGCCCTCGTAGTAGCTAAGGAAGGGGAGGCACACCGTGCAGGGATATAATATGAGATTAGCACAAATTGTTGGTGAGAGCTTACTTAATCAACTATTGATGCCGAATTGAAAAAATCGAACCCACGGCCTAGAGTTTGAGCGTAGGTGACAAAATTACTGAGCTACGACGAAAAAACTTCTAATCTTATAATACTAATGACGCATCAAAGCTGTTACATACAAGCAATTTTTGTTAAATTTTTTTAAAAAAGGAATTGGTATTACGCGACTTTATATAGATTTCCACTAGTAATTCAGATGCAACATCAGCTTTTCCTATTGCACTGGTCTGATTGGTTTAACAGCGGATTGCTTCTCGTCGTGAACTTAGTGTGGCTGTTGCACTATAGCGCCAAGTAGGCAAAAGTAACGTTGAGCAGAGCAAGGCATAGCCAAGTCCAGTTTAGTTTATGTCAATATTTTACCTTTCTTTCAAGTGTTTACCTGAAAAACCATATTCTTTGTTTACTGAAAGCTGTTTTAAAAAATTTCATGTTTCTTTCTTGTAAAAAAAATTGTAACGCTCTGGTGTAAACTCTACATCCCTAACAAGAATTAATTTTTTCTTTGTAGTATAAAAAAGTTGTTTTCTTTATTAAAAAATTTATATCAGGAAAAATTCCAATTTTAATTGGAAAAGAAGATTGACGGGTTAAGTCTTAAGCGTTTTTGAATTGCTTTTTTTATCAATAGATTTCAAGCTTTCCAATCTTTTTCGGTTCCTGCGTGATATTTGTATTGTTTCTTTTCACTTGATTTTCATTCAATAAGTTTTTTTGGATAGAAGACTGTGGTAACTCGGGCGTGTTAGTTTTTATAGTAACTTTTTGAACATTCTCTTTCTCAGCGGGCCGGAGAGCAATTATAGACTTTGCGTTATTTTCGGAAATGTTTTTATTTACAGAAGACTGAAGTGTTTCTAAAGAGTTTTTCGGAACTAAAACCTTCTTTATTTCCGGACTTTGAGGCGTCTTTAAAGACTTACTACCATCTATAGACTGAACGACTCCTGAAATGCTTTTGTTGGTATTGACCTGAATATATTCTGAAGTATTTTTTGGCGCAGAAATTGGTGGGATCGTGAGTAGGATAGTATTTTGGTTACAGTTTTCCTTACTAAAACCTTTATACTCTACTAAATCTCCATCGTGGGTGCAGTTGCTCTCAGTAAAATTAAGTTTGCATTGGTAGATTTTTCTTGAGGAGCATTGAAACCTCGTAGACGGCTGTATTTTGCTAATAAAAAAAAAATTTATATAAAAAAGCAATTCGGTGTACCAACTACTTACAAATTGGAATAGTTAAAATCGTCACGGACGACATTTGGCCCAATTTCAGTAATAATATTGACTCTCAAATCTCTTTATTTTAATAAATAAAAAATTTAGTGAAAAAAACCTTTAGCAAAACTTCTACTTAAAAAAAACTTACAAGTACTGCAACGTTTTCAGTTCTTTAAAGCAACCAGCAGGAATTGCTTGCAGGTGATTATCATGAAGATATCTAAAAAAAAATAAGAAAAAAAATTTTTTTTTTTAAGTTTTACTATTTGTTTTATCCAAAAAAAGTAAAACTTACAGTGCTGTTAATTTTAAAAGGCCGTTAAATATTTTATTATCGACTGAAGAAATTTGGTTTTTCCCTAAATATCTTTAATGAAAGAAAAAAACATATAAATAAAAAGTAGCTAAAATTAGTTTTTATATAAAATATTCGAATATATATATATATTTCTGCTTCGAGTATTATTATAAAAATCTGATAAGCGAAAATTATAGAATTTAATTATTAAAATTCTCTTATAGGAAAGCCTTTTAATTAAATTATATATTATTTTTAAAAGTTTCTATTATGTTATATTTTGTTTATTTTTATACAGTTTCCTACAAAAAACTTAAATCTTGCAGGTTTTTAAAAGCATCTTCAGCAATAGAAGTGATGGCATTCTCTTGAAGATGCCTTAAAAAGAATAACAAGAAAAAAATTATACAAAATATTTTATTTTATAATAAAATATTATATTTAAAAACAAAAAAAAACTTACAAAACTTGCAGCTTTGAAAGATTTTTAAAAAAGACATCATTTATTGAAGTAAGCTCGTTTCTCGACAAATATCTTTACGTGTGTTAGAAAATAATAAGAATTATTTATACAATATAAATTTATATAACCTTTGTTATAGTTATAATGTATATATTTAACCCCTTATAAGTTACTGGTTACCACTGGTCGCCTAGGGCTCAAGTTGCAAGAGTGTGTCTATAAAAAATTGACCCTAAAGACCAGGCTCGGTCGCTGAAACAACCTCTGGTAAGTTTGAGTACCATTCTAACGAATTAGGCAGCAACCAACAAATATAAGAAAGTGGTAAATTTAGTTACCAGTGAATATAAAACAAATCTTTTTTAAGTCCCAGTTTTGCCCGTTAAAGGGTTAAATATATATAAAGAAAAAACCACAAACAAATGTTACAAATTATTACAAAATTTCTAGATTCGGTAAGCCACTGAATGCATAGTCAGCAATTGAGTTAATTAAATTATCCCCTAAATCTCTGCAGGTTAACAGAATTTTAAACACCAGAAAAAACAAAAAAATATATAACTTGCTCATTATTTTGTTAATAAATAATTTTTTCATTATATATATCTGCTTACAACTCAGTAATTGAGCTAAACTTGCTGAAGGCATGATTTTCGAGGTGTGTTAGCTTGTTGAATGAATAAATTCTTGTAAAGCAATTTAAAGAAAAAATACGCTGACAGTTATAATATTAGCATACAAATTTAACACAGATGAATAATCTACTGTTTCATATAAAGCTATCATTTTTCGATTCGAGAAGTCTCTATAGTTAATGGGTTAATAAAGTGATTAAACACTTGATTCTGTTAGAAGAGAGTTTGAAAATTTACAAAGTAGTAAGGTCGCTATAATAAATATCTCCTGGCAGAGGCGATACAGCTTTTCCCAGAAGAACCGTCAAGAACAACGTTATCAAAATTACACTCATCTAAAAAAAAGGTTGAAAAAAAACCAAAGTAGTTAAAAATATATATAGTAGTTATGAAGATATGGTATGAACAGGTGAATAAACAATACGGAAGTCTTTCAAGCTGTAATGAATTTATTTTTAAACAAAATTTTTATTTTTTTTTAATACGCTCAAATTTTTTGTGCCATATATAGTTAAAATAAATAAATTAACTTGATGGAATGCATAATTTCTACTAATAATTGACTGCTCTATCAGCCTTGGTGTGCAATTTTTATTAACTACATTGTTGCATGTGAGTGGTCAGTACTTCTAAAATTAGTTACAATTTTGATATATACGTTTTCTGTTAATTTAAACACGTAACTCGCATTATCCAAAGTTAATTATATTTTTCTTTGCTAAGTCTTTTATATTTTTTAATTTTTGGAGTCAAAAAAGCCTTTTTTATTATATGAAAGTTAATCTTAAAAAGTTAAAAGCCTAAGTAACGGTGCATATATTTAAATTTATCGTAAATTTTTTTCCTCGGTGGTCATTACCTCAAAAAATTGTTTAAAATATTTGGCAGTGATAAGGTTTAACATTATAGTTGCTAGCATTATTTTAAGTTTTAAAGTTCTCTGGTTTCTAGGTTTACAAGTAAAAAGTTAATACCATTTTATAACTTTTTATAAAAAAGAGAAAACTTTGGCACATATTACAACTTAATAAAGTTATAATCCCTAATACTTCACTGTGATAATTTATAAAATAAACTAGGTAGTTTCGAATAAAATGCTTTGATCAATTTATTATACGCTTTAAGATTTTTATAGCTTACTCTTATGCAAATTCATTCCATTTATATTATACAAGGAGGAATCGGCGTCAGAGGAAAAAAAGGGATAAGTTCTCAAATTATAAAATATTAGTTAATGTACAAAACGTTACATAAAACTATGGAATAATTGTACGTATAAGGTGTACTTTTCAATGTGTTTAACGTACAAGGTTTTTTCATTAAACTCTGAACAGGAAGGAAAAAACTAAATTAATTAGTTATCGGAACAGATGTTCTATAAGCTTTCTTGCACGTATTTTTTCAAAAAAACAAGATAATAAGCTCTTTTATAAAATTTTTCTCAATAATTTAGACTTTTCTAATAAAAATTTGATACAAAAGTTTTTATCTGCATGAAAGTTTAAAAGGGGTAAAAGGTAGAGTTAAAATTTTTTACAAAAAATAATAAACTTAAAGTTTATAAAATAGTGTTATACGCTTCAAATATTTGTAGTATTAAGAAAAAATTTTCTTTAAATTTTAATTAACTATAGCATCGTCAATTTTTATTTTTGTAAGTCAAAAATCTCCGTCTTTACAAAAGAGGCTGCCATCTATATATTATAATCGATTATAGTTTTCTAAATATTCAAAGTTTAGCGAATCTAGGTCTAATATTATTATAAATAATCATTTTTTCTATAATTCTCCTGTTTGTATAACGTTTAGAGATAATTTATAGTGGCAAGCTGACAAGGAGGTGACACTTGAACTTTTAAATATTTTCTTCATCAAGGCTTATGAAAGATTGCGATCCAAATAAAGCTACTCGCCTATTTAATTTTTTTATAATTTATATCTTTTTGATAACCTTGTAACTAAAAACTACTTAAATAGACTCTTGCCCGTTGAATTTTGCTATGCTGTATTTATTCTTTTTATTTCCTGATTAGTATTATTTCAAAATTTTTTTGAAATAACTTTAGATTTTTAGGTTTGTAAAAGAAAGGACAGAGTCTACGTCAAAAATCAGATAAATATCAATTCTTTCTTCTTAAAAAGCTGATATGAAAATAAATGTAACATTAGGAAGATGGAGTATTACTTATATATTTATTCCTTTCAGTTAGTCTAAATAAAACAAATTATTTTTCGAATTTCTAACTTTAACCAGTTCCCTTCTAACTTTTATCATTATCTATAAAACGGCACTTAACGAAAAATTATTCTATTAAACTTTAAAAGTTTAAGATTAATATTTTAATAGGTCACTATTATATTATAAAAATTTTACTTGGAAACGCAGAATCCTTAATTAATTCACATATATAGGCTGACTATACTAACTTTATAACCAGCACTTAGCACTATATTTTAATAAGTATAAAATTTATTCTAGATCAACTGAAGTGTTAAAAAAGTTAGGTTCAGAAAAGTTAAATAATTATAAAAAATGATAAAAATAATATATGAAACATTTATGTTCATATATACTTCTGTTTACAAGCGTTCACTTATTCTCAGTAAAGCGTAGACAAGAGCACTTCTACGTGCATTTAGCTCTACTAATACCTCTTTTTAAGAAATTAAGATTTCTACGCAGATATTCAAGAGAATCTTAAACTATTGAAATGATCAATGAAAAAATATATATAACAGTCATAAAGATAAAGAAACAGTCACGGATAAATATTAATTATTGTGCTTCTAATACGGAAAGAGCAGTTATAAAATTTACTACTAAAGAGGAGCAAGCTATAGAAAGCATATAAGTTGTAATTTTTTTTTAAAGATAGCGCATCACTTACGAAAAAGGTGATATCTCTATTATTAATAGCCTGAAAATTGAATAATAACCTAAGATAGAGATTGTAAGATTAAAGCTAAGTATTAACTTAGGTAGCTCAATAGGTATCGCTCTCTTACAAATTCGTTAACAATTATATCATAATTGTACTTGTAAATTTAAACCTAATATTCTCCTTACCATACTAAATCTTCATTGTATTTAAGGAATTCTGATGAGAGTTTAATAATTTGAAAATTTAAAATTTCTCTGTGCAACGTCTGTGTCATTAGCACGACTTACTATAAAAACGAAGATTTTTCATTTAAGTTGTAATAACATTTCATTAGAAGAGATAATCGATTTGATTACTCTTCTCTTGGGCTTTGACAAAACCATTTCGGCTCTAATGCGAATACGGTTTTGTAACAATTAAAACGGCCTGTTACTACATAGTATAGTGTATACGAAAAAATCGTATATGATATGAGCTTTGTAAGAGGTAAACTAATAACATTTAGAGTTGGACGCTGTAGTAAGCTTTAAACAGTAAAGAAAAATTCTGAGAACTACTTCAGGAAAAATCTTTTTCACAACAAAGCGCTTATGGCAAAGACACGTAGAAACTTAAAACAAATATTATATAATCTCAATCACAAGTTAAAAAGAAAATTTTGTAGTTAACTGAACTAAGTTCTCATTTAAGAACCAGAAGCACTGTAACTACCTCATACTATTTTTGTCGTCACTTCTAAATAATAAATGTTTTCTTCTCAGTTACTTTAATACTTGGAAATCAAGAACTTCTAAATACGAGGGAAAAGCAATGGTGTCTGCAAAGCATATGGAATAACTATACAAATCTCCACCCTCAGCAATAAATTCGACTAAAAAGTTAGGCTGTCAATGAGCTTCAAAGAAATAAGAGGAGCGTAATTTCTTGAAGGTTATCGAAAACTAAATAGTAAAAGGCGTTATGAATAAGCTTAACACCCGGAAAATAGCTGTTTAAAGCAATACGTCGAAAAGGCCCATAATACTGTAAAAAGACATAGTTCGTACGAACTACCAGTATAATTATTCTGC